CACATGTGGTTTTGAGCCACTCCCAGTGGACGAAAGTGGCGACACAAAAGAGGCCAACAAACCCAACAGGAGGACCCGTATCCTTGAACGGCGAATGCAAAGTCTCGCCGGGTTCGGAATGTGTGGGAAGATGAACGGAAGCTTGCTGACAGCCTTGACGGAAGAGCAAGCCAACCTGCTACGCCGAGAACTGGGCCCCAGGGGAATCACATCTGTGGAATCAGCAGTCCTCAAAGACTGCCGCGACAGGCATCGACGTGCAAAAGCGCTGGGCTACGAGGACGTGGAAGACAGATACTCCAGCGACGTCACTTTTTGCGACCGCATCCACGGTGAGGGGAAGGACCTGCAGGACTGCATATTTGACGATATGTTCGCATATGGCAACCTCCCCGATCCCCCAAGGACCAAAGCTCAGATCTCGGCTGGCGTCGCCGCCAATGCCCAAAATGAGAACTGCTTATCTAAGTTGATTTTCATGTCTCAGCCTCGTGGCGTTGATGGCTTCCCAGTTGAGTTCCGCAAAACATGGAAGAAGGTCTGGGGTTTCATGTTTGGCCGCCACATTTTTACAGAGGATGAATATGTCAGCTACATCGGCCGTCGTGGCGCATTCCGTGGCCTGTTGACCTGGAAGGGTACTGTCCAAGTCCCTCTTGATGGCACTCGTGATTTCCTCGAAAAGGTGTATGAGGAAAACCTTCCCTTGGTTCGGAGCAATCTTGAACGCAAAGAGAAGCAGAGCGCCGCTGCAAAGGCTGGAGGTCCTGGAGGTCATAAGGCCGACCCCACGGTCGCGCCCACCATTGAGCGAAAGCGCAAAGCCGAAGCTGATGCATCCGCAACCGCACCAGATGTCACAGCCGCCTCAAGCTCTGCTCGCGCAGATGCCTCGCACGCTGATGCCCCAGCCGCACCATTTCTGGTACCTGAACCACCAACATCCAAAGCAGGAGCACGACCATTCTTGGAGCCTGAGACACCGCCCACTGCAAAAGCAGCAACCGCAGGAGTCACTTCGAAGGCTGCAAGCTCCGGTCGCCCGGATGCCTCTTGGAGTTGGAATCGTGATCACTATGGTGCACGCCGAGAATGGAGTTTCTGGCGTGGGGCTTGGTATTACCGTGACGAGGCCGGCGGCCGTTGGATCTTTTGGAACCGTTAGGGAGACGATGATTTTCTTTTGTAGCATAGCGCAAGATGTGGCATGGTAATGTGCCTTCCTTGCAACGCTGCGCTGGGTTTTACGGGCTTGAGCTTTTTAGAGGGACCTTTGAAAGACTGCACAAAATGTCTAAAACCAACTAAAGAAATTCGGCTACCCGCGAGGGTATGCTTTTCTGGGTTATTCGTTCTCCGCAGTCGTCCCTGCTCGCCCGAGGGGGGTGTAAAAGCTCCTGCAGTAAAACCATGTATTGTATATATCATCGATCTGCCCGATAGCGTTGGTTCAAAAGAGCTGAGTGCTTAACGGTGTTAGCTTAGTATTTCACCCCATTGTCGGTTGACCTGGTAAAATACAGATAAAAAGGCAGATTTGGGCTAAGGAGCAGACGAGACTCTCAGGAACATCTAGGTATGTAGATGTCCATCTAGGTATTTGTTCAAGGGGAGTTAACCACCAGCCAACCTGTTTTAATTCTATGGTGGTTGAGTAGATCAGTATCAAATTAAAAGACACATGTGAGTTAGGTGAGGTATCGTCATACTATATAACATTGTTTGGATCTGTAAACTTGTCTCTTGAATCAATGATCCTAATCAAGACAACATGTTTTCTCTGAAGTTGGACATGAATATGATATGAAATTGAGATGAGTATGAGATCCCCATGAGAATGTCGCATGACATCCCCATTTCTTCAATGCTTGAGCGCGTCTAGCGCCTGAGGCCACCTGAGAAGCTTCCTAAGAAAAAGAAAGCGCGGCCAAAATGGGACGAGGCACGGCACGCCACGCTTGGAGAGCGCCCGGTGGGTTGATGAGGTTGGGGATGGGTCAAAACCTATGACAATTTATGGGAGTTTCCATGAATGGTGGTACCCCCATAGCTGGATGGTTTATTTCATGGAAAATACCCATGAAAATATGGTTGAGAACTGGGGGTAGCCCTATTTCAGGAAAGCCCTATATGAATTAAAAAAGAAAACCAGTAACCAACTATTATAGGCTACCTAGAGTACAAACGGGTTTTGACTCATAGCCAATTTTTTGGGGATATAAAGCTAGCCACTAGTGCCACTATATCCCAATATTTTTTGGGGAACATCACAGTCCGGGGATAAAGTTTATCCGATCCTGTGGGGATGATTTACAGGATTTAGCTGGATAAAGACCCTCTGGCCAGGTGGCAATGGAAAATATGATGGAACATCACCAGCAAAAAGTGATAGATCCCATAGGTAAATCATCGAACTAGATGGGCCATGGCTTCCATAACCAAGGGTCACTCTAAGTGATCTTGATTGGTGAAGGCAGTTGCATTGCCAAGGGGTGGCTGAACTTCGCTGCTTACATAGCTGAATTGTACAGATCTTGTAAGGTTTTGGAGACTTTTGATAGGCCAAGTTTCCTTTGCAAACGGATTCGCAAAACTGGCGGGTGTTCGCTTAAATGACTTCTCCATGATACAGTATCGGCTTCCATTGGCAGCCAACAGATGCTGCAATTTGACCTGCAGCAATTGGGATTTTGATGGGCACTAATTGAACCACAACTGTGTCTTCTTTGGTCAATTATGGTCAATTGTTTAAGGTGGAAATATGTGGAATATGTTCATATACACAACAGAAACTGCATTAAACAAGATGTTAAACTGCGGGGCATGGCAGGTTGATGAGGGAAATCCCCCCAAAAAAATCTTTGGGATCCAGCAGTTTTAAGGGATGTTCAGGCAGAATGCCATGGTATCGACCGCCACACAGTGTATGTAGCCAAACTAGGTCGTATGTATGGATATATATATATATAACTATATATTTATATTTATATATGGATATTATATGTATATATCCGAAACATATTGGTTTCTTCGGATGTTGGGGAAGGCAGTGGGATGTGATGTGAAATGCACATAAGGCTAGGATGGTAAGTTGGATTTAAGTAAGCTGGACTTGAGCAATCACCTTTCAGAACAGGAAATCAGCTATTGTTCTGCTTGATGTTCCAGCCGCAGAAAGTGTGCCTTCAAATATTTGCTGACCTATCGAATTCGGAGATGATAATCGCGATGGATTTCTGATGATCCAACCAACCTAGATTTTGTTTTACAAACATGTTTATAACAACTATTTATATATATATATATTATACAGTGGTTTATGAATACTTACAGTAGTTGTTTATTTTCCATTTTGCGCATATTTATCAACATGTTTTAACCTCTAATCAGACCTCCAGACCTCCCAGCGGTTTCCCGCCAGAAGTGGAGCCTCATTGGTTCAGATAGTCGTCGCCCTGCACCGTTGAGAAGGTCCTCCCCGAAAATGAAGTGGAGTTGGAGATATACTGGGACATATGAAATATACCCTCTGGTAATTTAACATAGCTATTGAAAATGGCAATTTATAGTGGATTTTCCCATTAAAAATTGTTATTTTCCATAGTTATGTTAGTTTACCAGAGGGTAACCAACCATTAGAGTTACCATACCCGGTGTCATCAAACATGGCGGGCCTTTTTTGGAAATCCCCGAGGATCCCCGAAAAATGGAGATTTTCAATGTTCGCTGGGAGAATCATTGAACCAAATGAGCCATGTTTGATAGCAGGAGGGCAAGATGGACCCTTATATAATATAAACAATTATGACTGGGAAGATGCGCCTCCAAAAGATGTTTTGCAGTAAAAGTTCCATGTGATTTGTTCAAGGGTGTAAGCATGTGCAAACCCTGAAACAGCGGAACTTGTAAGGATGGAACCTGAAGAGAAAACTTGGTTTGACACTGTTTCGAAATCTGGTATTCATTTCGGATATTGCCATTTCCTTTGCCAAATTTCTTGAGGGCTAACCGTCACCCATTTGGTGGTTCCACGGACAACTGGGACACCGAGACACAAAGGATGGCTCTATGTCTCAGAAAACGCTGATGGCAACCGATGATTTTAATATGGTATTAAATGGATGTTTTTGAACATGCTGGATGCCTTCAAATGTTTTTTTGGGGGGGAACATGATGATTAACCAACGGGATCCAAATGGTAGCTGGCTGAAAATGCACTGGTTTCTGGGTATTGCCCCACTTCACTACTCCAAAGTGGTTGCCGGGCTGCCAAATGAGCCTTCCGCGCAAATCAGAAGGCAGCCATTCAGCCATTCTCATCACTGGGTTTGACGATAACAACTCGCACTTTGTACATATATTGTTTGATCATGTCCGTTCTCAAAATAAATCCGGAATTTCTGCCTCACAAATAGGTATGACATGGTATGACCATTGTATGACCCGCTTTCTTCATGATTGTTCCAGGTTAGAAATCCACTCAGCCGCATTAACCAACAACCTGAGGGCGTGAGGCTCTTCGCCATCTGACAGGTATTTTGACAAAGTCCCTGCAGAGACTAGACCCCCGGTGGAGGTGAGGGGCAGTTCAAATCAGCGGTCTCGGCAAGTGACAGGTATTTTGCTGTGGGTCTCCAAATTTTCTGTGCTCTCTTCATGTTTGGGCAGTTCATTTGAACATTTGGGTTGTTGACTGTGAAAGGTTTTGGATCTAAGAAACTATTGAACTAGGCAATGCCTAAAGAAACTACTCCTTAAAACTCAGTGCTGCGAGACAGCCCATTCCAGAAAAGATTGACCGTCAAGTAAAAGCAACTCCAAGCTTAGGTCTTGGGTCGTTTCTTTCGGGCATTTTGCTGCAGATGCTTCTATATGCTCAAAAAATATAGAGTGCATCTCTGATCTGCTAGAAAAGAAACTAGTGCAGATTGGGCCACCCCCAGTCTTCCATCTCTGCCCCTGCGCACACTGCAACTTGCGGCCAGCCCATTCGTCCCGACATGCGGAAGAAAGAAGCGAACGTTCGGTACTGAGACGTGCGAAGAGATGCTGACTTAGTGGGATAATCCAATCATTTAGCCTTTACATATTAGGATCTGATGCTTTGGTGCGGAAGTATGACTGGGGCCGGGGTATGATTTCGGGGTTGGTTTGTCCATGTTTGTCCTTTCTGAAGAAGTAATTAATTATTTGGACCCAGAGGAATACGGTATTTTAATAGGTTGTGGCCCGTCCACAATGATCGATTTCAGGGTAGTTGGGGCTTGACCCGGCAGATTTCCACTGGTCACTCAATTTATATCAAGGTTTCCTAAGTCATGGGGGTACCCCAAATCATTGAAGTCATGGATGACCATTTCAGTATTGAAACACCCATGGTGACTTAGGGATCCCTGATTTGGGAAACCCCTAAATATATCTAAATATACTGTAGCCGAGTAACGGCACATCAGGCATGGCATGAAAGTCACCACATCACTGGTCATCATACCAGGGGGGTTCTTCATACAAAACGATGTGGAAAAAAAACATGGTTTCCCTAGGAAAACCATTTGCAAATGGTTTTTTTTACTTCTTATGTTAGTTTGCAGGAGGGTACATTTGTACATGATCCACACCATGCTTCACCTGTTTGGCAGGTCACTGTGGATTTGTCGGAAAAACGTGTACCTGATGATACCCCTACATATATAAGCCCATTGGACAATGATAATGATCATGTGTCCCATTAAACCTGCCGTCCCGCAAATTTGATAATTTATCATCATTTCCCCTCTCATATATGCACATGATGGCCATTTGACAGCTCATACCACATTTCCAGACACCCAAAAATCCGAAATCCGAAATATCGATTTAAAATGATGTAATCATATGTAAACTATTCTGATATATTCTAATTATCCAAGAGTTCAATCCCTATGTTTTAACGTTAAGTCCCTGTATTTCTTCAGTACTTCCATCCTATCCCATGGGCGCCTGCACTTAGCCTCGCTTCGAAGAAGACGATCGCTTTGAAGCGTTGGTGCCGTTGGAACCGGGGAGAACCCAGCACGCAACCCACCCGGTGTCACATGGGCGTTAACAATACGGAAAACTCCCAAACAATGCAAAAGCATATATTTATATATAATATTATATAATTAGAATATACACATTAAATCCCCATGAGAACTCATCTATATCCATGTTTGATGACACCGGAGAGTAAGGATTGATGATCTGTCAGAGCAACACAGTTTATCAAGGTGCAAGGAGCCACAGCAGTGTTCAAACCCCTAGCTACATATGGTTGTTTCTTGTGATTTTCGAACGACTCAGATCCAATCAGTATTTTTTCTTTTCCATTACTATATTGTCATAAACTCACAATTGTAACCATCAATGAGCATACCCCACAGCAATTGAAAGTCTGCCTTTGGAGTAAGAAATTCATTTGAATGGGGAGCCAGGTTAGACTACTAGAGGGCAAATGATTCCACAATTTTAAACCTTTGCCCAACGGTCCAAAATTAAGACTTGAAGAAAACGGAGAAAGGACACAGGAACCATTAGAACTCTGAAAGTTATGGACATATTATTCACAGAGAGTCCAACTTGTTTAAACATGTTTAAACCATGCTTTCCCATGGGATGTCTTGAAACTTTCATCCGTTTTCCTCGCCACTTTCGCTGCCAGCTCTATGGCAACGGTTGGTTGGATTGCTGGGGTCAGCGTGGCTCCAGCGACAATGATTCACTGCATCCACTACTCAGGTCAGAAATCACAGGTCTCATGGGCCCCAAACGAAATGGACGTTTTCAGAAACGTGTTTTCATGGGATATGGGAAGATTCATGGGGAACATATCCACCAGAAACATGTGTTTTAATTTTATTCATGGTTTTAATTTTATTTCAAAAAATGGGGATCTTCCAGCCATGTTTGATTGCCGGAGGGTCACACAGACATGTCCAATACTAAAATCATTTCTGGGATCGCAGTTTTTTTTGGGGTTCCATGTAACATTTACCGGGTGTATGCTTTAGGGAGTCAGTTGGCCATCAGAATATGAGTTCACCATCCAAACGTGATATAATGTGGGATGATATGGGTATATACTGCAATACATATTATCTGATTTATTATTCCAAATTCTTGTTTTTGGAACACTGTTTGAGATCAAGAATAAATTTTATTGATATGCTTGGGGTGGCAAACAACCAGCCAGAAATGGAACATACTTGAACCACTAATTTTGTGGAGACTGATCCAAAAACAAACATGTAGCGAGTGAATGAGAGTAACTAGTCTTACTTGATGTTAGTTGGGGTCTGGGGGTATGACCCCACTGACAGCTTGGGCCCCCGTTGTTGCAGAGTTTCTCATCCCCCAAACATGACGAACATGTATATTTGCATTGTTGGTTTGTCAAATAGGACCCAGAATCTCATACCTGATTCTCATTTTCCTATATTTTCCCTCTGAAAAATGGGTTCATTTTTAGGTTTATGACTTTTTACGGATTTGGAGCTCCGATGCTCCAGGCATTACTTCGATCATCGCGGTATCGAAGTTGCTGGGACGGAATGACAGTCCCTATGGCTCCAGCCGTAGCTTCTGAGGAATTATAACTGGGGTATGACTGGGGGGTGAATTGTATCTAACTTCTCAGGAAGTACGGCTGCATCCATGGGGAGTAAGTTGGTGGTGAACTACACTACACCGTTCTTATTGAGTATGTTGGATGAAAAGATTGTGGATACCTGCGTTGATTGCAAATTCATGCAATTTCAAGCAATTTCAGGGGAAAAAATATGATTGGCCCTTGGATTCAAATGATATCACATTTTCAGACAAAAGCAGTGCACGACTGTATTTGGGACTGCAACCCCCGTTATTTCAAGGATTATATATAAAGTCTTAACTTATTTCAATTTGCTACGAAGTTGCATCAATTGACCCGCACTTTCTTTTTTAAGATTCCATTTTTGGGGGGGGATAAGGAGGATAAGGGAAGTTATTAGACAGTCATCGCAAAACTATTTCACCACTTCCTCGACAACTTTTCAGCACGCAGACATTTGAGTGTGCCTGAAATTAGGGTATGCCCGTAAGACTACGGCCTTTTTAACGGTCAAAACACATATTGACTATGTGTTTTTTGTTCGTGTCGTAACCTTCTAAAAAGATAGAAAAGATAACATTGCAAAACATTGTGATGTTTCTCACTTTTCTGCATCTTTTGGGGCACATCGCCATCTTCCGCCGAGTCCTCCTATCGCCAGCGTCCCACTGCGGATCATCCTTGGCTGCAGACACTGCCGCCGCGCACGCCGCAGCGGCCCTCTGCGAGGCGCTTTTTTCAGCTTACTCTGCTGGAAATAATCGGTATTAATGGTAATAGTGGGTTTACAGTGGGTAATATTGGTTAATAATGGTAATAAGGGTAATAACCCGCTATTAACCAATATTACTCCACTATTTAATAGTCTTAGTGGGTAATATTGGTTAATAGTGGTTAACAGTGATTGTTATTTCGGTTAATAATGATTATATAATAGTGGTTGATAGTGGGTTATAATATTGGTTACTAGTGGGTTGTATTGCTTAATAGTAGTTAATAGTGGTTATAAGAATGGCTAATAATTATTAATAGTGGTTTATAGTGGTTAATAGTGAGTTATATTGGTTAATAGTGGTTCATAAAGGTTATAATAATGGTTAATAGTGATTAATCATGGTAAATCATGGTTAATCGTGTTTAGTGGGTAAAATTGGTTAATAGTGATTAACAGTGGTTATTATTACGGTTCCGAATGATTAATAGTGGTTAGTAGTGGGTTATATTGGTTACTAGTGGGCTATATTGCTTAATAGTAGTTAATAGTGGTTATAACAATGGCTAACACTAGTTAATAATGATTAATAGTGGTTAATCATGTTTAATCATGTTTAGTGGGTTATATTGGTGCATAGTGATTAATCGTGGTGGTTTATAATGGTTAATATTGATTAATAGTGGTGAATCATGGCTAATCATGTTTAGTGGTTAATAGTAGTTAATAATGGTTATAACAATGGTTAATAATGATTAATTGTGGTTAACAGTGGTTAATAGTGGTTAATAGTGGGTTATATTGGTTAGTAGTGGTTCATAAAGGTAATAATAATTTTGCATTGTGATTAAGAGTGGTTAATCATGGTTAATCATGTTTAGTGGATTATATTGGTTAAGAGTGGTTAATAGTGGTTATACTGATGGTTAATATTGATTAATAGTGGTTAATCATGGTTAATCATGTTTAGTTGGTTATATTGGTTAATAGTGGTTATAATGATGGTTAATAGTGATTAAGAGTGGTTAATCATGGTTAATCATGTTTAGTGGATTATATTGGTTAAGAGTGGTTAATAGTGGTTATACTGATGTTAATATTGATTAATAGTGGTTAATAATGGTTAATCATGTTTAGTTGGTTATATTGGTTAATAGTGGTTATAATGATGGTTAATAGTGATTAAGAGTGGTTAATCATGGTTAATCATGTTTAGTTTGTTAAATTGGTTAATAGTGCTTAATAAAGGTTGTAATGATGGTTAATAGTGATTAAGAGTGGTTAATCATGGTTAATCATGTTTAGTGGGTTATATTGGTTAATATGATTAATAGTGTTTAATCATGGTTAATCATGTTTGGTGCGTTATATCGGTTAATAGTGGTTAATAGTGGTGGTTTTCATGGTTAATAATGATTAATAGTGGTTAATCATGGTTAATCATGTTTAGTTGGTTAATACTTGTTAATCATGGCTATAATGATGGTTAATAGTGACTAAGAGTGGTCAATTATGGTTAATCTTGTTTAGTGGGTTATTGGTTAATCATGGTTTAGTGGTTCATAAAGGTTATAATAATGGTTAACAGTGATTAATAGTGGTTAATCATGGTGAATCATGTTTAGTGGGTTATATTGGTTTATAGTTGTTAATAGTGGTGGCTATAATGGGTAACATTGATTGATAATGCTAAATCATGGTTAATCGTGTTTAGTGGGTTATATTTATTAATATTGGTGGATAGTGCTTAATAGTTGTTAATCATGGTTAATTATGTTTAGTGAGTTTTATTGGTTAATTAATAGTGGTTAATTTTGGTTATAATAATGGTTAATAATGGGTGATGTATACAACGGAACCAAATAATGTATAATATATCTGATATCTGGGTTAATTGGAACGACGGCACTATTCTCCCTCACTGGAATAATGGTTAGTAAGGGGAATTATCCCCATGTGGTCTTATTTCATCTTATTTCAGGTTAGTGTTTTTTTTTGGGGCCCAGATATGCAGCAGGAGGTTTCCAAAAAATGGGGGATCCCCATGGATGGTTGATTGGAAATTCCCCATCTATAAATGCATGATACAAGGTGGGGTCCCTAAGGTGAACATAACTCCGATTTCACTATGATTTGTGATACGCAAAGAACATGAAATAACTCTAGGGGGTTAGAATTCAACTTATAATTGGGGGGCTTGAAATATGGGCTTGTATCCATAAATCCAATGATAAGTTCATAATTATCCCTATGAAATGGCCATATTTGGTGGTATACCCCGTTTTTAGACACATCCATACATGGTTACCCAGTGGTAAACTAACATAGCTATGGAAATTCACCCTGGTTGAATCTGTTTGATCGGTTCATCATCTGTAAATATGTCATGTTCCATAGCTATGTTAGATTACTGGAGGGTAATGTCAATGGGAATTCCAGGATCCTAAAATGGAGGTACTGTACCATATAAGGCCATATTTTGGGGGGGATATCCCCTTACATAGCCCTTATATAGGCCTTATATATGGTAGGTACCTTCAATCTAGGATCCTGAAATGGTCGTTGATAATGTATGGGATAATGTATGAGAAATACATTGATAAACCATCCCCAATAGAGGTATATGAAATTGGGGAAAAACCTCTATGACTGGGATGATGTAAAATGACACCCAAACCATGGTTAATATATGGTTAGTTAATGTGTTTTAAATACGTACTGGGTATATTTATATTATATATATATAGAGTCTAGAGTTGATAATCCCATCCTTCTAGTATCAAACACCCCCTCAATGGATTTAAATTGTCCAAATATACGGGTAAATTCCCTATTCGACCATGGTTTCTGGGGGTGTTGAATATCAGGGGGATGGGATTGATCAAACATGGCAATGTCAAGAAAAAAACACATTACTTTCCTGACTGGGAAAATCCGCTCGGGCACAATTAGCTTGTTTTGTTGGCAATGATTTCTTTGTCATAAGTGGATCTAAATTGGGAAATCGATGAACCAGTCAACAACTTCATTTTTTGCGGGGCATGTAGGCTTGGCTGGTTATGAGTCCTTTTTTTTTGTTTATACCTCGGTGTTCCATTTTTAACTGCAGAGGCACATGACAATTTCACAGTGGAAATCCACATCCTGGGCAGGGCCTGGGTTTTTGTGTCTGCCTCGGAAGTGTAAACCACCCAACCTTCGGTAGTAATTCATGTCATTTGCATCACAATATATATATATGTAAATATGTATATATGTTTATATGTATATGTATATATATATATATATATATGCATATGTATATCTACCATTATTTTCTACAATAAATATCCATAAATCCTAATTATTGTAATCCGCGTAGCTATCATTTGTGTAGTATTTAATTTGGCTTATAAGTTAACTTATAAGCACACATATATACAATATACCCATCTTACAGGTAGATCAGTATATATACATAGTACCTCCAAAAAGAGATAGAACTTCGTAACATCCTACTGAAATTGCAACAATAGTGCTCTTGATCACTTGTATGCATCTTTTCGAGGCTTACTATTATATACATATAAGTATCATATAATTGTAAAATATATATACATATGTATTTTGGGGCTTACCTATATATATATATACATATATATATAATATATAATATACTATATATATATATATATCTTCTTGGTGCAGCTTCCCCCATGGACCCAGCATGAGGACCCTGAAGACGAAGATCATCAACCGCGCCACCATGGCGCCCAAGCCGCCAGATCCCGATGCACCGCCCAAGAGTATCCCATGGGGTGTGAGGTGCCGAGATGCCGGGGATGGGAAGCTATGTCTATATGGCACATGTTGATATGTTATGTTTGTATAATGTTATGTTATGGTATTATTACATTGTTATGTGCTATGATATGTGAACTGCATATGCATATATGTATTGTATTCCTCGATACATATGTTATCTAGAATCTAGATACATATGATATATATATATATATATATATATGTATGTATATCAAATTATGTGTATATATGTCATATATATACATTCTATACTGTTAGCTACATATACTGTATGTAATTATCTATATAGCCGGGGAAGTTGGTTTGCCCAGGTCCTACTTGGAGTTTCATTGTGGGGTGATCCCAATCCCATTGGGTCAATCTGTGACGACCATCCGTAAAACCTGAGCGTGGACAGTCTACGTTTGGCTTTTAAGTAGACCCTACAAGGTTTGGCTTTCAGCACTCAGTGTTTTTGTTGGTGGTTTTGCTTACGTTCACCCCAGCATTTTACCTCCAGATGCCTCACCAAGTTTGACGCGAGTAGATAAATTGCCAGGAACATCATCCACATATTGACATTTGGAATATTCTATAAGCTTTATTTCAACTATATATATATTTATATGCTTATATTATCTATAAACTCGATATCATGTTATTTATTTACTCAATTCATATTTCAATATTTCATTTTATGAACATTATGAACTCCAGAATTCAGAGCAACCATGCTCTTTTATATACATATACCTGGTTCATCCTGGTTCCACATTTCAGAAGGCTGTTAGGGCCGTTGGATCCACAAGTCGCAAGCGCCGGTGTTGCCAGGTGTTTGCGTTACGGTGGTGATTACCAGGCGGCCATGTCTTTTCGGTACCTTCACTCCCTTCACTGGGTAAAGCTTGAAGGAAAATCAGTGGATGGTGTATCTCATTGTTTTGCTTGTCAGGGATGGAACATTCCGTGCCAATGGTTGCTCATATATATATATATATATATCATATTATGATTCTGCATGTATCTCTGAAATAAATGGAACCATTTGATCTTTGCAATAAATGGAACCATTTGATCTTATTGCAAGAACTGGAACCATTTGATCTTTGCAATAAATGGAACCATTTGATCTTATTGCAATAAATTGAACCATTTGATCTTATTGCAATAAATGGAACCATTTGATCTTATTGCAATAAATGGAACCATTTGATCTTATTGCAATAAATGGAACCATTTGATCTTATTGCAATAAATGGAACCATTTGATCTTATTGCAATAAGTGGAACCATTTGATCTTTGCAATAAATGGAACCATTTGATCTTATTGCAATAAATGGAACCATTTGATCTTTGCAATAAATGGAACCATTTGATCTTATTGCAAGAACTGGAACCATTTGATCTTATTGCAATAACTGGAACCAGTTGATCCTATTGCAATAAATGGAACCATTTGATCTTATTGCAATAAATGGAACCATTTGATCTTATTGCAAGAACTGGAACCATTTGATCTTTGCAATAAATGGAACCATTTGATCTTATTGCAATAAATGGAACCATTTGATCTTATTGCAATAAATGGAACCATTTGATCTTATTGCAATAAATGGAACCATTTGATCTTATTGCAATAAATGGAACCATTTGATCTTATTGCAATAGCCAGTTGATCTTGTTGCAATAACTGGAACCATTTGATCTTATTGCACTATATGGAACCATTGATCTTATTCCAATAAATGGAACCATTTGATCTTATTGCAATAAATGGAACCATTTGATCTTTGCAATAACTGGAACCATTTGATCTTATTGCAATACCTGGAACCATTTGATCTTTTTGCAATAACTGGAACCAGTTGATCCTATTGCAATAAATGGAACCATTTGATCTTATTGCAATAAATGGAACCATTTGATCTTATTGCAATAAATGGAACCGTTTGATCTTATTGCAATAAATGGAACCATTTGATGTTTGCAATAAGTGGAACCATTTGATCTTTGCAATAAATGGAACCATTGATCCTTGCAATAAATGGAACCATTGATCTTTGCAATAAATGGAACCATTTGATCTTTGCAATAAATGGAACCATTTATCTTTGCAATAAATGGAACCATTTGATCTTTGCAATCAATGGAACCATTTGATCTTTGCAATAAATGGAACCATTTGATATGCGATATCAGTGATATCCTGCTAAGGGGAAACATTTTCAGTGTTTCACCATTATTTCGCGTCTTCACAGATACGCTGAAGTGTACCAGTGGACCGTCCCTCAAATACTCAGCGCACTTAATAGTTGGGACCACAGGTGCCAGAGATACTGGTAATTTATAGATCAATAATATATATATATATAGATATTAATAATATAAGTATATTATATGTGTTCCATTCATGATATTTCAGTTTTTGTTTTATATGTTTTCTGGCAGGTTGTGGTTTCCATTTCAGTTGATCAATAGCTGTGTTTGTCATAGGCTGCCCATGGGCCATCCGCCAGGCACATCACTATTTGCCGAAGTCGCATAAGATCCCTTGGGTCTACGACCACAACCGCAGGCACGGTGTTGGTAAGCGAATGTAAGCGAAAAAAACAATCGTAGGCCTCCTGGGCTAACTTGTACTGGCGCTGCCAAATCCATAATGTGTGTGTGTGTTTTTTCGGATGCTCAAAGAAATGGAATCATGCTGATGTGAAACGACCATGGTGACCATAGGATTCACTGAGGACCCCCAGAATGCCCATGCATCCAGTGGAGTGGTACGTGACTAGTGCATGACTGGAACTTCAATCAGCAGGTCATGTTAGTATCCTAAGTAGGTGATCCGATCTATAAATGGATTAACAATGAACTAACTATGGTTATTAAATGTTATTAACATCGATTAAATGGATGAACTAAGTATGGTATTAACCACTAACTATGGTTATTAACATCTATAAATGGGATGATCCATACTCCATACCCTGCAATCTGAGCCCACGCCGCCTTCGCAGTGAATCGGAAGACAACGAGGTGATGAATCTTTTGCTTCGGTGACCTCGACGCACAGTCGGTGGGTTTGTTGAAGATCGGTTGATGGGAATCATCAGTTGACTGATGTGGCTGATAGATTTATACCACTTGAATTTTCTGGTGAAATTTAAGGGCTGGTTTATTGTTGGGTTATTTTCACGTGGGTGTGTTTGGGGAGAACCACCTCATAGGATGCTTACTCATCATGTTCATTCCGCTTTTCCTATGATATTATTCCCCACCTGCCAGGTGAGGGTCTCTATTTTTTAACCAAGGTGCAATTCCGTCTCCTTCCTCTTCTTTTTCTCCTGGTCTTCTGCGCACTCCTCTTTGGTGTCCTCCTCCTTCCAGTTCGTCGGAACTGTTAGCATGAACGGATCCGACCCATATGGCGAGCGCAGGATGCTGTGGAGGGCGCCTGGACCCGAACACATGCCAGATAGAATGCTCGAAAGAATGTGAGAATATGTATAATATATATATAATTAAATATATATATATAATTAATTATATATATATAATTATATATATATATGTGTGCAATTATATACATATATATATATACATACATACACCATACTTCCAGATGGTATGTCAGAAACTATGTCAGAATAGTGCGTCAGGGTTGGGACAACTCAATTTTTTTTTGGGGGGGAGTGTACGCCATTTTTAGACACACTCAGATCATCTCAAATCAATTTCCATCCCAGCTTTCTGGTTCTTGTATGTATTTTGCTGGTCGATGTTTTGGAGTTTCTTGGGAGATGTTCTATATATTTATTTACCATCACACTCAAAGACAGCGTTCAATCAGCAACAAAATCTTGGCCACCACGGTCTTTGCTACATTCTGTGTCAATCGACTCATGCTCGAGTGGAATCCAACCCTTGAGTAATGTGATGGGACTGTAGATCATCCTATATGGAGGGTGTATGCTGACAACTATGATAACACGAAAAGAAATCAGAATTGACCACTTAACTTCACGGTCTCGGACGTTTGTTTGACCTTGCTTATAAAATGTTATAAACCTTTCGTTGCTTTGCTGTTGCTTGGGTAACGACCGAACTTTGGGGGCGGCACAACGGAGGTAACCTGTGGACTGTTCATAACCTGTGGACTGTTTGTAAGCGGAATGGGGCCACCCATATGGTTTCACCTCAAGTCCCCAATTTTTTGTGTCCATCCATGCCTGTGTTTTTTTTCAGACTGATATGGTATCCTCATGCAGCCATTCATTTCCAATTTGAAGTGCCAAGACTTCTCTGTAGATCCTCGCAGCGAGGCACTACTTCGATGCAGACGGAATTGAGTCATCTTTCAGGAGGGCCGTTTCGCGATGTTTCGCGTTTTGCAGGGGGAGCTCTCAGCCATGACAAGGAAGCCATATAGAAATGGTGATTTCCCCATGATTTCCCCCCATCATTTCCAGCTTTCCAACTGTTCAGCATCTTTTTGTTGGGGTGTTTTTTTTTTTCCTTATGGACGTAACTACTGTATGGACCATGACAATTTCTAGATGATTCACCTATTTTCATCATGGTTTTCCATAGCCATGTTAGATGGCCAGAGGTGATGTCTGTTGGGATAATCTCGAAGGAACAATCTCGACAGACTGGATAATAAAACGGAGATCCTTTACATTTCGCAACATTCTCAAAGGGATCAATATGATATATGTTATTTATTGTTATTTGATATACGGCTTCAATTTTTGCCTGAAAATAGTTTAGCCCTAAATCCATCATATCATATCATGCGATGTCCAGCTTGCTAGGAGGCACCCCAAAATCGGCTCACATCTCCCCAAGAATGGTCAGAAAAATCTAGACTGGAAACCAGCAAGAATTTGAGGCATAAAGATCCCTGCTTTTCCTGTAGATTTCCCTCAAAAAAGAAGGATTTCATCGGCCTCAGGAATCGAGGGCGACAGTTCGGGCGACCCGTGAGGTCTGTCTTTGGGCGACAATTGTGGGGAGACCTAGGGGACGCACATCCAGCACCGAGCTCGGCGAAGGATGATTGGGGTATGACTAGGTGGTTCGGAAGTACGGCTGATATAAATTGATATAAATGATTTGTTTTTTCCCCAAGTGAAAATGGTGAAAATGATGTAATATCATGATTTTCATGCAGTTCGAAGAAACAAACGCTAGGTAGTTTCATCAAACAGCAGTGGTTAGGCGGTTTGGAAAGTTCTGTAACAAGATTGTTCAGAAAATGGCCAGCACAATTTGAGTTTTGAGCAACATAAGGAATCAGCGACCCAAAGACGTTTAGCAAGCATGGTAATGATCTACATTCATGGTGGATTTCCAAAAAAATCCAGGGCTTTATTGGAGCGTACCCAGATGAAACAAAGGATACCCTCTGGTCATTTAACATAGCTATGGAAAATCACCATCTATAGTAGGTAAATCCACTATAAATGGTCATTTTCAATAGCTATGTTAAATTACCAGAGGGTAGCCATTCGCAAGGTGTTCAAGACAAGTCATGGAAACTGATTAGATGATATTCCCTGAGCCCTGAGCTATGCGATTCGGTTTTGTGGTTGAATACCGTTTGAAATCTCTCCCCCCAAAAAAGTGAGGGTCAAAAAAGTCTTACCATGTCTTACGAGTGCAATCCCCTTATGCTATGGGTTATTGTGCCTCTTGCCAGGTATCCAAAGATGGTATAAAAGAAGGATGATAGAAACTTAATCTGAGTGATCGTATCATACCGTATCCAACATGGTCTTCCAGCATCAGTCATGGATGTTTCATGGAACAAGAGGAACAACACCAAGCTGTCTATAGTTTGTTTCCTTTTTTCGTTTTGGAGTGAGCTGGTCATGGATCAATGTTTGCAAACATTTCATGCCCATTCGAAGGTCATGATCAGCATGGATTTGCTGAGTTGGTGATGGAAAATTGATGATGTCTGATGTTTTTCTCGGGAAATATTGACGAATCTATGTAGTGGAATCTATATAGGGAATATATCATTATAATTAATGTTGTTTATGGATTCCATGCGGAAAAAAGGGAATCCATGGGGAATATTCCGAAGATTTTTCCCCACCTGCCAGGTGAGGGTTGTTAGATTTTATGTCAGTTGCCTGCTCCTCCTCTGCTCTCCTCTCCTCCTCATCTCCTCTCCTCCTCCTCCTCGTCGTCCTCCTCGTCCTCCTCGTCCAACTGCGACCCGCGATCCACAGTGTTCTCTGTCGGAACTCAACCACGACCATCCATGCTCAGTGTTCCCTGCCGGACCTCAACCGCGAGTATCCATGCCAAGTGTTCCCTGCCGGACCTCAACCATGACCATCCACGCCCAGTGTTCCCTGCCGGACCTCAACCACGAGCATCCACGCCCAGTGTTCCCTGCCGGACCTCAACCACGACCATCCACGCCCAGTGTTCCCTGCCGGACCTCAACCGCGAGTATCCACGCCAAGTGTTCCCTGCCGGACCTCATGTAGGAAGATATGGGACAAAGAATGTGCAGAAGAAAGTTAGAAAGAATGTCAGACAAGATATGCCAGATAGAGTGCCAGAAGATATGCCAGAACATATGCCAGAAGATATGCCAGGTAGAATGCCAGAAGATATGCCAGATAGAATGCCAGAAGGTATGCCAGATAAAGTGCCATAATGTTTGCCAGATAGAACGCCAGAATATTTGCCAGATAGAATGCCAGATAGAATGTCAGATGATATGCCAGAAGATATGCCAGATTAAGTGCCAGAATGTTTGCCAGAACATATGCCAGAAGATTTGCCAGATAGAATGCCAGATAGAATGTCAGAAGATATGCCAGAAGATATGCCAGATAGAGTGCCAGAAGATATGCCAGAACATATTGCAGAAGATATGGCAGGTAGAATGCCAGAAGATATGCCAGTAACCAAACGTATAGATGTCATGGTGGGGATAACTCGAAGTAAAGTATTTTTTTTTTCGATGTTGCTTGGGTTAGAGCAATCCAAGAAATAAAGCCTCAGACTTTTGAAGTCGGAAGATCACATCCAAATCCACATGGCTTTCTTGTCAATCTTCATCCGCGCAACCTTGTTTGATACCCCAAACCAGCAACCAATTTCCAGCAACCAACTCGATCATCCAATTTGGACTGGGTCAACCTTGACATCAATCCCCAAATGTCCAGCATGTCCAGCATGTCCAGCCTCTGGCCAGCCTCCGGCCAGTAAACAACCGGATCAAAAACTCGCCGCTGTGGCTTCATTGGCGAGCCTCAGCACTGCGACACCCGGTGATCAATCCATGCAGGCGGGATTCCAGATATATTTTTTTTTGTTTCACCATTGCATCGACCCAATGGATTTTGTGTTTGGGGTCTTTAAAAACAGTTGCCCTGTATATAGTTACTCAGCTACTTTACCATTGAATTGAGTTTAGCCAGGAAGCAAATCGAAGGTGTATGAATAAATAGCAACGATGGGCACATGTGAACGAACCTAGGTGACGTTTGTTGATGTTACAAAATTCTGGAGTTTCACCAATTATAAACTGGTAATACGCAAGAAGCATTGGTGCGAATGGTAGCTTTTCGCTTCGTTACATTGAGTTGCCATGGGGAAGTACAACGCCACAACGCCCAGATGAAATTCAACTTTTTCCTTCTAAAGCTAAAGCTAATACTGTAGGGTAGCAATCCATTTGGCTTTGCACATGTTTTCACATGTTTGATCCTCCCAATTCCAGAGGATTTGAAGAGTTTTTCCTTTATACGGAGGTTTCCTAAGTCACGCAAAATTTCATCCATTTTAATTGGATTGAAATTTCTATTTAAAAAAACGCACATCCAGCCATTTTAGGCAACTTTAATCGGATTTTCCACTATGAACCATCCAGCTATTGGGGTGCCCCCATTTTAGGAAACCTCCATTACCCTCTGGTAAACATTCACATAGCTATTGAAAATGGCCATAGAAATAGTGGATTTTCCCATTAATAGCATGGTGGATCTTTCCATAGTTATGTAAACGTTTACCAGAGGATACCCCCCATTTATGGTGATTTTGGGAATGGTTTATCTTTCAGCTTCCCACATTATATGGGGATTATTACGGGATTATGGGGAATCTGGGGGTAAACATTTCCACCGGTGCCAGGAGTCACAGAGTGAACCCTCACTGCGGGAGCGCAGGCGGCACGGGGCGCGTGTATCGATCGATGAACAAAGAAATACCGTACAATGTGAGGCCCCCGTTCGATAGCTAAGTTGGTGAACATAACTCCAATAACTATGGTTTATGGTATTTATAACATTTTATAACTATAGTTACTGGGGCGAATCTAAACCAACAAACATATCTTGGGGGCCCCACATTGTACCCTTTAAAGTAACAGTAACCATGAATTTGCTATGGAAAATTGCCCGTGTGTAGAAAATTGACCTATCAAACATTGTGTTTTTTCATACCGTTAGATTGCCAAAGGTTTATATTTGCTAAGACAGAACTGGATATACTCGATGATTTCAGAGTGTACGTGAATATTTTTACATGGTGAGCAGCACGGACAAGAAACACAACATATTAAAGTGGTGATGTCCAATAGAGTGGTAAGACATTATATTGTATATCACTCAGCTATGGCAGCAAACATCCTTTATATTATGCTCAAAATAGTGAGGATATAAGTCAGACTGGAAATTACAGCCTATTCACGGCTGATAAGCGCATATTTACGCAAGTACCAATGATATTCAGTAGAGATATATTGCACCCATGACCAGACATCCCTGAAGCCGTCAGAATCCCCGCATCAAGCAAACATCGACTGTACATTGCTGAGCACATTCACACAAAGGAGATTCAGGCGGTCGATGCAACTTAACTTGTTCTAGGTGGCTGCTGGTAGAATGAAGGTCCAGGAATATATATATATATGATAATATAATATATATATATATATATGATTATATGTATATATATAATATAATATATATAATATAATATGTAATATATATATATATAATATATTATATATAATATATTATATATTATATATTTAATATATAATATATTATATATTGTATAATATATTTAATATAATATATATATATATAATATTTATGTATTATAATATATATATATATATATAAATCATGGACACCAGATGTATGGCCATGGATCCAAGGCCAAAGAACATGCAACGATTCTGAGACCGAACAAGAACCGCTATGCAACGCATCAGGCCAAAGTGAAATCGTTTGCACAGCACTGCTGGGGGTTTCCCGTGCTGAGTGCCGGCGAATTTGGGGGCGAAACTTGGCGAAAGACGCATGTTCTGCTAGAGCCAAAACACGTGGAGCAGACACAAGTTTGGGTTTGTCCAAGAATTAGGGATGCCCAGATGGCCGTTTTCATCGGAGAAAGACACTATCAACATTATTTCAACAGCTTTTCTTTTGCTCTACGCCAGATTCAGAGAAAAGCAGAGATGTGAACAGCCCTGATGTACCTTCAGGATTGATTTCACTTGCGAAGCGGAGCTGATGGCAATGCTGGCTTATGTTGTTTTTCATTTACTAATTTTATGTAGATTATTTTATAATATTATAATAGGATTTTTTTTATAGTACAATAGATACAGGTTTGTTTTAGGTGATTGCTTATTTTCACAATGGAAAATCAATGAAAATCCACCATTTGGGGAACCTATAGAGAATATTTCCACACCTGCCAGGTGAGCGCCTCTAGATTTTAACAGAGTTACTTCCTCCTCCTCCTTCTCCTCTCCTCCTCGTCCTGCGAGCTCCAGATCTCAGTGGGCACCGCCGGACCTCAAGCACTGAGATCTGGCGCTCGCGGTTGAGGTCCGGCAGTGCCCATGTCAGAGAGAATGTCAGAATAAATGCCAGATAGGATGCCAGACAGAATGCCAGATAGAATGCCAAAATGAATGCCGGAATGAATGCTTGAATAGATGCCAGATAGAATGCCAGAATAGATGCCAGAAAGAATGTCAGAATAGATGCCAGAAAGAATGTCAGAATAGATGGCAGGCAGAATGCCACAAAGAATGCCAGATGGGATGTCAGAGTATATATATGCCATAAATACTTCCAGATGGTATGTCAGAAGCCAGAATAGAGTGTAAGGGTGGGAATTACTCGAAGTAAAGTAATGTTGGATTTTTTTGGGTACCCCTTAACATTGTTAGTAACTGTGCTTTCAGACTGTACCGGAGAGTGACGGTGACCTGTCTTCAATTGTCTTTGGCCAAGTCAAGTCCTGCTTAGCTGCTCCGTTCATTACAGTTATGCTGAGTTATGCCATGGTTTGCTCCAACTTGAGAGTGCAGTTCCGTATAGATTTCCGGAAAGTGATCCCCAGAAAGATAGAAAGGCTATTGGTCGTTTAGGACTTCGAATTGGCTGAAGGGACAATTGAACATTTAGACATCCCTATCTTTAATGGTAAACATGTAGAGTTTCTCTCAAATCATCTCATTGAAGCTAAGAACCTTGGAGTGGGCGATGGATGCTGTGTTTTTTTTCGGGCCAAGCTCGATGTCGGGATCCAGAAGGATTTCGTCCCGCGAGATGACGGCGTTTAGACATGGTCTGAGTAGCTGAATTTTGACAAAAATGTAGTTGACATTAGTTGACTACATTGAATTCTGAGTAGCTGAATTTTAACTAAAATAATCATGTCAAACAAATGTAGATTCAGAAGATTCATGATTTTGAACCCTTGAATGTGTTCTTTTTTTTTCCGGAAAAAACAAAAAGGGACAATGATGAACCCGACTGGATATTTAGGGGGTCATATTCAGACACACAAAAAATAATTCAAAGAATCCTTTATTGAGAGATTAGCTGTTGAAATCGTTTTTGGAAGTGCGTAAATTGACTGTAATCAAGAAGTGCGTTTATTATCAATGTTCTAATTCACTAAACTTATTATTTTTCGGTTGCTCCATGTTCAGACACACAAAAAAAAACATCACCAGTTTCAATAGCCGGACACAACCGAACCAATTCCTTCACCATGGAAGAAAAGGCTAACATGAAACTCCACCAATCAATTTCCAGCGTAGATTTTGGTATGTTGTTGATTGTGTATTGATTTGCTAGATATTTGTTTTCTTGGTCAAATCCTCAAACTAACTACTTCCGCAATATGCCTTGTGTTTTAAACCAAAAATAGCTTCCAATTCTGCAGGTACAGTATATAATGTGAATATACACACTGATACCTATGTGGTTTCAAATTTGTGCCAATCTAAATCTAATGTTAAATCCAATCTTAATCCAATCTACCCCCTCTGGTATATACCCTCTGGTAATTTAACATAGCTATTGAAAATGGCCATTTATAGTGAGTTTTCCTATACAAAAATGGTGATTTTCCATAGTTTTTTGTATGTTTACCAGAGGGTAATCAAACATGGCAGAACATCCACCACATCACCATTAGATGAGTTTCCCAGCTCTAAGCCTCCATTTCGTTCGGGAATTTGCCAGCCCGCCGTCCAAGACAGCGGTGCTCCTTCTTTATCAAGCGCGCGCGTTCGCGGGGCGAAGAAGTCGATTCTGCCTGAGTAGACCCCAGTACAGTATAATATCCCATGATATTATCCGGTATATTCCGGTATATTATACTGTACTGGGGTCTGCTACCATGATATAAATCCCATGATCTTATCCAGTACAACAACCCATATTAGCGAACCATGGTGCTGGAATATGCACACCTTAACATAAAAAGCCGGCCTAAATCACCCAGTGATGTAGGTAAATATACCAGCACCATGGTGGGTGCAGTTCCACTGAAAAAAAATCAGCGCGTTTTTAGGCCCTGGCCCCGTTGAATGTGCAAGCCACGCTTAAACAGGGATGATGTTGAAACTACTATATAGGATATATAAGGTAGTTTCAATATCATCCCTGTAGTAGGATTGTAACATATATCATCCCTAGTTTCAACTACCAATAGTTTGTTTCAATGACATATACCTATAATATCAGAAGCAGCAATCTATTTACACTAGGTATATGTCATGCATATATATATATATATATAATATACGTAATAATGATATATATATATATAATATATATATACAATAGAATAAAATAACACATAGATTTCCTCGGGAATAGTTGGTTTCTATCTGGAATAGTTGACAGATGTTGACATTGACATGCATATACATATATATATATAAATATAATTATTATATATACAGGGAAATCAATGGGTATGAATCATCTCATCAGGCATGCCAACGATTGGATAGGTCGACACAAGAGATTACATTTTTAATAAACATGAAGAGTGTGTTTCTATGTGTTTCTCAGATACCCCATACTCATGAAGATTACATTTTTGTACTTCAACACTGCAAAAATCCACTGCTTTAAAGTCCACTTCTGAATTCACATGTGTGCTGCGCATCAGCTATGCGGATCCCAGTTGGCCACTTTGTTGCGCCTTTCCTTGCCGGGTCATACTGTGTCACAAGGCCTGGAAATACACCCAACATGTCTTTACCTGCTTGGTTATTTACGGTTGCAGCCCGCTATCATTGGTTCAAGGATGTAGTTACAGTATGTGTTCAACATTTTGGTCATTTCCTGAACTTGTTTGCTCCTCCCAAATTCAGTCCCAGCATGATGTGTCAATCATTGCCTGACCTGGTGGATCCAAAGGCTGAAGGGAAACTATCCTCATCAATGGATTAGTGAAAGGACGGGACATTTTACAGGAACCCATGAGTTTTTACCACTGAATCGGGTTCCTGTAATTTTTTGGAAATTTTCCCTAAAACGAATCCATTTGAACCCTGGCTTGCATCACCTCAACTTGTCACGCCGTGGCTGATGTGTGATGTCGGCGTTGCACCCTGAGTTGCGCAACTCGACGCATCAGAACAGATGGGGGAACGCATCTTTCTAAATGGCATCAGAAAAACATGTGTAAACATGTCTTCCGGTGCTGAAACATGCCTACCTGGGAACTGCATGGAACTGCCATCTCTCAAAGCGAAAATCATCGAAGTAAAGCGGGAGATGTCCATTGCCATGGTGGATTAGCGGAGTGTACTGTAACATCTGTAACTCAACTATCAAACTCAAATAGATGTCTACCTTCTGAGAATTTCTGGGCCTTCAATCATTCTAAATAATTCAAGGATTCCAAGTCACTGAACCATTCAGTTTGGTATCGCTTGAATGATCTTCAATGTTTACTTTGCCTAGAAAACGTCTGGGTATGGGTAACTATATATGACTACATTATGGTCATAGGACCATAAATGTTTCTCTTCTTCTTCGGAATAAATATATGATATGTGAAATGCATGTGAAATTGAATGTTCGACTATCAAAATTACATTACTAGACAGCCACCATGTACCATGTGTTAATTACACAGTTACCTACTTTGACTATGATCATTACATGCAGTACTTACATGCATGATCAATTTTTATTATTACTATAATAATGAAACAGTCCAACCACACTATGACAATAGTATGGTTATATATGGTTATATATCCATAATTTGGCCATCGACCACACCCTGCAGCTCCAAACACCTTCTCAGACTGTATTTTGGGGGATGGTTTGGCCTCCAAACACATTTTCAGTCGGTACTCGGAGCACCACAGATAGATCACAGTGAACTATGTTTTAAATAAATAACTGTATACAACTAATTATATATATATAGCTAATTTATAGTGAACTATTAAGACAACTTGGTTATATAATGTTATATATGTTTAAACATTATCAGCTTCCTGCCATACAGATCACAGTTAACTACTATTTTCAGAATATGCATATATACATCTAGTATTTATTATTCGACTATAGTCTATAGTCTTGTCTACGGAGGGCGACATTCCTTATAGGGCCACTCCTAGAACATTCCTTTTCATTCATGTTAATTCCAAATAATTCAATGTCATTCCAAATCTATTTATTTCATTCCTAATGATTGTTGTTCTTAATATTTTTCGATTATTTTAAATAGTTGTTTAAAGTTGTTTCGAGAACTGGTGAACATGTGTTGTTTTTTTTGGGGGGGGAACTTGTTGTTTTGTTTTAGGACCTTGTGTTTTTTTCTTTTTTTGGATATATATTTTATTACTATTATCAGTTAGATAGATTAGACTAGTTTTTGGATTTGTTTGATTGTATGTATTGTTTCTTAGATATAATTTTTGGATTTTTTGAGCTTTTTTGTTGGAATTGTTGGATATGTTTTTAGTTGTTTAAGTTTTTGTTTTTTCGGGATGTTTGAGAATTTGTTTTTTTTTTAATCGCAACTAGGAGTAGCCCTGTTAGGAGTAGCCCTGTTAGGAGTAGCCCAGGGCTCTTTGACTATATAGTTAGTTGACCATTGGGGAAAAACAAACAGGTGCCAATTTTTGTGAAAGTTGAATGATATTAGCCCTATATCTATAGTTAAGTATATCTATATCCAAAGATTGAATCTATTCACTATAGATTATCCCTATTGAAAATAACCAAACATAGTTGGTTGACATTAGACAGTCCAGGTGCCAGGCTCCAAAAGTTGGGCGATGGCGAGGAAGATCTCCCGAATGAGTCGAGGTGGGCGGTGCTGCGGTGCGAACGGGTGCCCCGACCTCCCCAACCCTGGATGGGTAGTTGGATGGAAAATCACCAGCCAAGCAGCACACGATGACATTTTTGTTGACTATCAAAGAGTGACCATGGAGATTGACAGTTGATTTATAGTTGTTCTATGGTTGAATAATGGAGATTTACAGTTGATTTATGTCAGCTAAGTTTCTTTGGTTAACTATGACTGAAGAACATTTATTATGGTAGATGTTTGATTTTATCTACAGTATTATGGATATCATGACCAATTACTATTATCCATAGATCAAGTTATAAGTATCTAAGTCAAGTTCCTTTGGATAATTATCTATGGATATCTGTAGTTAATGGATCTTACAAAGCAACTTACAACTGCGCGGGGCACCACCTTGTAACTTGCAAAGTTCAGCCCTTCCTGATAAACTGCTTTGGTGCAGAATTGTCTGAAATTAGGATAGCCAATGATAGCCATAAATTCACATGATTTATCATCACTATTGTTCATTTATCACCATTTAACATGTGTTTTTGAGTGTACCAGTGTACCACATGTTCAGACATCCGAAAATCAGACGCCCAGGAACTATCAGGGTCCCGTTCAGGATTCACAGCATGGCATACACAGCACGATCGAATTTTAAGTTCAAGTAGAGAGCACAGTACGGATAGTTAATGGATAGTTACCCTCTGGTTATGTCAAAATAGCTATTGAAAATGGCCATTAATAGTGGATTTTCCCATTAAAAATGGTGGATCTTTCCATAGTTATGTTAGTTTACCAGAGGGTAATGCATGATTTATTGGATGATTTATATAATGATAAAAGGAGACCAAAAGCATTTTCATAGCCCCTAAGAAATCCCTAAGGCTCCAAACACCTTCTGAGACTGTATGTGGGGTGGTTATTGGGGCCGAAACACATTCTCAGAAATTTGGAGCACTAGGGATAGTGTTTAGTAATGGTTAATTTCCCATAGTGTTCAGCAATGGTAATTTTTGGAAATCCTCCAGTGCCATAAGTTTTTACCCGAACAGCTTCTGTCCATGTCTGAACTTCATTTGCCAGTCTGAGTATAAGTTGTTCCTTTATAGACAATACAGCAGATTAACAATGCTTGTGATCCACTTATCGTCTGGTAATCATCCAGATGGCAAATTCGCCATTCAGATCCATGGTCGACGAAACAAATACACACAAAAAAAGGAGATGGTCATCACTCCATAGGGATTTCTATAGTGCACTATACGTCACTATACCCTCTGGTCAACGTTTACATCGCTATTGAATATGGCCATTGAGTTCGTTGATTTACCCCCCAAAAAAACGGGTTATTCTCCAGTGTGGGATGGATCACCATAACAAAGAACAGGAAAATCTATGGAAAATCACCAGTTTTAAATCGATAACTCATCATGTGTGTTATCTATTTCTAGCCATCTATACCATTAGCAAACTCTTCAATGAACGCATTTTTTCTTTTGGTTAAATCCCATTAAAACCACCTTTTTGTTCGGTGCTTCCCCAGAGGAAACTGTAACACCTCACCAGACGAAGCCTTTAGGCAGCCCATGGTGGACAAGGCGCAGGACCCAAACAGGGGTCACCAGAGATTTTATCAATGAGATAGTCCATTCATGTAGCCACTATATATTGGGATTTAATGGCATCTTCATGGGAATACAATACAATACAATGGGAATCAGTGGAATAAATACGGATCCAGCCTTACCAACATGGGTCTTTGACAAAATCAATATGATTGGAACTTGATGTGATACAATCACAAAACAACTTGATATGATAACCTCTATGGATCCAGCCTTACCTCCTTAGAAGGTTTGACTGCCGTATTATTTAGGAGTTCAGTCCCTTCGAAAAGGACGCATTTGGAGATCCATAGCGCACGTATATGTTGGAGAATCTATTGGCATTTGCCATTCAATCATTCGTTGGAGAATTTAGAGGTGAATTTGTCAACATTAGGTCCCTACATGTAAGACATTTACCCCTATAAATGTAAGGGAGCTGGAGTATTATGGCTTTGCCTCGGCTAGGGTCCCTTGGAAGCCTTGGCTTAGTAAGGGGATGGCCCAGGTTGTGCTCAAAATCGACCCCCAAAAAGATGCAGAAAAGTGATAGACACCACTTATTTGGAGGTTATTACAAAAGAAGTGAACTATTCGATTATTTGGTGGTTAAAGTAAAGATACATCATTATATGTTATTTGAATCTGAATTCACTTTCTATCTTAACTTGGAGGTTGCCATAAGATTGCTGTGATGTGGTATCCCCTGAGACATGTAGCCACACATGTTGGAAATGGCGCTGGGTCGACCAACTGACGAACTGACGAACTGACCAACGTTATTTCAACAGCACCCCAAAGGAATGAGAGCAGTTGAGCATTAAATATTGCATATATATATATATTATGGTGATCTCAGTTCACTCTTGAAGTCTTGTAGGTGCTTACGTGCTATCCACCATTTATATCTCCAAATAGAATTTGCTGTAACTTACGAAGATTGGTTTTCACAGAGTACCATAAAATTCCCTGTTGCTTCTATATCTCATGGATTTTTCTTCCACGGTGAATCTCCATGAATCAGTTGACTATGTATTTCATTCACCATTGAAAAATCTCTGAATCATGGTGAATAATTTCATGCGCCATCTATAAATGACCCTAAATAGAATTTACTCTGTCATTTACTCTGTCATTTACTGACATGAACACTATATATATATATCTTATTACAGTGTCATGAACCATAGTTATTGGACTATTATTGTAAGTGTCATAGACCATAGTGAAATAGTTAAGCTATCAGGGCACCAACTTAACTCCAATTTAACTTCAATAACTTTGGTTTATGCCATAAAAATGCCATCATACCCAGATGCTCCATGGTGCTGGAATATTTACCTACAAAACTGGGCCATATTGTTGGGGGTTTAGGTTGGTGTGCATATTCCAAGGTTCACATCTGGGTATATGTACCATAAACCATGGAATATTTACCGTAGTTATTGGAATTATAAACCATAAACATCCATAAACCACCCATAAACCCAGATATTGGAAAGTAGTGTCATAAACCATAGTTATAAGTTGCTTTATAAACCCCATGAATACTATAGTTATTTACGTACCATAAACCATAGTTATTGGAGTTATAAACCAACTTAGCTATCGAACGGGGGCCCCACGGCCTGTATCCTGACTGGGGTCTCCGGGTCCTCGCCAGGGCGGTTTGGACACGGAAGTGGACCGGCTTCTGCAGCAGCTGGAGGATCTGGGATGGCAGCCACTTTGGCATGGGAAATCCATAGTTAAAACTGGTCCAAAACGTGGAAAAACCAGGGAAAACCATAGGAAAACATCAGGTGTTCATGAAAAATCCATGGAAAGCCTTGAAGAATCAGATTGAACTAAGCATTTAATGTGGATTTACCTTAGGGTAAACGTTTAGATGTGGAAAAGCCATGGGGGAAGCCCCGATCGGACAATGATCTACATTCATGGCGGGTTTTCCACCTCTGCCTCAGTTTTACAGGAGTGTAGCCAATGAATGATATAATCAGTGAATAATGAACCATAGAAGAACAGAATAAAAGTGGTTGCAATAGGGATAACCAACCGACTAATAGGTAACCCTGGGTAGCCCATCAACTTTTCGCAGGACTTGGACAGTCGGAGTCTTGCGCTCCAGCAGATGGATCGCAAGGATCATTCCAGGCAGCTTGGAATTTGAGCTGAATGGTGGGTTTACAATAAGTGTGTATATATATATATATACACATTTATATCGAGGTTTCCTGAAATAGGGGTACCCCTAGATCATCCATGTTTGTAGGATTTTCCATTTATAAACCATCCATTTGGGGTACCCCTATTTATGGAAACCCATATATATATATATATATGCACATGAGTATATATTATATGGCCACTGGATACAAGTAAACCGAGGTTGAGTCGCTGTATGGTTTACTTGTTCACATAGTTTGCTTATCCAATTACTCTCAAAATCTCAAGATGAGGGGTCAATATACTGTTTATTTGATTTGTGTGTGTGTTGCGGGCCATTCGGGTATGAGTCAACAAGTCAACATTAGTTGGTTTCATACGGTAGGAATGACTGACCATGTGTTTGGGTCAATTTTCCATTTTTATGTTTACACATGATGCATAATTAATATAATGATAGCATTAAAACATGGCATTTATAGTGGGAACATGGTGGATGGAATGGACTTCCAGAGTTTGAAAGAACCCTGAATGAAGGATTTGAAACAAAACATGCCTTTCTGAATTTAGTTATATATTTCTTTTGAAGGATATTTCGGAGGATGCAGATTGTCTAGCCACAAGTGGATGAATTATGGTCAAACCTAGGCTGAATTTCTTCATGGGTTACTTGTTTATAATGAATGGATAAATACAATGCCCAGCGTTTTGCATGGTATCCCCTAGATCAGATTTGTAGGTGCCCAGACATTTGGGAGATCCAAGGTCCACTCATCAAGCCAGCTTTTCCCGGGTTTTCCTGTAATGGTTTCCTTGAAACCAATTCTGGAACAGTATCTCACAGAGGATTTTAGCATAAAGACTGGCTTGCAAAATATAGACAGAAATTGTTGATGGCCCTAAAAATTGGTACCTTGGGGTAAACTAACTTAGGCGTGGAAAATCAACTATTTGTAGATTGTAGATATCTGATGATATCTGTGTATTGTTTTCCTAAGGAAACCATGACTTTTCCACGTTTCACCGGTGAAAACCCATGGCGTCTCCAGCAGATTTTGAGACCTGGCTCCAGGTGGCGCAAGGATGATGAAGTTCGAGCGCAGAGTTTCCCGGGAAATCGCCCGGGGCAGGTGCCACTGGCGCAACGGGGAACGTTGACAGGGCGCGAACTGGAAAATCACCGTCTTAGACCATCTTTCATACCCAGATGCGAACCATGGGGCTGGAATATTTTACCAACATAAAAACCCCAAAAATGGCCCAGTTTTGTAGGTAAATATTCCATACATGGAGCATCTGGGATAGGTAAAATTATTTTCCTGTGCGTAATTAAGGTTTGTTCTTCATTGAGACTTCTCCATGTTCACCCAGAGCAGCGTTCAAAGCCCTTGTGTAGAGGGTTTCACTTGGGCTTAAACTGGGTAGTGCCCGCGAGAGCTAAAACGCAGCTCGCGAAAGCTGGGCGAATTCTTCGCGAAGACCAAGTTGATAGACACCGTCACGAAAGTGGCTGCTTGCCCGATTTAAGTAGATAAATTGTCGCATATTAGACCAAATACGGCAAAAGCTCCGCGAAAACAATTTTGTCAAATGTTCACCGCGCTGAGTGTGGTCGCGAAAGCACCGCGAAAGTACAAAAGCATCACGAGAAGGCTTTTGAACACTGCTCCAATGATGAAATCCCTATGTTTGTTGGCTAAATCCCAATTTTCAGAGGGCCTAGCGCCAGGATAGTCTCCAGCATCCTTTGGACGCAGGTGCGCCTTTGGCCGGTGGGTGGAGAAAACTGGATGTCGAACAGATCACATCACATGGAGTGACTTTTGTTTTTTTTCTTGGAACTCAGGGTGTTCTCCATATGTCAGGCTTTCCGAAGCTTCCCGTGTCACATCTGATTGTGACATACTTGGACGTTCCGGGAAGAAAGTCAGGTTAGTAGCTGGGATACTGTAATGGGGTCCAGCTCCAACATCGACAGCTTTGGTGGGCAGCGTTTCACAGTGGGGCAAACAGCCCCATGAAACCACAGCGGTTGGGTTTTTGTGTAACATGAAACTATTCATTTTTTTTGGTACGGAGTTCTTCAAAGCCCATGCCTAAACTTTTGGCATGATCAAAGAAGCGTTTTGGGTGGCTTACACATGTTGCATACACGCCCACATTTAAAGAGCAGCCTTACCATGTCTATTTGGTATCGGAAATCCCCACATTGGTGTAATCCCTTTCCATGTTGGTCGGTTGGTTTACCCATTCAATTGTTATTACACTTCTCGGGTTAACTCATTTAGGTTTAGATAGTGAAAACCTGCAGGAAAACCCGTGCAGCAAATAATCTACACTCATACTGTGTTTTCCATGTTTTTTTAAAAACATATTCGCTGACACTCTGTAATAGTTTGCGATCACAAAATGGATGAACATGGTCATTTACTTCGATATGCTACCTATTTTCCTGTTGATTTTCCAGTTTTCAAATTCTTCGTCCTTCCCAAATGATATGTATCTTATCTTATGGAATCCTCCTGGGGAGCATGATCCGTGTGTGATAGTTGACCCTTAATCGCCTCTATGAAAATCAACTTCTTTAGAATCACTATTCTTGTATATTCTTGTCAGGCAACCACGGAGGCAATGTTCTTGAAGTGATGGTTTCCCCAGCTGTTCCTTAGTAAGGGACTTTAATGGGATGTTAGCAGATTTAATGGGACTTAACTTGACTTAACCAGCAACAATGGTGAATTGTAACCACCTCCCTGCAAAGTCACTGGAATCATCCCCATTTTTCGCATACAGCATGATCCTCCCAGAATGGTTTCATGGATCCCTTTTTTGACGTCAAAACATGGCCAACAATGCAGATCACCTGGTTTCAGGGCATCTTAGATCACCTTTGTTGGTAATGTTGGTAAAACAATCATAAACTACCCATATCCCATAGGATCCATGTATGGTATATATGGTAACATGGATCCCATCAATATACCCCCAATGTTACCATATATACCATACATGGATCCTATGGGTATTTTGATGTTTATGCCCCGACATTTTCCGGACGTAGGCAATCAATATAGTATCGTTCCATGGGATTCGAAGGCCATTGTGGTAGTATTCAGCGGAGATAAACTGTAATCTTCGGGTAGAGATCCCACGTATCATGACTTGCATTGAATTACCATGTGATGCTCTAAAACTGAATTGCCATGGTTTAAAATTAGTAAAATGGTAATGTGGTTGATTGTGCCTTAATGACCAAGAAACAACATGAAGATAATTCATACTCTCATTAGTGCAGAAAGTACATATGTATATTATTATGTATATAAGTGTTTGGGATATGATTTGTGGGGTTAAGTCCCTTCTGAGAAAGTATCTAGATCCAGCATCAGGAAGTAATCATTCTTGCCCTATATCCACTTCCTGAGAAGGTATATACTCCACCCCCCGTCATCCTACTTCAGTCAACTTCCAAACCACAGGGATGTTTTTTTTCGTGTTCCTTCACATTTTGTTCATGCTAAAATATGCTAACCCCTGCAAAAACATCCATTTTTCATGCCAAAAACTGCAGTTTCCTCCCTGAAACCTGCCATTTTTCATGGTGAAACACCCGGATTTCCTGAAAAAAACAGGCCTCGATCGCAGCTCGCTGCGCCGGAAGACGCCGCACTTGGCCAAGCTGCAACGGAGCGATGGGGATATCCCGTTTAACGGGTTTCAATCATTGGTCCAACTTAGAATTTTAAATGGATGATACCCTTAATTTAGGAAACCACCATATATATATATATCCATATATATATATATGTGATTAGAGATACGATTTTGTATATAGATATGATTATATATATACATGCATTTCACGGCTTCAGTATGGTTTCATATATGATTTTATATATGATACAATTGGATATAACATAAGTATAAGCAATTTATACAATGTAATTGGATATAACTAAGGAAATTCATATGATATACTGTACTCTACAGATCCAGATGCTTCCTTTTCGAAAATTGCGACCCACTGGTGATACAAAACGAGTTCCCGGTTCGCAACGGATCCATATTTCTGGGGATGGATCACAAGAATTTCTGGCTGGGCAGCTGGGACTTGCTGTGAACAGCAGGGTAGCAGGTTTCTATCTATTATGAATTATATATATATATACACACATATGGTTTGCGAGTATACATTGACAATCATTGACAATCATTGACATATGATATAGCTATAGTCAGCTATAGTGGATTGGAAGGTAATGTTGAATGAGTAGCTATATAACTATTGAATGGAAGGTAATCATTGACATATGATATAACTATATAACTATATAGCTATTGAATGAACAATTTGTTGACTGTTTTTTTTGTTTTTGGACTAAGCCGTAGGAGTTTTGCAGCTCCAGGACCCCCAGCAGCGCTGGAAATGGCCGCAGCGCAGCGGTGGCCGCGCTGCCTCCGTTGCTGAAGGTCAGGGCAGAAAAAAACCATGGGCAAACGCTGACTTCAGAAGTTCCACGGTTTCAGGATGTTTCAGACCTCAATTTCTCAACTGGCTGGAGACTTCAAATATGTTTGATCTTCAAAGATAGATAGAAAAAAGGGTTGATGATCTTCTGGTGACAAAAAACCAACCCGTCATTTTCACCAGAAAATGAGGATGAACCGATGTGAATCTTTGATGTTCGATCCCTATATCTGTGGATCCTGAGGGAATAAGACGGATGATTCTCAGTGGCTATCCCCTATTTTCTGATGTCAGACCATGGATAGGAGCCACAAATAATCCCAAAAATGGAATACACAAAGGAACTAATTAGATAATGCTAGATAAGCTGATAGCAACAGCAAATTGTTTTTTTTACACGGGATGCGTTGTCGGCTCACATCCACCTGTAACAATGTTTGGATCCAATGATGTGCTGAACCTGATTGGTTAGACAAACGAAATCTACCAGACTTTTCTCCTGAACCATGTGCAGATATACATAAATCTGATCATATTTGTTTCGTTGTTTTTTTCGGAGTCCAATCCTGTCCTTCTGATTCAGAGAGCAGATTCCGTCCACATCTGGGCAGAATTACCTACTATGAGGTTTCAGAATCGGTTACAGTATCTCCCAACTCCCCCATTTGAATTCTTTGTTGGCCCTCACTTTGCATGACCAGAAACAAATGCGCGGTGAATCCTAGTCGTAGAATAGCCGATCCCTGATATGTACTTGAATGTCCCTCAACTAAGCCAATTCCTGAGTAGTTCTGGTTCGCAGCCCCATCACAACTAGGATCTGTTTGGGGTGGTACCCCCGGTGTCCAACCACTGAGCTTTGTTTTGAAGGAAACATCCAAGTATCTCAGTATATCACATATGTCTATACAGGAACAGTCATCCGAAAATGTCACTGGATTAGTTCACCCATGATATTCCCAGTATCAACCACTTGAGCAACTCAGCTCCATCTATGTGCAATGTGGACCTCCCCAGTTATGTTGGTTTATAAACCCCATGAAAACTATTAGTCATAAGTGTCATAAGTGTCATACCCTCTGGTAATTTAACATAGCTATTGAAAATGGTGATTTATAGTGAGTTTTCCCATTAATAATGGTGATTTTCCATAGTTATGTTAGTTTACCAGAGGGTAAGTGTCATAAGTATCATAAGTCATAAACCATGGTGAAATTGGAGTTATTTGCACCAACTTCGCATCGTTCGGGGGCCCCATGCTTGAACGAGGCCTCTGCGTCGGCACCATGCTTGACACGGCCGCGAGGCGGGGTGCTGAAGCTCCAGCGGGGGTTTCCAAGAGATCATATATTTACATATATAATATATATATATATAAATATATTTATAATATATATATAATATATATATATATATTTACTTTCCCACAAGTAAACGTGGTAATGGGAATTCCATTACAAATGGAGGTTTAGAGCTGGAAGAATCGATATACGAGATTTTCCAGCTCATCACGTTTGATGGCACCATTGCGGGTGCCCGGTCCCCAGCACTTCACCCAGGCAATTCCTTCAGACTGGCTCCGGAGCATTGAGCTGTCAGAATCTCCGTGAACATCTTGGATCACACATAGGGTGCCTCACCACAGAGCCTAAGTGAGTTGTAGCATGCTGGAAGAGAAAACAACATAGCTGGACATTGCCCATACCTTCCATACTTACAGGATTATAAGTTATAACATGCAATAAAAATAAAAAGTCTTATAACATGTGATAACTTGTAACCCACTTAAGATTCCTGGCTAGTTCACCAACATCCTGCCAGCCCCCCGACCAGTATGATCCCTTGCACCACACGAGACTCGAGCTGTTTCCAGCGATGGTGCTCCAACAAAACCACTGAGAGGTATAGTAGGTATAGATAAATCATGGTAAATCTATGTAAACCAGCAAGCAGGTAGGTATAGGCAGTTAAACTACTGATTCCGTGCTTTTTTTATAGCTGATGCTGACATCGCACTTCGATGCACTTGGGATGAATAACATCAATGGCTGATTTGGCTAAGGAGTTGTGCCTCGTAAGAGCAAGAGCCAAATCCTGTCACTGTGGATGTTCGAGCTTGTAGAATCCATTTTGATAAAGGCTCGAGATACCATTTGTTTAACAATCATGCCTTTTTGCAGCAATGGTGCGTACAGCCCTTAAAACCAACATAGAATCCAATGGTGACAATTTGTTGTATAGGAGGGGGAATCCTCAGATACACTGTGGTGTCCATGTTTGTTTTCGGGACAGTATGCCAATATGTATGTCCACTTGGAATTTGAAATCATTCAGCTTGAAGCCCATGTCCAAGCCGCTACATGGCAAGGAGCTGTGCAGGAACACCACAGGAATTCTGACAGAAATGGGAATCCAAACATATTCCCGCTTTATTCTTTACAATGTGTCTCACAGATTGCATGTTTTGAAGTTTGTCTACAAACACGAGCTGGTGTTGGGTTATTTAACCACATGCAGATTTGACTAGTTTGCTTGTTCAATTGGAATTTACCAAAGATATGCCGTGAGTAACATGCTGAGATGTTTATGTTTGTTGTTTTTGGGTTTACTCGTTTCGTTACCAAACGACCGGCTCTCGGAATAATTTGTTGCCGCAGCTGTTTCACAAACATATCGTTGCGTGAGGGACATGGTCCTGTGAGGGACCAATGACTAGCATTGCTTGTCGCCGCGGGGACCTCGAAAAACAGCGCAGCAATCCATTTGGGGATTGTCTCCAACTTGGGGGATAGCATGATCTCTATCATATATATATAATTATATAAATATGTTTTGTATATATAAACTATATATATATATATATACATGCTTGTTTCAATCATTACGCATCATTATGGATACAGATACTTTCTGGGACTTCACCAGTGAACCCCCAAGTCGTCATACCCCATTCATACTTCCGAACCAAAGGAACGGCTGGATTTTGAGGAATGCGATAGGTAGAATATCCACTATTTTAACATGTAGATGTGATATATTCATGGTATATATATATATACATACATATGTATAGATGATTTAAGATGATTTAATATGATTTAAGATGATTTTTCGATTATTTTCCATGATTTTCAGAACTTGGGCATTGTCCAGTCCTATATAGGACGGCTATTTACTAGACAAATGATAATCCTTGCGGCGCAATCACCGTTCAAACTTTAGAAGCCAGTTAGTTTTGGAGGTCCTCATTTTGCACGCCATGATTGTTGATATGCCCAAAAACAACATGGAGAATGCCCAATCAATTTTAATCCACCAAGCCGTTGAACAAGAATGATCCATGAGCAGGCAGTGGTCACCACACACGATATTCATCGATATTGAAGGATACTGGATACATCTGGATACAATCAAATTACTGTTGGATACATATGGATTTAATCCCCTGCAACTGGATACATCTGGATACATCTGGATAGCCCCAAAGTACCCAACCTGTTGGTTTTTTTATCACAGTTGCAGGGAGGTCACTGCAATGGAGACCTCAGATCCATGGCATGTTCGCCTTGGCTTAATGGTGGCTGACGCTGAGGAAATGATCCAAAACAAAACCAACATTTGGAGGATGAACTGGTGGGACCATCTCAGATCATGCACCTATGGTTATAAGATATCAGGATTGCTGCTTCAGATATTTACTGGGTGTTAGTCTTTAATATTGCCATGATTTCCTATGTTTCATTGGTAATCCTAGGTGTTCTGCATTTTTAAACTTTCTTGCCTTGTCGCTGCGGCCGCGAGATAACGCAATGGCTGTAGCAGCAGCCACAGTGGAAGCATCCGAGCAGAGGCACGATTGTGGGAGAATTGCCAGTATTTTGTTTTCTCCAAAAATGCTGATACACCCACATTTTATCGTATCTGGAAAGGATAAGATAGGTGGGTCCCTTCAAGGGGGTGCCAGTTAGACTAACATCATCCAACCTGGGCCAGGCCACTGGGATTTCGTGTCCTGCCTTGTTGGAGGCTTCACAATATGTATATATATATATACATTGATTTATTTGTTTATACCTATTATATTACATAATGATAATGATAACAATAACAATAATTAATTAATAATAATAGTAATAAGAATAATACATATATATATATATATGTATGTATGTATATATTCAAAGAACTCTTATTTCATAGCTTGTTGGTTTTCCATATCCCGTGATATCCCTATGAAATTCCCGGAATATGAAAGTAATGGCCTGTTTTGTTCATTGATTTACCAATTCGTTTTGCCTTGATCTGTTGGGTCTAGTTCTTTCACGATGTGTTCCAGTCATGTTCCGTATATATATATACTATACATTGAACTTTTATATACTACATATATACTAGCTACACATATATATATATATTGTTGAGTATCACGTTCAGTTTAATGTTGAAATTATATGTTATTTTATTATATTATGTTAGTTTACTCTACTATATTATACTTTATTATAATATAATAATATAATATTTCATTATATAATACTACATTATATAATATCACATTATATAATATCATATAATATTATAATATCATATAATATTATGATATAAATAATATTATAATATAATATAATATGATATTATATTATACTAATTATATTATATTAATAGTTTCAATGATATTACATGTTGTTATATTATAATATTCAACTATGTTGGGTACATACAATTCATACACATAACATACCATGTATGTATATATATATATATATATACTGTATGTATATGTTGCTCCTTAAAACCACGTCCGCCAAGGCGCCGTGGCATCAGCACCACGAGTGACCACAGTGGGCTGTCCCCCCAACGAGGTGCGCGGCCGGGCCAGGGTGCTACTCAAGGTGGGGCCTCCGACCCAAAAACCAGTGGAAAACCAGGCGGAAAATTGGAGAAACCATTGGAAAACCAGGCGGAAAACCAAAAACCAGTGGAAAAACCATTGGATAAACCAGATTTTGGAGCTGATTTATGATAGCTAAGTTGATTCATCCCTGAATTTTGATGGTTTATGATGATTTATGGCGGATATATCGAACTAATGGGACCAACTCCAGTAACTGTAGGGCACTGTAGGGTCTTACTTTGTGGAGATTCCGGAACGCGCGTTTTAAAAAGTGGATCCTTTTTCCAAAGCTATCCAAAGCTAATGTATTTCCTGGGCCTGGACAGCGTCGGACACTGAAACCTTTTTCTCCCAGATAAGGAATTTGAGAGCTCTTACGGGCTCAAAATGGTGGAAGCCACAAGAGAGTTGATCTTCCCAACTCTGGATCCTTTTTTGGCTGAAGCAAAACAGGTTCTGGCCTCACCAGGATTGTGGGACAAGTTAGGTTTCCTTCCCGGATCCTTTTTGTCTCTGAAAGAAAAAGGTTCTGACCTTTCACAAATTTTATCGTAGTGCTATTAACAGTGAGGTCCAAGAAGACTTTGAAAAATTGTTGAAAAACTCTATGTGACACAGCGGATCCTTTTTGCATGGAGCAAAAAAAGGATTGGGAGGCTTCTGGAGCCAAAAACTACTATAAACCACCCCTGCGTTCAGAACGCGCGTTCCGGAACACGCGTTTTGCGTTCTGCGTTTTGACCGTGCCTCAGAAGATTCAGAAGGTACGGCTGATAGGGATACTGCGTTTTCTGTGTGTCGCATTTGTATAATACAGATTATTGTGTCGATGAATGTGTTTGTTTATTGATCGCTCTATTGATATATAATAATGGGATATAATATGTATGTATCGATTTATGTAAGCATCCGAAGCCATTGTTGGCCTCCCAGTTGAAACCCTCGGTTCTTTCCAAAAATGTAGTGCAAACCCGGAACCATTTGGGATATCAAGCAACAAACATGGGAAGCTGCCGAACAATACATGGATGTGTATGTATGTATATATATATATTAATTATCTGACTATGTGTATTGAATGTCTCTGAATTTTGAATCATGGTGTGCGCATTATTACTGAGGAGCTTTATATAATCATTTGCAACGTTGGTTCTAGGTCAAACGAGTCCGGTGCAACTTGGTCAACAAGAACTAGTAAGCTGATCATGAATATGTGTTCCACTGGACCACCTGAAAACTCACGGCCCCAATTCGGACACTAATTTGAGAGGTGGTTTGATCTCCTGTATGAGATTGCTAGGTATGCGTTCTACGTTTGCCTGTAGTTGTCCCATTTCTCCCTTTTTGATGCTTAACAATCCCAACGAACCAACCAGTGTACGATTTCCGTTGACATTTTCAATAACAAATTGTTGGATCACCAGAGGGTTACCCATGTTCCCACACAAACATGATAACATGATCTCCGTGGCAGATTCACTGCAGTTATGGCCCGGAATACCACTTACAAGTGATTTATAAGTGAGTTATACCTAAATTTATTGTCTATGATAACCCCATTGGTTACCATTAAAATAATTGGTAAAGGGCTCTAACTGTGGGTCTTCATTCGGTCTCCATCCACTGATTCACTTGCGCTGTTTCAGACATCTTGGAAATGGCCTTGGCGGAGGAAGGGATCAAGGACTCCATCCAGATGAGGCAGCGGGCTCGTGGCTGTGATCTCGGGGGAGCAGGTTATACCACTTATATCCAGCAAAATGATGCAAAATGTCTGGCTTCGTATGATCCTCACCAAGTGACATTTTTTGACATATTTTCTGACATTCTATTTGGCTTTCACATTTTTTAATACTGGTTGACATTCTATTGTACATGTTATCTCATATTTTCTGACATTCCATCTGGCATTTTATCTGGTATATCTTCGGAGATTCTTTGTGGTTGAGGTCCGGCGGGGCGGGGAACACTCTGATCCGGAGCTCGCGGTTGAGGTCCGGCGGGGAACACTCTGATCCTGAGCTTGTGGTGGAGGTCCAGCGGGGAACACTCTGATCCGGAGCTTGCGGTGGAGGTCCGGCGGGGAACACTTTGATTCAGAGGTTGCTGATGGGGTCCGGCGGGGAACAGGCGATCTTGAGCTTGCAATTGAGGTCCGGCGGAGGATGGAGGAGGAAGGCGGGCTGACATAAAATCTAACAACCCTCACCTGACAGGTGGGGGAAAGGAACATGTTGTTGTTTGAAACTGGGGGGTCGGAATGTTGCATCGCCACAGTGACCGTGACCAGCAACAGCGGACTGTTGAGGCGTGACGCTGAGATCTGACCTGGCAAAACACCTCATGTCACTGGTTAGGAGGGAGCTATGGATATCCATAGTTCGTCCTAGTTCCTTTTAAAACCAAGGGGCCACGCACAGAGTTTCCCAACCAACTGGTAGTCATAGACGAGACATAGGTGTTTTTCCTGTTAAGAGCCGAGAATGGCTACTATTGACTGCGTGCTTAAAGTACCAGAAGGTGCCAAGACTGCCTTTTCGTGAAAACATGAAAACTGCTGAGAAACCTAGCTGGTCCACTAGTCGATTCATTTTGAGATCCCATATATGGCATTTGATCTTGAGGCTTGAAAATTTTGGGTTGTACGGTACAGTATAACATAGTATTGGTAATGTCCTGTAGAACATGTCATGAGATAATGCAGTATACTGTATCACATTCACCAGCCACCCGCCAACTTTGGGAATTGGACTATAGTAACAGACCCCGAAAAGGATCCAAAAAGTCAAACACAGGAAACGTTTATAGTATACCAAGGATGTTTAAGCTCAGATTTCATTGTTTGCATCTTATAAGATTTAGCCTATCAACCAACAGAACCCTATCGTTTGGGGGTTCCTTCCAGGTTCGCCAAGAATTCCAGAGAGCGGGCGGAGGCCATGAATCAAAACTGCTGGATTTAACCATCAAAAACGATGAAAAATAAGGGGCTTTAATCAATCAACACAAAAAATAGCAGATGGGTTTATCCCAGATTGCGGTATACCAATGTATACCATCGGTATACCTCATTCATGAATTCATGGCAATTCGAATGAGGAACATGATGACAAATCATGGGATTTGAGGGGTGCCCAATGTTTAGACAGACCCACGTGACCATTTGTCAAAAATAGTTGTTTAGAAGTTTAGTATTGGTTGTTGATAATTCATCTGGGTCTACTGTTTTTTCCTCTTCGTTATGAGGCGGCACGCAACTAAATTCGGCAATTCTGCAAGGCAGCGCTAGCAAACCCGCTAGGTTTGCGCTAGCTTTGATTGACAGCCATGGCCTCCATGTCGTGAATGTCTTGCCAGCTTTTCTTACAAGTCTGTCAGTTTCCACATATTCCCAAATTTTCGATTTTTTACGCATTTTACGCGCTAGATCGCCGCTAGCAACGCGCTAGCGAAAATTGCAAATACATGCCCCGGTCCACCCGCAGCCCATTCAGAGGCACAGCCATGTTCACGCTTTGGTAGCTTACAGTAAGGAAACAGCGTTGATCAGGAGGCATGTCAAGAAGACACAGAGACACACAGTTCAGGAGATAGTACCAGCGACAGCGAATGAAAACCGACGTGCGTTAGCCGATTCCTGTGGTTTTAGAAAGATTTCCAAAGGTGACGAAGAATTTCCACGTTTTCACCTCATCAAGGTAGGTCATGTTTTTTAAAGGCAAACATGAGGCGGCACGCATGGAATTGCGATTTATCAACAAAACCGGGAACAGACATTTTGACAAACCGTCATGTGGTACCCCTGAAATTGGGAGTTGCTGTGAGTTGTTTTCTGCAGATCAGCTGTCTAGTCTGATTGCCATTGTCTGGTTCACATTCACACGTTTTTTTTCTCAAGATGTCACGAAATTGCTGGGCGAATGCCGACAAATCTTGAGACCAACAACTAGAGTTGTTTCCCTACTGTTTCCCCAGGCAATGCCCTAAGACCAGACCCATATTTCCATGTATTGTATGTCTATCTACATTTCTAGCTGGAAATTCCCCATTCTGTATAGCTGATCATTATGTTTGATTTTTGGTTTGGAGTGGCACTGCTTTGGCTTTTGCACATGTTCTACAGAGACTGCGGTATATAGATGATTATAGATGTACATTGAATATTGCTCAGCTGATTTAAACCACAACACAAAGTACTAGTACAAACTTAATTTGCCGGACCTGCCATGACAGATAATCAGAGGCCAGGAGATCAACCTCTCAACCCGGCTCAGTTCCAAAGAAGCATTACTCCATTTTGTTTGGGAATCATTCTGTTTGCATTCCCCCGCCCAGAACGGCGAAAAACGATTCAGTGGCAAAAATCGAAACAGAACGATTCCAAACAGAACAATTATTGCACACCCAAAGCTTGGATGTTTCACAATTTGTTGGGAAACTCCCCGTTCTGTTTGGGATGTTTGCCACTGAATCGTTTTTCAGGGTTTGCTGATAGACAGAACGATTGTGCTCAAACAGAACGATTGCCTTTGTGAGTACGTTTCTGGCAGTTAAATGATTGTGGCCTGGGTCCTGCTGACTCAGCCATGGCCGTGGCTACCCCGCAGATGTAATTTTAGATTAGGAAAAAAAACAAGATGCAGCCAATGCAGCCCACGAACCCGAATGCAGTCCCGTAGAACACTTTTGTGAAACAAATGATATATTTGAACAGTCTTGTACATTTATTCCCTGTTACCGTACCAGTGCACTGTAGACTGTGAAACGCGGAAAAGGGTGGAGTGCGAAGTGTGGAGTGTGGAGTGTGGAGTGTAGAGTGTGGAGTGCGGGTGTAAAGTGCAAACTGTGGAGTGTAGAGTGTGGAGTGTAGAGTGTGGAGTGCAAAGTGTAGAGTGCAAAGTGTGGAGTGTAAAGTGTGGAGTGTAAAGTCTAGAGTGTACAGTATAAAGTGTAAAGTGTGGAGTGTAAAGTGTAGAGTGTGGAGTGTAGAGAGTAGAGTGTAAAGTGTAAAATGTAAAGCGTAAAATGTAAAGTGCGGAGTGTAAAGTGTAAAGTGTGGAGTGTAAAATGTAGAGTGTAGAGTGTGAAGTGTGGAGTGTGGAGTGTAAAGTGTAAAGTGTAGAGTGTAAAGTATAAACTGTGGAGTGTGGAGTGTAAAGTGTAGAGTGTTGAGTGCGGAGTGTAAAGTGTGGAGTGTGGAGTGTAGAGTGTGGAGTGTAAAGTGTAGAGTGTATGGAGTGTAGAGTGTGGAGTGTACAGTGTAGAGTGTAAAGTGTGGAGTGTAAAGTGTGGCGTGTAAAGTGTAGAGTTCAAAATGTAAAGCGTAAAATGTAAAGTGCGGAGTGTAAAGTGTGGAGTGTAAAGTGTAAAGTGTGGAGTGTAAAATGTAGAGTGTGGAGTGTAAAGTGTAGAGTGTAAAGTGTAAAGTGTGGAGTGTGGAGTCTAAAGTGTGGAGTGTAAAGTGTAAGGCGTGGAGTGTGGAGTGTAAAGTGTAGAGTGTAAAGTGTGGTGTGTAAAGTGTAGAGTGTAAAATGTTGAGTGTAAAGTGTAGAGTGTGGAGTGCGGAGTGTAAAGTGTAGAGTGTGGAGTGCAGAGTGCGGAGTGCAGAGTGTGGAGTGTAGAGTGTGGAGTGTAGAGTTTGGAGCAAAGTGTCAACTGCAAAGCGCGGAGTGGAAAGTGTGGAGTGTGGAGTGTGGAGCACGCAATGCGACGCGTCTGAAAAGTGCTGCACATTCCACGCAAAATGACGATGGAGGTCTCCAAAGTGTTGCGCTTGCCACGAAAACTGCAACTCATCTTGTGAAAACGACGCAGAAGTATTTTGCGCCTGCCACACAGAACGACTTTCGGCACGTTATCAAACAGGTTGGAGTGTCACAAAGTGCCACGCCTGCCACGCAAAACGACATGACAACCTGCTTGGAAACATTCGAAAAGGAGAGGTTTTGCAGATTTTGCAGCTTCCCCCATAGACACGGCGAGGCCACAGGAAAACCAGAGACTCGAGACGAGACATGTTGGTGCATCAAAACGAGCATTTCATACGAGATTCCCTCCAATTTTCACTCTAGAGTGTAGCTTCAAAATCGACGTTTTCCCAGGAGTTTTCTTATGAACCTCAAAATTTGCTACCTCAAAATCGATGTTTCGTGCGAGGCTTCCGTCAATTTTCATCACATCTCACAAAATGCCAGGCCTGCCACGGAATTTGCACCTTCTCGCCACTTGACGCAGCCCTGACAAGGCGATTCACAAAAAAGACGCAACACGACACGTCTAAAGTGCTGCGCCTGCCACGCAAAATGACGATGGACACGTCCAAAGTGTTGCGCCTACCACGATAACTGCAACGCATCCTCTGAAAACATCGCAAGAGTATAGTGCGCCTGCCACACAAGATGACTTTCAACACGTTGCCAAACACGTCTGTCACGAAGTGCCACGCATGCCACGCGAAACGAAGCTACGCGACGTCTGAAGCCTCCAAAAGTGACCCCTTCCGCAGAACTCACCATAGGCACGGCCATATGGGCCTCACGCGGACGGTTGCGGACGGTTGCGAACGGTTGCGGACGGTTGCGGTCGTAAACGCAACGTCAAGCGAACACACCCTCCACCCCCCAGACGCCCAGAGTGAAACGGGAACCCTTGCTACTCATTCGGGAACAATGAAACCACCAAATTTTTGGGCGTAGTATATAATCCCTCCGCCCTCCGCCAAAAAAATACATCCCACTTAAATTGACACTATATTGCTACTTGTTTTTTGTATTTACAATACTACTATATACTACTATAACGTATTTTCAGACAAACCCTTCTGGTGCTTCACTCCTCCCTCGACCCGCACCAGACTCATTGGCATCGACTTGCGGACGAGGATGAGGCGCAGTGGCCGCCCATTGGGATAAGTGGCAATTTGTTTCAAAATGTGAGGAAGGCCATCGGAAAATAACCAAACACATGGGAAAACATGAAAACAGGGGCAACCAAAATCCAATGGTTCCAAAATCATCCAAAATCCAATGGTTGATGAACATGTTCATCAACGCAATGGCAGCATTTTGGGGATCAGAGTTTCCTCAAGTGTCAGACACATCCAAATGGTCCACGTGTGCATCAGAGGCCCTGAAAAATCACAGAATTTGGCAATTTCGGTGCTGAACTGTCCTGACTGAGCCTTTTGGAACCAGAATTTTGTATCATTTATAAGTCCTTGATAAGCAACATGGCAATGGAACACTTTCCAATCCAAATCCATGTGCCACAGGGACAATTATTTGTGAAATATAAAATCTGAAAGTATGGCAATGACAAATTACTTCTCATCCGTGCGTTAAGGCTTAATAAAACCAGTGGACCAAAGAGTGACCATGAGTGACCCATACCCGTTTGTTGTTTCAGCAAGTGACTGGATGTCCATTTCCATGTCAGTTTGCTGGTTGACTATTCAAAATTGTGGGGATTATCATTACATTGTATATATCATGATTATCATTATTATCATACAATAATATGGATTATCATAATATGGATTATCATTATCATAATATGATAACTGATGCTGTAACTGTGATTTCTTATAATCCATATTATCATTTAATAATTTGGGGATTAACAGAATCCAGTGCTGACTTGTCTGTTTCGCATGTTCCATGTGACTTTCCAGGAGGACGATTTTGGTTGGGATACGGACGACAGGCCGCGCGGGTGACCTCGGCTCACCGCAGATAGATGCATGGGGGTACTCCTCCAATAATCATTATCTGATACTGAAATGGTAGCCTCTCAATTAAACAGCCGTTTGAGGGTTATTAATCCAGGGTTGACATTATGCTGGAGTTTTTAAACCATTTGTTGATGGGCAATGCATATCCATTGAATATATCCATTGGTTGGACAAGATTGCAATCATAGGGAATCACGGCCATGACCAGTAACATAAGTAACATTGTGAGTGGCTCACATGCACATACTAAAACTATTCATGGCACTCACATGATCTCAGATGCAGTCACACACACACACACTTGAAAAACACACACACACACAAAAACACACACAAACACACACACACACCCACACACGCGCGCACACACACAAACACACACACACACGTAATACTCACGTATATTTCAAGTGACCACAGCAACAGCACTGATGTGATTCCACAACGGGTCGTGTTTGTTCCCAGGCTCCTGCCCCACCACTCCAAATCCGGTGACAGTTCAGCACTGAGCAGAAAAACAGCCTCTATCAAAGAAACGTATATACATATAAAAGTATACATGTATAAACATATAATATCATTATATTCATGTATATATATATATATATATTCATGGGGGGTTCCAAAGTCATGGGGCCCCAAATCCAATCATCCAGTCGTCATGGATGACCATGACGAAGTCTATTAAAATCCATGGTGCCTTGGGCTAGCTCCCATGACTTAGGAAGCCCCCCATATTAGGTTTATTCGGAACTGGAATATGCATAAATAAGCACCAGATAGGGGTTTTCCTCATTGAGATAATGATCATTCTAGTTAGTAACCATAGTATACCATAGTTATAACATATAACTTATAACATGTTATAACCCATTTTTTCATGGAATAACCCACTGTAAAACTTTATGTTTTTTGGATGACCTAACATATGGTACATACACACTGAATGATTATGTAACAGAATCTGCCCAGCCACTGCGACCATTGATTTGCTGGAGATCTAATCTCTTGATACTGACGTGATGGCGACATCCATTTCATTCCATCACATACCTGTGGATATATCAAGTATACATAATCCAATTGATTGGCTACTGGAAGTTTAATAAATTATAATCACTATTATATCACTATTAACTGTGGCAATTATTTATTATTATCACTATTATTGAAATGTCACAGATTTCTACCTGGATCTGCTTGGATTTGGTCATGTTTGATGCTCAAATTGACCAATCTCTGGAGTTGAAATTGAGGTTTTGAAGGACATAGAGACTCTCGGGCAACTGGAAGCCAGATGTTTCCTTGCAGTAATCACAAGCGTTGGACATGTGCAGAATATCCCGGAAGTTGGTGGAGATGGCAGCCTGGCAGGGTGACGGGAAACCCTGATCAGAATGTTTTAATGTATGTAGAAATAAAAACATATTAAAAGAAACTATAATACCATTGATATCCATTGATCCATTGTTAAATTGTTGACATCACATAATGATCCCTATCACAGTACTGGTACACCAAATCCCGGGACAATGGTAAGTAAGACATCATAAGACATCCCGATAAATCCCGATAATAGATTTTATATTTCAAAATGGTGATTAAAATAATAGATCTAATATCGATGGTATATCCCGCCAAGCCCATTTACTAATTCGTTTGAATGTTGATGGAGTTGGATTTTTCGGGCACCTCTCAGCTCGGACCGCGAACACCGAGGTCAGATGGCAGGCTCCATAGGCCGATGTCGACATAATTTGAGGACGTTCCGACCGTGGTCCGTAGTGAAAAGGTGGTAAACATAGCGATTGAACATCACCAGCAAGGGGAAATCGTTTTATTTCTGATCCACATTTACAACAATGGTGCACATGGTTTAAGAATTGTGTGCCACTCTATATGGGGGTTTCCATTACTATAGGTACCTCAATAGCTGGATGGTTTATAATGGAACGTCCCACTAAAATGGAATCGAACCAGGGGCACCCCTATTTCAGGAAACCTCCAATTGGCTTTACTGTAGGCTTGCCATGGCTGTTGACGAACACTGGGATGTCCTCCTTGAATCAGTTCGGGAGTGTGCTAAACCCGCAAAACACCGATCCATTGCGTTCCATGTGGAGATGGTTTTTGTTTGATATTTGACATGTTTTTATAGTTTTACCACCCATTTATGGTAGGTCATTGAGAATGGTGGTTTATGGATGTTTAGATGTTTATGGCATTTGGGTTTACCGGTTTACGACCTTAGTTGGTTTACCATGTTTTTTTTCTTAAGGTTTATGTCCATCATGAGAAGTACAGAAAAAATGACGACCACTGTTTGGTTTATTGAACACAATTGATTGACGTATACATGTAATGGATACGAAACAGGTCTCTTTCTCTCTCTGTGTCTCTCTCTCTCTCTCTTGGAAAGTCAGGCTTGGCCCTACAGACATAGACTTACCTTGCCACTTGGGTCTCCCAGGGGTCTCCCATGGCTTACAAGAGTCATCAAGATGCAAGCCATTGCATTTGGTGTAATTGATTTTTAATGGACATCCATGACAGCAACTTTGAAGATGGAGACCCATTGAGCTTTGTCAAGAACAAATCGATAGTTGAGTTGGCAGTAATTGTGCCCCCATCCAATTCCACCAAAAATCCATTAACCATATTCCAAACATCCAGTAAACATCTGATGTATCTACTATTTTACGAGATGAAACTTGTAGGGTTCTTTCACTGTTGGACAAACCCACTAGCGGATCAGAAACCAGCATTACACAGTCCGCCTGCATTGACTTCAGGCTTTCTTAGCCTGCTGATCGGATTCGCCTCGCCAAAAAAGTGGGTTATCTCTGTAAATGGATGATCTTACTATGCTATAGATGGTCATCACCATATTAGTAGATGGGATAACCCATTGTTATTCCATCTATGGCCACAAGCAATTGATCCAACGCCATGGCATTGCGACGTGGGGCACATCACATCGTCACCTTGGTGACTGGGAGCTGGATGTGTTGAGGACATCTGTACATCCCCATGGTGCCCATTGGTTTTTTGGGATATGTCTGCATGTTATGTGGCTCAAAATGACTTGTTGTATGTATTATATATGTATATATGTACGTACATATGTGTATGCAATGCTATACGTACACACACACACGCACACTTGTACACAGATTCGATGATGCAATAATAATCTAACCTATAAACTTGGTCACCGGATGGCTCACACACGAAGCAGCAATAGCGTTGTGTCTGGTTGAAACATGTTGCGACAGGCAATTTTTGAAGTTTAGCTCATTTCGAAGACATAGTACTATGATTACCCGGATGTGAATCCCAGTAAATGTGTAACAACATGTAACAACCATACTACTAGTATGAAACAGTCCAGTTTGATTAATCTCAGTGTGCAGTAACCTTGGCTCCTGATATCTCAATGGTTGCGTTTAACGGACAATTTAAGCTTACAACCTAATGTATTTATATAATTACTATGATCCAAAATATACAAGTTTCCTGCAGCTCGCCTCTTCACCCGTATTCAAATGCAGATTTCCCCAAATTAACAGACCCTGCCAAATAGGGGGTTTGACGAGTACATTCCTCTTCAAAAACTGGCTATTCTCAGATGAAAGCGAACCACGGCCAGTCTGGGACCATTCACCCCAATTTTTACAAGCAGGTCCAAAAGGATTCAAACGGTAATTTGTCTATGATTGAAAGTTTTTTTTTCCGATATCATCCGATATCACAAACGAACACGTGAAGTATAGATTGATATTTTACAGTCGTTGATGCTTTGTTTTTTCCAGCAAATTCCCGACATTCATTGGTCAACATATCACCATGAAGTTGTTCTAAAATCAAGCCGTTCCATCTATTTTGGAAAACCAATACCAAAAAAACAAAAACATAAATAAGAACATCACAAACAATTTGTAACATGTCACAACCCATTTATAAATTTAATTAATGTTGTCAAACACAATAAAGTATAATTACCCTCCAGTTAAACCAACATAGCTATGTAGAATCATCATGTTTAAAGAAGGTAAATCATACTATTGCTGCTGTTTTCCCCAGCTATGTTAGATTATCAGGGTGTAACTCTTAAGTTTCTATTCACTGGTTGGTGGCTTGGAACATTTCTTTATTTTCCATTTCATATATGGGATGTCATCCTTCCCATTGACGAACTCCATCATTTTTCAAGATGGGCACATGGCACCACCAACCAGATAAGTTCATCACTATTAATCACCATTAATCACCATTAATACACTATTCATCACCATTAATACACGATTAACCATCATTAACCATCATTAACCATGGAAATCCCAGTTCATGTAGTGTGTATTTCCCAGAGATATTTCGTTTGCAAATCCCAGGCACCATGGCAGTCACATCTGGCCGTGCCAAGGTGACCTTGGTGACCCGCCTATCTGTGGCGGACTCCGCTGAGGCCTGGTGAAGCCCTCGGTTAAAAAACGCCAGGAGATCATAGGAATGCTTGAGACGAGGATTGATTTAGCTATGATATGAATATATATATAATATATATATAGATTATAATATGGATTTGCATGATTTGCCGCAACTTTTGCAATCATTTGATTCTAATATGGATCCATATGGATCTATAGTGGGTAGATGTGGGTTGTATATTGTAGGTTTATTTTTAAACACATGACATGTATGAGAACTTAAGATTTGCATCCCTAGATTGGGAGGGATAACACCAGCCATAATTGGGCTATAATGGTAAATGTATTCATATAAGCAACACCATGATATTGTTTGGAGTGGATGTAATCGGATGCAAACCAATGAGTCTCAATGAGCCATGGTGATATTGATCAGAAAATGTGGGTAGTACTAACCAGCAATCATGGGGATAGATGCGGTTTGTCACCATGGGTGTGTCTGACATGATAATCAACCATGAAATTTCACAGTGCCCTATGTTTTCCAGAATTGAATGGTTCAAACAATATGTAAAAAACAAACAACGCAAAAACCAAAAATACAACCAACAGGAAAGGATAAGACAGATCTTTGCTTTTTTTCCCTGTAAGTAGGTAGATAGATAGGCAAGCACATAGCAAAATGATGGTAAACAATTCGAACAGCTCTATTCGAACTGCTCAAGTAGCTGATTGTAGAATTTGCTACGGCTCAAATCTATGATAGTGAAGATAATAATGGTATGCACAGTATTATGATATTATAATATATATATATACATATATACAATTATATTATATTATATTATATCATATTATATTATATTATATTATATTATATTATATTTTGTTATATTGTAATATACTATATTATATTTCATTATATTTATATTTATTATACTTTGTTTTAATATTTTTTATATAATTATATTCTATTACATTATATTATATTATATTATATCATATTATATTTTACCATATTGTATTATATTATGTTTTCCTATTTTTTACTATATTATATTATATATATATATATATATTATATCACATTATATAATATTTTATTATATTATAACATATTATATTTTATTATATTAAACCATGTTATATTTTTTTATATCATACAATATAATATTTTTTTTAATATTATATATATTATTATATCATATATATATAATAGTTTATTTTGTATTATTATAAATATATATATACATACATATAGATGTTCCATATTGCTTGCATATGTTCCCCTTGGCGCCATTGGAGGATTTGCTTCCAGCACAGTTCCGAGCACCTTGGCGAAGGTCAGGGGGTATTCTTGGATCTTGCAGGCATACTGTGCCATAACATATATCAATTCTCTTCATCATATAGATATAAATATATATATACACATTATATATATATATAGAAAAATTATAACGACCTCACTGCGACCTCACTGGAATCATGGTTAGTAAGGGGAATCATCCCCAAATAGCCTTATTTCAGGTCAGTGACATATTATAATTTACTCATATATGTATATATATATATATGGTCTCGTGTTCCGTGTTCCTTACCCCCCCCACCGCCCCCCAATGGTATGGGTCCCCAGGTTGCACCCCCTTCCCTTCTATTTGCAAGCTATTGGCAGCATTTCTGAGGTCCACCCTCGTATTTGCTAGGTCTTTGCTGCATTTCTGACTACCAGCCTCGCATTTACTAGGTGCATGCTACCTTTTAGATGACCTACGTAGCTCACATACTCCCTCAAAGTACCTACGTGCTACCTATAGTCATATATACATGTGCTATGTATCTACTTCATATATATATATATATACATATTATAGATACATACACACACATATATATATATATAAACATATATATATGCGCAGTACCACACCCCCACCACACCACAGGGGGGAGGGGGGACAGTACCACACCCCCACCACACCACAGGGAGGGGAAGGGGACAGTACCACACCCCCACCACACCACAGGGGGGGGGAGGGGCACAGTACTATGGCTGACCCATGACCATGGCAGGGGGGTTGGAACGCTGGACCATATATATATATATACACACTGTATGACGTACAGGCATAACAGGGTATGTACAGTATATAGTTCCTTTTACTTACTTATGATTCGACATTGCTGTGTATATATATATAGACATACATTTATATATAATATCGATGGTATTGTTACATGTTTATGGTATCATTGATTTCAATAGCTGGATATGTATATATATAGTATGATGTGTGTGTATACATACATATTACATCATATTACATGATAATGATATAAATATATGATGTTGCATATCACAGTGTTGATATTGAATTATGAAACACACGACACACTTGACATCCCCCGGATGCAAGCTCAGGCAGACGTCGATGAGGCCCTTGGGCGCTTGCGCGACATACTACAGGAGGACACCACCTTACCAGTTTCGATGTGTCGATTGAATAGTGGGTTTATAAACGGATACTGTATTCCCTCTGGACTTTTAGCATAGCTATGGAAACAAAGCTATAGAAAATCAAACAATATAAAAACAAACAGGAACATTGATTTATGATGCGATATACGCCTGACAATTAAACGTAGCTATGGAAAATAAATGAACACAGTATGAACATAGAGGATGTACCCTATGACATTTAAAATAGCTATGGAAATTCATCATGTTGAATAGATAAATCATCTGTAAATGGGCCATTTTCCGCAGTTACACACCAGCATGTTTCCTTTGTGTAGCCGAGGCAAGGTCAGCCATGACTTTTGCTCAGCGACCTTGGCAAGAGCACGGCAATCCATGGGTAGAAGCTCCGTACTAGAAAAATGAGAGACCCTACAAAAATCCACTAATTAATCAACACTTTCCTCATACAACTGGTCATTTTGGTGGATATACCAAATTTTCGGACATACCGACACACCGCCGTTTTTCATTTATCATTGTGTTTCACCAAGGTTATTTGCCACATGCCAGCCAGGCTAATACATTCAACACCCAGGGCACTTGCACGCGCGGTAGGAGAGACAGCCTCGCTTCCCTGCAGATGTGGCTCACCACTACGAGGACCCAGGTTTTTGGGGTGGCCGGAAAGCCGGGTCAAATACGAGGGACCGACGTGACCGACTGAATTTTAGTGAAGAAACTGAATATATATATATAATTATATATGCATATACATACTTATATATATACATGTAATTATATAACATCATATATACATGGTTGTCATATATTATCACAATTCATACCTGCTAATAACTAAATAACTATAAATTAGGTGTTTGAGTCAATAGAATTCGCTGTTTTCATTGTTCGCCCCGTGATTGGAATGGTGATTTTGTCCCACGTTGCGATGGGAACTTGTTCATCTTTGAATTACAGGGGAAAAGGGACAATGATATGATGATATGGCAGTTTTATTGAATAGCCACTAGATTGGACATATGCCATGATAATATCTGATATGCCCCAAACACTGACACACCAAATGGGTATTTCTGAAAATAAGGGACCCCATTCCACCTTTTAACATGGCCGTGCCAGGGGTGTTCCATCCTTGCCTGGGACGGGAAAGTGCTGAGTGGAGCGTGCCGCTCCCTTGTCTGGAAAATATACCCGACACTGTGTCGCAGGCCCCAAGGAAAAATCATGAAACATATAATTGTATATTATTGAACCCTATACTTGTATATAATTCACATAAGAAGGAACCGATTTGCACAAAGTTGCGTACATGCAAGAGGCAAAATAAGCGATACCCCTGGCGATACCTTAGTTATACCCATTTGTTCAACAAAAAAGACCCAGACCACAGATAGCCCCTTTTTCTCTGTTTCTTTCATTTTCCTTTTCTCTTCCTTACCTTTTTTCCTTTACCTTTCCTTACACATACTTGTTCCTCCATTATCCTCAGAAATACAAAACCATGCTTAGCAATAGGGCCTTGTTTTTTGAGCAAACCGAAGACATATCATCTTGAGGGCGGATCATATATATATATATATAGGTAATGATTAATGCATATACACATAGACACAACTAGACACACACACACACATCTGCACAATTAGATCTGAAATATAAACTACGGATCCAAGTGCTTCCTAGGAAGGTACACATCACACTCAAATCAAAACCCATTCATACCTCATAGGGTACGGCTAGATCCATGGGGATATATCATATCAAGTTGTTTACTTATGTCATAACCCATCATAAGCAATATTCTATCTCATTAATATACCATTAATATTATCATTGGATTACCCCCATAAAATGTCAATTGGGATAAGTGTGCCCCTCTATTTGATGAAATATAGGAAAAAACGGAGATCCCTCAAGACTTCCGCCAGGACAAGTTCTTGCCAGTGCCCCAGGACACGTCCAATGATCAATATATATACATATATATACATGTATATATATATATATGGGTTCCTGAAACGGCCACTGCTATCGGCTATTTATATCCATATCTATCTATATATATATATACACATGGGTTTGTCTTAAACATAATAGTGCCCATGAAGAACAACTAAAGCACACCTTGATGGGTAATCAGTTCAAATCATCAAATTTGGAGGGTGCCCGATTTTCAGATACACCGATATAGATATGCGTCTATGACCCTATGATAATTTAAAAGCTATGGAAATATCACCATATTCATTCATAAATCATCTATGTTTAAAGATATTTAAAGGTGCTTTTTTTTTTGTTTGGCGACTCATGATGTTTTCCCATGATTTCCCAGATACGCGCATAACATCACATAAGCCACCATCCGGATATCAACTGGTATTATATAAATCCAGCAGGCCATTGATGATTGCATGTCTAACAAAGAACCCTTCAGAATCGTGACAAAAAAGGCATGCATGACAGGTCCCAATGATGGAATGTGATGACATGCTAAACCATTGACAGAAAGAGATCATAATGTATAATAGTTGTAGGGGCCCCATATCCCAAACTGGATTTGTTAATCCTTTTTTTATAGCCATAAAACTAAGCCCTGGCCAAGTAGTGATGATTTCAACACTTCCACATGTTCGCCTTTTTTCGTGGGAAACCAATCGCTGAGGTTAGTAGAACTGAGTACTCAAGCTGCAGCTGCCAGCTTGGCTTGGGGGCCCAGTCGGCCCAGGATTGGTGACCTTTCACGACTGTGCATGTGGCAATGTGGACGCATGTATATATATATATATATGTGTATGATTATATACACATACATACATTATATATATATACATTTATCATATATAGATATACTCATAAATATATATATATATATGTATATATGGCATGTATGTGTATATACATATATATATATATACATATTTACATTACTTGTATGTGTATATATGTTTATTTATATTACATGTTTATATATATATGTGTAAATACATATTATGTATGAATATATATATATATATTTACATAAACATATAGATATACATATATATATATATATGTATATATATATATGTACATCTATATGTATATACATACATATATATGTATACATATATACACATTTTTATACATATATATATATACAAATATACATGTATATATATATATATACATGTATATATATATATACACATATATATATATATATATGTATATATATATATATATATTCAACATCCACAACATGTAATCCTTGTTTTCGATCCGCACAGATAATGGTTTGTTTTGGCGGGACTTGATGTCTCCAAAGTATTTGAAACTCGAATGGCCAGGACCCTTCAATGGTAAAATGGCTGGATGCTGGATGCCCATTTCAGAGGGCAGAAAAAAAGCCGTGTCAGGCCACCAGGCCATATCCATGTTGTTCATGTTGGGAGTCTCATCCTCATCCATACTACTTGTCGGTCCTTGTCGGCATAACGATTGCTGGTATCAACATCATTGGTATCCTCGTGAGCCCTGGATTGTGGAATTCATAGCCATGTTTGATTGGTGATGTCATGTGATGTCACGTCTTTTTGGTGCCATGCCTCATTGAAAATCTTAATCGCATTTTCCTGATATCGATCTGCTATGGGTTCAAAACATCCTTCAACTATTGATGAATGATTCTAATCACTGCTAGCTATGGTCTCATTAAATGTGTTTACCACCTCCATTTTGCGCGTGGCAACAACACATTTGATCCCGGTTACCGAGTATATGATGTATGTTCAGGCCCAGTCACTAGCTAGATGCCAGCGTTTATGTGGTGGATAGTGATCGGTCACCCCCTCAGGGACCAATGATGAATGATGTTGTCATTATCATCCTATCAGAATGGTTTTTGAGGGTTCCTTATATATACGTATATATATATATACGTATATATATATATATACACATTTAATTATATATTTAAGAATATATATATATAACCACATATATATATATGAATATATGTATATATGAATATAGGAATATATATATATATATAGCCACAAATAACATGCCACTGGCTTCTGACCCAAAATCTACGTGCATTTTTGTTCACAACTTTATATTTCACATGATTCTTAGGGTATCCACTGTCGTCTCCCCCCTTGTCTCGTGATACGCAGGTGGAACTCCTGTCACTGGCCACACAAAGTAGCAGCGACTGGACGCAGCCGGCAGGTGGAACTTCATCCCACGTGGTTGATGAAGAACAATGGATTTTAAGAGCGATGGTGAAATTTCTATCTATTATAATATCTATTATATTAACATCTATTACATTCTATTATAACATCAATATTCATCTGGTTGGTGGTTTCAAACATGTTTTTTCCATAATATATGGGATAATCCTTCGCATTGACCACCAACCAGAAAATATATTTTATTACCTTATATACAGAATATCATATTTCAATATATCCATTAATGTGATATATGGTCTTGATAATGCTATCCTCTGGATGGATGATTACTTTGGGGTAAACATACCAAGACATGTGGAAAGCCAATGGTTTCATGTTCGGAAGCCATGATCTACAAATGGTGGGGCTTCATTCATGGGTTTTCCACATCTAGTTTAGAGGAAGGTATCAACCATCGCACTTGCGAGAGTAAGCATCTATAGTTGTCTTTAGCTTCACTAGTTGGGAGAGATATTACTGGATGATATGTGTTCTTGGATTTCACACCACCCAATACTGGGAATAGTTGCCATCACAAGTGGGATCAAGTGGGATAGGAACTGACTATTTGACCGTAGGGGCATTAATCAACAATGCTGGGGATGTATTTGGAATCTATTATTTGATGGATAGTTGTTTGGATAAACCAACCGCATGGTCAGTTGAGTAGTAGCTATTGTTCTGTGTCACAACTGGGCATACATTTACCTGACCAGCCATGTAATCGTGTTTTTTGTTCATGCCGTGGCCACTGTTTCAGAAGCCACAATCTAAACCATCAACATTGGGATAAAACATGATAAAACATGATAAAACACCATTTAATCAATAAACGACGATGGAATACATTACTGATATATGATTTGGAAGTACATATAAGTAAGAGACGTATGGAGGTGCTGGCTTAGAGTTAAGTCTGACATTGGCTTACAACTGACAACTCAGACAAAAAAATGTGATAATCTCTGGGATCAGACAGGGTTATAAAGCAAAGTTGATATTCACCTGATGTTTTCGCAGGATGTGCTATTGTTTCGTTTCTAGTTTTAGTGATCAACATGATCACTTGATGTTGCAATGCCAAAATTCAAGTCAAAGCAAATATCATTTTGTTTTTTTGAATGTGCTTAACTGAAGGTGGAAAATAGCTTTCAATTCGAGGGGCCCCATTTCAAGGGATGTCTCCATGGGTCATGATCCGCTGATCAATTCAGTACCAAGTTGAGCACGGCAATCAAAAAGTATGTATGTTTGTTTGTTTTTTTCTAGAGATAGGGCGTTGCCAACTCGGACAATTGATCGCTTGTTTTTGTTCTCGGATTTTCCTTGTTAACATATCTATTTTGGATCGTTTTGAGGTATCCCCGAATCCCAAATCGCGGGGTATTCAACCTATGTTTTGAATCGGCCTCGCTGCCCATGGTACGGTATGGTACCTCCTGATTCAAGTGGAGCCAGTTGGCAACATGTGACAATGGGGATGGGTCAACACCTAGTATACATGATTATAATATTAATCTACATTTTATTTGTAGCATTATTTTAATTATTTTTCTTCTTATTATGTATTATTGTTTGTATTGTTGTTTTTTATTTCTATTACTGCTATTCTTATTATTGTTATTGTCTGTTGTTATTATTACTAAATATTTTTTTTAATCACACATATATATATATATATATGTATATGTTACTATTGTTATGATATTTGGAGAAATACACATCCATTCACCAGCTATTTTGGGATACGGGGTGCCAGGGTTTTTTCCAGCCCGCAGGTCTGAGGTTCAAGCTGTGCTCCAGTTACACCTTCCTTAAGACGGAGGAGAAGGATGTCCAGGCCGTAGCTATGGGATGTCGGATGTCCGTGACGGGGATATCATCAACGTTTGGATATTCAGCAGCAAGAACATGAGTGCATGCGGATGTACCCTCTGGTAATTTAACATAGCTATTGAACATACCCCATTTATAGTTGATTTACCGATTCAAAATGGTGATTTTCTATAGTTATGTCAGTTTACCAGGGTATATGTTGTAATCTGTTGTAATTGAATAAAAATATATATATGTATATATACACATCACATCGCGCTAGCATTGCATGTTTGTCATTCCGAAGATTCTGACGCCTATTGGTTGGTTCAGGATGTTCCATTTGACTTTGACGTTGCTTAAACAGGCATGCTTTATCCCATCCATTCCCATCCCCTGAAACGTCCCAGTTCCAAAGCCAGTATCCATGAATCCCCCGCTTTCAAGATCCAAGGAGCTTGGTTCAAGGGAAGTCTTGTCGGAAATCCCTTTGGACAATGTTGAGGGTGAAACATGATGAAACATGGCTTTCCTGCATGTCCCTTGCAACAATCCATTGATCAAAGATGATCAAAGCAACACTTTCAGAACATGAGAACATGAGTGAATTGAAAGAAGTTCCATTCATGTCTTTTTACACTAGAAGGTAGTTGTTCTATGTTTTTCTGTGTTTTTTCCCGGTGGCAGGTTGGCACGGCCCAAGTCCAAGAATCCGAGTCGGTGCTCGGGAACTGGCGCTCCACAGTACGCAACACGGTCAAGGCGACATCGTTCAGATTTCATCGGGGTCAACCCTTTGTTAGATACTAAATGATACTAACTAGTATTGTTTTTTTCGCTATGAATGGCGGAATTCTTATCTTTTTCCAAACAACATGTATCATTTTCAAAAATATGAATATGAACAAAAATAGAATCAAGTAGAAAACAAAAAAGAGAAAGCATGAACACAATGAACCACACTGAGGAACAACAAGCACAGCATGAAGTAAACTGAGTCTACATGAACAACCAATTTCACATAAGACCACATGAAGTAAAATGATGAGGGGTGCTGATTTAAACCTGGCTGATCCAAACCATTGGTTGCTCACTGAAGCTTTTTAAGAGACCCAAATCATCCAAAGTCATTCTCCTAATTTACCCATCACCAAACATGGCAATGGAAAATGGCCTATCTATAGATGAGTTTCCCAACTAAAAACTTCCCTTAAAGGTGATATCCCAGCCAGCGATATGGAAAAAAGTTGGCGAGTTGTACCCCATGTTATCCCATTGTATCCCCAGTTCGGTTTCCGGAGGTTATTCCCAAATGTTATTCCCAATGATTCTCAATTACAATTGTTCCAATGATGTTCCAGTGATTTTCCGGTTCTTCCAATAAAACATAATCTACCCAGCTTGAAGGCCCAAAGTTTCCGGAGACCGGCGCTTCAGGTGACAGAGCACCTGTGGAATCACAGCAGCCACTGGCATCTCAACGACACCCAAGGCCTGATCGCCGAAAAACTTGGGAAAACTTAGGCGTAAAAAACACGCGTTCCTTGCATTTTCTTCACTTGAATTTTCTGAATCCATTAAGATATGTCAAATTTTCGACAGCACAACATGTCGAGAATCGAATTGGGTCACCCAACTTTTCCAATTTTTTCGCGCAGGAATTCTGTCGCGATTTGGTTTCTAGATCCACATCCTCAACTTATCGCTGTTGGCCTAGTGGTTTTTCAGGGGACGGGCCAAGAAGAGCATAGATTTGAAACAACATTTTGGGAGAATAAGCACTTGACTCATACTGCAAGTGGTGTTTATCCCCGATTTTGGTCAGCATCCAAAGTTGTGGCTTATTGTTATCACTAATGTGTTGTTTGTATGTCTTACTGGAACAACAAATTGCAGATATGATTCAACCATATTCAACTGTAATTAATATTAATTGATATTAATTAATGAGATATCCTCCAATATCATACGTAAACTAAATCATGTAAATCACAATGATATATGGCATAAATTTGATATACTGCACAAATACTGTATCCAGATGGGTAGATCGATTGCAAAGACAGATAGATTGATAGCTAGATCGCTAGATAGATCGATAGGTAGACCAACCGCTAATGTATATAATTATATATATGCTATATATATATTTATAGATATAGATAAATAAATAGATAGATCCATCGATAGATAGAGAGATAGATAAGATAGCACAGGATAGGATGGGATGGGATAGGATAGGATAAGATAGGACAAGATAGCCAACACAGATAAGGTTAGATAGCTACGATTAGATATAAAGAAATGTATACATATATATAAACATAGAGAGATACGATTAGCTAGATGATATTAGATAGATACAGTTAGATAGATAAAAATAGTTAGATAAATAGATAAATAGATAGGTATGCAGAGAAATATAGATAGATAGATAGATAGACAGATAGACAGATAGACAAATAGATAGATAGATAGATAGATAGATAGATAGACAGATAGATAAATAGATAGATATATAGATAAATGGATAGATAAATAGATAAAGATCGATAAACAAAGATAAAGATCGATAAACATAGATAAAGATCGATAATAATAGATAAACATAGATTAAGACAGACAAAGATAGATAGATAGATAGATAGATAGATAGATAGATAGATAGATAGATAGGTAGATAGATAGATAGATAGGTAGGTAGATAGATAGATAGATAGATAGGTAGATAGATAGATAGATAGGTAGATAGATAGATAGATAGGTAGATAGGTAGATAGATAGTAGATAGATAGATAGATAGATAGATAGATAGGTAGGTAGATAGATAGATAGGTAGGTAGATAGATAGATAGGTAGATAGGTAGATAGATAGATAGATAGATAGAAATAATGGATGGAGGGAGAGATAGATAGAAGTAATGGATCGAGGGAGAAATAGCTTGACAGATGGAAGGATAGTTGGATTAGATATAAGATATGGAAACCCACTATGGAAAACCTGGCTTCACTGCTGTGCTCTTTGCTGTTCCAGGGAGCCAATGGAGGTTCATCCATTAATGGAATATCCCCATTGGAAATGTGGGATGAACGGCTACATGGATGAAATAAACTACGGATCTTCGCGGGATGCACATCCAACTGAAATGGGCATGGTGGATCATAGATGGCAAGCAAATTGAGTCGCCTGCCGATAACCCATAGCATTTTTTCCTACCAATTTAACCACCTTGTTTTTTAACCCTTACCCAACAGGACACACGACACACCAACATGGAAGTAGATATGCCAGACATGAGGCAGCATTTGAGACATTTGGATATATATATATATACCTTTGTTCCAATATGAAATACCGCCGTGAAAACCTTGATTTAGTATTGGATCTACTCATGGTTATGTTGGGGGGAAGGGCAAACCGAAATCAGATCATGTAGCATGAATGCATCACAATTAGACCATGGAACATCATTGGATCGGAATCACACAATATAGCATACATGTTTCTTAAAAAATGAATTTCTTGGTATCTGTTTGTACAACTACAATAAGACACACGGAGGTTTCTACAATGGAGTTACCCCCAAATCATCCATTTTCATGGGATTGTCCTTGATAAAGCATCCATTTTGGGGGTACCTCCATTTGCGGAAACCTCCATATATGGATCCATATGGTAGATCAATCTGATTGGATAATTGATTGGATAATTGACGGGTTCGACTGAACATTTGGTGCCATCTCATTTGATGAATAATTCACTGCACCAATTTTCAATAACAATAGTGATACACACAGATCAATTTCGTTCGATCCACAGACCTCCCAATCAGCCATTCGTAACCCAAGGCACCTTGCTTCATGGTTTCACAGGCGTGCGGGGGCGAATGAGACGTCAAACCGTTGGTTTCTTAATGGGATTTGACGGATATTGATGGGAATAGTTAGGATGTTGATGACATATATCAACCCAATTGTCATGTGATATCACTGGGATATATGATATATGAGATTTGTATGAAGGTCAAGGAGGTATTCACCAGCCTTATGTTCTAAGCTGTGGATCAGTGAAGCAAAGCTGGAGTGATTAGATGGTTGGAACCACCCTATAGCAATACGACCAAGGAGATTAGATGTGCCGGAAAATTAGAATACGTCAAAAACAAAGCAGTATTCACCTTAGAAGAGTATTTAGTGTATTCAAAATAGGAAAACGTATAATATGTAACATCCATTCCTTAACCGCATTAAATCAAGAAAAGACATTTGTGGCTGTCAAACAATTGCAATTCAGGACGTCATCTAGCAATTCAGCGATTGTGAGGGTTCACTGTGAGGGTTCACTGTGAGGGTTCATGGTTGGCAGTTGTCAAGTTCTCTACCTATCACAAGAAATTCGAATTTATGTTACACTGCAACATATCTTGTTTGCTATTGCTACAAAATGAATATTTCATGTCCTAAGCCAGTTTTTGTTTTTCTATGAAATTCCAGCTGCTGTGAGGTGAGTTGTTGAAGACCCTGGGCGACCGCTCCCAAAACGCGCAAAACGCGCCCACAGCGCCTGCACCTAGCAGCTGCGAGACGGAAGAGCTGTCCATGCGCTGGTTGAGGCGACGTGAAGTGTTGTGGTCTATTTCAACGTGTTTGGAACCTGTTTTTTCCTGATGTGTTTCTTCATGATAATATATATATATATACATGATTATGTGTATGTATATTAATTAATTATATAAAATATACAAAGTCACCTATCCATGCAGATATGCCATGAGACTATGTATTATGTATTATCTATTCATATTTTGAAGTGAAAAACACCATCAGTGGAGCACAAAGCCGCAGCTCATAACTGCAGTTTGCACACTGAAACTGGTAATGTTAAATATCAAACAACTATCGAACAGTGGCCCCCGAAAACCTCAAGCACTTTGCAAGAAAGCACATATATAAACCATATTTTTTTTAATCATCTTCGCAGCACTGCCAAAAATCCCCCAAGGTTCGTCCCAAGATTTTTCGATGCCATGGATTTTGGTGGCCATCGGATGCCGCCGGCGCAGGGATGGTGTGCACTTCGCGGTGAATCGCTCCTCACCGGACTGCCGCACTCCGTCGGTGAATCTGCAGACCCAGGCAAGGTGAGAAGCAGGCGGGATGATCTAAAAACAAAACGCTGGTATATAATTAATATATATATTATATATATATATTATAGATTAATTATATATATACATATATAATTGGGGATATAACCATTTTTTCCTGGTAGGATTGACCGAAATGATCAACTTCTATGGATCCAGCGGTGCCTTCGGTTTGGAAGTATGACTGTTTTTTTGTTTAGTCCCTTCTGAGGAAGTGTCTGGATACATAAGGATCAATATCAACAATGATATTTCAATAACGGAGACAATTGAATTGTTGTTTCCAGATTGATTGTTTTTTTTTTTTTCGGAAGCTGAGACATTCATAGTAAGCAACAGGAAAGCAAGGATTTCCCTGTTGCAATTGGGTTTACTGTACATAGCCTTGACCACCCTTTTGTTAAACACATGCGTCAGAGTACGGCCCCACTTACAAGTAAACTTGGCTTAAATGCTTCTTGAAGTTTGGGTGTTAATTCTGATATAAACTTTGAAAAGGTGCAATGCAATGGAATGATCATGTCTTGATTCACTCACAAAGGTTGAGGCTTAGCAACAATTTCATTGTGTGGTTCCAATTTCATTTAGAATCATGTGGAATCACCCTCTTTCAATCTTTTTTATGTGTTGGTTTGCAGACACTGCACTATTAAGTGCGGGTACTGTTCTTCTATGTTGGGACCCCAAAATACTCATCCCATTGATGCAGAGACCTGGTAACATCTGGTAACATCTGGTAACCCCAAATTACAAATTTATACTGATCGAAACAAATATATAATATAGGTATTGTCCAACACGAGGGCTACAGATAGCACAATTCGTCGCGTCTCGGAGAGGCTGCGTTGGATTTCTTCGGCCAACTAGAGGCGGGAGTTATCCCTCGGAAAGCTGTGGATGACTGGATCCACTAAGTGATCAATATGAACGCCCTATGGATCCAGTCGTACCTTCTGAGGAAGTATGACTGGGGTATGATTTTGCGGACTTTGGGGGGTGATTTGTACCTTCTCAGGAAGTACTGCGATCCATGAAGCAAGGTTTACTACTGATGGGAGGTCCGTGGGCTGCGGTGGAACCAGGGACAAGTGTTGGGTTCTGGGCAGACCTTTCTGGGCAGACCGTTCTGGGCAGACCTTTGCCGGGAAAAGCGAAGAAACTTTGCTGCGGCACATGACATCAGGCGCAGCCGGGAGGCTCTACAGTTTTTCTTGTTGTTGCCTTCAGTTTTTGTTTGGAATGAAGAGGGGTCAATACCAAATCGGTTTGTCCAAAAATGGAGTCTACCATGGTGTGCCCAGTATACCGCCAAATTGGCAAGTTTTGTGTTGAACATGACCCTGATAAACCACTAGATATTGGGGTGATTTAAATGTTAGAGGAAATAACTCCAGACCCAGTTGATTCCCAACACGAGCCATTCTCTTCATGTGACCGGAATGCAGCCTGCAGCTTCTCCTTCAGATATTATGACCATATCTGGGGGAATAAACATCCATTACCCTCTGGTAATTTAACATAGCTATTGAAAATTACCATTTATAGTGGATTTTCCCATTAAAAATGGTGATTTTCCATAGTTATGTTAGTTTACCAGAGGGTAACATCCAGCATCATCCAGCTATGACTTAGGGTACCGTTTGGGTACCAGGGTTTTTATCCGATAACCAGACTGGCTTTGGCCTGCCCCGATAACCTGACTGCATGTCGTGGCCCCTGGGGTATTCGAAACAAAAGGGAATCCCCATCTCAAGGTTCACTTGTTGCATAGACTGAATATCATTCAGCAAACATCATTTAAGTGGATCTTGTAATAAAACATTGCTTGAAAAAAATCCCATTTATATAGTTCGACCGTTTTCCAATGGAATTCCAGAAGGTAATTCGTCCATGAAGAAGCATTACTAACCCTTACCCTGTTAAGCCATTATCAATAATCTTGAACCATGATTGACGATGTTATTAATCATCATTCACCATTGTGCACCATATTATCCATTACAAATCATGATTGACCATCATTAACCCTTAGAATTCATCACTAACCCTTATCAACCACGGCAAATCATCGCATTGACCATAGATTAAAAACCATTGAACTATTTTTTTAACCACAATGAACGCATTCTTCTATGTTCAGAAACCTTCCAACAGTTGAGGTGAAGCTCAAGTCCTTCCACAGCTTCAAGGCTGGGTCAAGCTGCCCTGCGGTGGCCGCGGTTGGACTGGTTGGAACTTCACGCCATGCAACAGGCATTACACCCTAAGAGGTGGTGCCCCAATTGCGTAAATGGGGTTTTAACCAGCAAACATGGGGAATTCAGCAAAAAAGATGCGGATTTATACTTGATTTATGTTAAGTTGGAAAACACAACTCTAATTTCACTCTCGGGATTATGATCCATATATCAAATTAGTTCATGGGGGTTAAAAACCAACAAACATTTTTGAGTGGGGCGAACCACCTTGTACAATTCGGGGTAGTTAGAACCCAATTCTCCAGTGCCAGGGCTGCAGACACTTGTAATTACAGGCTCCACTTCTGCAATGATGAAACCCTATATTGTACTTTGTATGCCTGGTTTTCCCAACTACCTCATGCGTTCTTATCCATAGTTTTTTAGGCGCTTATATCATATATCCATATTATTTATGTCTGGTTTGGACTTGCAAAGGTCGCACATATTGACCCAGTTACGCCATGGAATCTAAGCAAGGCTGCAACAACGATTTCTGATCCAAGCAGAATGACATATAGGTGCAGTCTTCTGAAACCTTAGAACTCAAATGACATGTTTCACATTAGCCAACCATTAGGTTAGTTGAGCCCACTGCCCTTCAACGCATATCTATAGTACCCGAAACCCTTTGATTAAAAGAACACACACGTTTTCCCAAAGCCAACTCAGAAATGGACTCCATGGGATTGCTCATCCGCAGGAAAGGTCTTTAAGCCTGTGCTGGCCTTGTTTGCCATGGAGAACGCCGTCTGGCAAAGAAGACTGGTTGGTAGGGCAAGAAGCCACATACAACCCATGTACATAGCTGGGGAATGCTGGTCTTCCACTATATGATTTGCTAAAATAGTGGTACCACCTAAATTCCAACATCAAATGTTTGGATTCAGATTCAGTATTGAACCCCGTGGGCGCACGGGATAATTATAAGATGTGGACCCAATTTGTGGGGTTTGATGCCCCTTTTCAGGGAAAGCCTGCGATGTTGATTGGGATGCTACCAGTCCGCTGAGACAAGAATCAGGGCATCTAAGATTCAGCCATGCATATATAGGTGACTAGTTGGTGACTGGGTTATGAACTGTTCCTCATTTTGATGAATTAATTCCCCACTTGCCAGGGTCTCTGAATTTTGTCAGAGTGATGTACTTCCTCCTTCCTTCCGCCCTTCCTTCCGGATCTTGTTGCTGCCGCGGGGAATCAAAGATGTTCATAGGAGTAGCGGAGGTTTGCCATAGAAATCCTCCATAGCTGCATGCTAGGCCATTCATTACACAAACAGAACAAGATCACTTTGGAAATATAAGGACCAAGTGATAAATTGATGGTTTCCTTCCAAGACATCCATCTCTTTGCCGCCAGATGTTTCTTTTTCACTGTGCCTAAAACGAGTTGTTGACCCAGTCCCGTGTTGATATCCAGGCAGATCCATGCTTTTGGTACGGCACCCTAGCTGAGGCATCCAAAGCAGTCCTCACGGCACCATAGCTGAATTGGCCGCATGCAATCCACGTGGTTACCGGGAGAGGGCGAGAAAGGCTGATGTTGGACATGTTTAGATAGCACTTATGTGTTTTGCTTATGGTATGCCTGTAATACATGTGTATATATATATATATTTATACCGTATTACTATTATTATGATATTCATATTATTATTATTATCATTATTATTATTATTGTTATTATTATTGTTATTATTATTGTTATTATTATTATTATTATATATACCTATATCACAAATACAACACACACATATGTATATATATATATATACATATCATTCAAGTAGTACGGCATATTATGATATGTACGTATGTATATAATTTACATATACATTTCATGCAATATCTATGATGATGTGTTGGATGATTTAAATATTTCGATGCACGGAGCTGTCCCTTTCGCGAGGCGGACCTTCCCATGGTGCTCAGTTTCTACCGCCGGAGTTTGGCCGAGAAACTCGAGGAAAATGACAGGACCGCGGTAGCAGTGGTTGCTACATGTAAAGGATGTACCATAGGTATAGTACGATCTATCACGGAACAAAAACAACGAACAACAATGATATACAATGATTGATCAAGTGCAATAACATAATTAATTACATTCAATGATTATTGATATATAATTTATGATATTGTATTCATGTGGAGGTTTCCTGAAATAGGGGTACTCCTAAATCATCCATGTTAATAATATGTTCCACTATAAACCATCTATTTTGGGGCACCCCCATTTATGGAACCCCCCAAATGTGTACATATTCTACCTGGGGGTAAGGGGGGGGTAAGTAGCTTATCATATAAGAGCCTAAGAAGGGCTTATCAGATATCCCCAATGCCAGGGAAAACTGTCTTTATTCCCTGGTCCAACCATGAATGAAACAATAGATCCTCATCCAAGGTTTGTTCAGGGTTGGTGGAAAACTGATAAGGGCTTATTAAGGGCTTATCCAGAGCTTAAAGGATAAGCCTTGGATAAGCCTTGGATAAGCCTGTTTCCCAACCTAATTTGCCAACCCCCCCAAACAAATCCCCCAAAATCCCCCCAACCCCCAACGTCCCCAACCACCCTCCGATCCTCACCCAAACCTTCCCAGACCCTCCCCAGACCCTTCCCAGGCCCTTCCCCTCCGCAGACTCTCCCATACCTTGGTCCTAGGCTCCTTGGCTGAAGACTTAACCTTCTAATAAGCGCTTATTAAGATTTTATTAAGCTTCTAATAAGGGCCTTACACAGAAGCCCCTAATAAACCTTCATTGATAAGCTACTTACACCCCCCCAGGGTCCATTATAAATATTATGATTTCTGGTGGATATGTTTTTGTTTTGTTCGGTCCCTTAGCTTCTAAACCAGCTGCGGGGCTTGCCATGGCACATGTATACTATGTATACCTTGAGCTTCCAACACCAGCTTTTTTCCCGGCAACCTTGTTTTGAATCCCCCCAAAAAAAGTAGGTAAAAGATTCCGTAGGTGTACTGTATATACATATATATGCATATAATGGGAATATACTGGGTATATATTTGTATATAACTATATAACCAACTTGATGGGGATCTTAATGGGAGCCACATCCGTTGGGAGGATGTTTGGTGCCAAAGTTGAAACCTCCTTGATTCGATTAAGCTTGCTGTTGGCCGCAGCTTGGCGTGGCGGGGAGGAGGAAACCAGGTCTTACCCTCTGGTAAACTAACATAACTATGGAAAATCACCATTTTTAATGGGAAAACTCACTATATAGATGGCAATTTTCAATAGCAAACTGTTAGTTTACTAGAGTGTAAAGCCCAAAACATTCCAAAGACCCATCAATTACCGTATGATTTACCCAATCCTACCATTTTTGGGTCTTAAAACCATACCCCAAGCTGGTTTTTTTTTGGACGTTTTATCTTGGTGTGCTTTGTTCAATGAATCAGAAAACAAAATGGTTCGCTCGCCACAAGGTTAGGGTGATCTCCATCCCCATCCCCATTCATTCGAAATGGTGATGGTATAGAATATTTGGCCATTTGTTTCACTTTGAATATTTTGGTGTCTATGTTTGAACCATACGTTTTACTACCTTTGCAAGTTACATACGTTGTGATCCCACTCACTATAAATATATATAGTTGTGTATATATATACAGTATGTATATATATATATATACATATATTGATTGATATATATATATATATATACACAACATACACCCAGAGAATCTCACATTTTAGAGTCGAACGAAATCGTCTTTCAACCCCCAACCCATGGCAGGGTGGTAGTTGGAGTGAGGCTATATAAATATCACCAGTGTTGATCATGTTTCTAAAAAAGGTCCTTTGGGAATTCAACACAGCCATGGAAGATATGGAAGATGACCCTGAACATGGATGATTGACTGATTGACCTAGTTTTTGTTCGCCATTTTTCATGGCAAACTCTTTGATCCTGTGATTTCGGGTACACGGATTTCGGGATTTCGTGAGGAGATGAAGAGCCTTGCGAGGCAGATGCTGTCATCGGTCAAAGCTCTGGAAGGAAGCTCGACGTCTGATCGACATTATGTATCTATTTCGCAGCTTTTTTAAACCACAAAATGGCCGAAATGTACACTATAGCAAATCGCGCCAAACCTGGGTGAAGTAGAAGGTTTGAAGTTGATACTGTTGTGTAGTTAGTGTAGTTCCCTGATGTTCTCTCTGCATTGAATAGAAACCATGATAAACAGATGTTGCTACAGGTGGAGCCACTTTGGCTGAGCTGAGCTAGTCATTTGAGATGTTATTAGCTTAATATCCAATAATTTAAGGGAACGCTATTATGAACTACAATGTATGCCACATACCAACTTGGAAGAAACTTGCTGCCGCTATGATTCAACCGTATTTATCTTAATTTTGTTGTGACCCATATGATGCCATCATCACATATACTCACGTACTACAGCACCAACATTCACCTCAAACAGAGTGCCTTGCTGACTTCCCCAGAACTTCTGATTCCAGGACTTTTGCATGATCTGAAAGAATGATCTTAAAGAAACACCAGGATGAGATGTAATGTTGGTAAAACAATGCCATAAACGCACCATCCCCCAGTCATCACCATTTTCAATCATTTTTATAGGTGGTATGTTTACCATTCCCAGTCATTGGTGGTAAACATGGCATTGTTTTACCCTCGTTAATCTCCAAGATTTCGGGCTGAAATTGCCCCACCACCGAGGCTTGCTACATCAACAGCTCACCGCTGCGCTGGGCAAACAAATCCGAAGTCGCGATTTCAGCGCCTCGGTCCGTGTCGGTCCGGGCAGGAAGGGGGCCCTTAAATCCAACAACTTTAAGGAAGTTATTAATGGAATATTATAACCGGAATACTTTACTTATTAATGGAATAAACAGACGTGTTTTTTACGCATTAATGGAATATTATAAGTGTTATGACAAGTGTTATGAGTTTTTGTTACTCATTAATGGTGACTTTAATATTCCATCCAAGAGTTTTTTGTTACCCATTAAACATTGGGAATTTTATGGGGATGTAATTGAATGGAATTTTATAAGTCAGCAACCTGAGATGATAACTATGGATCCAGCCTCATTGAATTCATTGCTTCGGACATATGCCGGGGTATGATGACTGCAATTTGTCTTAGGAAGTATCCTGCATGACCTGAATGGGGATACAACTGACAGAGGCCCCTTCCTGGATCTCAAGAATCCTGCATCTTGTGGGTCTCTATAGTTCGGTTGTAATTCCGCATAGTGACCCAACCAATTCCAAACATCTATTTATTATTATTGATATTTATTGAATTGATATGATATTTGTTTGACATATATATATATATATTATATACTCGTACAATGTGGATATGCATGTGTGTAATCTAGTCTATATAATATCATCGAAATCTCATCTAAATCTAATCTAAGGTAAGATAAGGTAATGTAATATATACACATGTACATGTATAATATACAGAAAAATGCATAGCTGTTTCCATTTGCCAAGAAACAGCAGGGTGATCATTGCTCCTTTCGCGGCTCAGGCGAGTACATGGACTTCCACGGTCGCCTCATTTTGGGTTCCTTGGTCGGACCTGAAGAGATCAGATGATCATTCCAGCAACCCCTAGCAACCCATCCATTCCCTACGTAAAACGCACCAGTAAGAATTTGTGGATCCCAAAAGGGCCAACATATGAAATTTACATGAAACATATAGAGTCATGAAGGCCCTGCCAATTATACAAGTAGGTTTGCCAAAAATTAAACGTATATGCACAATATGTCATTCAAAAAAACAGAGAGAATTGAGACATGTTTTCATGAGCCCGCAGTTCCTTCAGGTTGAAGATCTATGCAATAGCCTGAAGCTAATGAGGACACTCACTCACACAAGCATGGTAAACATATCACATGTGTGTTCTCTAGCAAACCCATGCAAACCCTAGAAAAGATGTTAAAAAGTGTTTCCCTGATGGTGACATCGTTGATATTCACCTTGCATATTTCCAGGTTTCACCAGGTACTCTTCGACAACATTTTTTTGTATATATTCCCTTCAGCCCATAGATGAATAGGCCCTGAAAATATGGGCTGTGTAAAGATATCTTATTTTGATAGGTACCTAAAACTTAGGTTCCTGAATGTTCCTGACATAGCCTATATAGCCAACCTTCGGAACTTCTGTCGATTCAGTCGATTCAGGTGAAGGCTTTGCGCCTGAGCCCTTCGTTTACGCCGTGCGACGGCCTGATCACCATCCAGTGCCGCAGTGGCAATTGCCGGCAGTGGGGGAGGGAAAGGACACGGGAAAAAAACGGTGGAAAAAACGGTGGGAAAAAAGGTGGATAACTTGCGAACAACTCTGGAAAACTGGGGGAACACTATATAGAAAAGCATGAAACAACTGCGAAACAATTATGGAAAACTATTGAAAAACATGGAGAACACTCGGAAATGTGTGAGTTTAGTATAGTTTAGTTGAGGCTATATCCAACTAACTTGGGGTCAGATAGATTGAACTGAACCACATCAAACCATGTATAATAAACGTTCGTTTAAACCGTCATCAGGTACCTGTTCCATAGAACGGTACCTGTCTCTGAAAGCCACATCCAATTGAGGGGCTGGGAGATGCGAAGGGCAATGGCGCAAAAGTATCGACCCACATTTTTGGAGGAGTAAGTACTCAAGACGGGCTTGTCCAAACATGTTCAAAAAAAAGTTATTCCGTATAATTGTATAATACGGTATACTCCAAATAATTAAATAATCGGCTACTCATCATATTCGCCATGAAATGTTGTCATGAGGGGATGGCCCAGTTTTAGACATGCCAATAATGGCTACTATCCCTATCTACCCCTCATGATCGCTTGTGAAACATCCCCCTTCTTTCTAGTTATTTATGTTTAAAATTTAAGTACCCAAAGGACCAATTGCTATTCCCCATATCTAAATGCAATGATATACCCCATAAACTGAGACACCAAATGGATCGAAACCTGAAAAACGTATAAAATCATCCCATATTTGGAGCTACCTCTGCAGTGTAGCGTCTTGCACCAAAAGTGCGGGCAGCCCCATCATCAGGAAGGCACCATTAGCATCGAATCCGGCTTCGTCAGTATGCCCAGTGCTATCCGCACCTTCACACTGCACCGGAGGGAGGCTCCGACCATGAGAGCCATGGTATGATGATCCTGATGGCAACATGGATAACATATAGGTGGAGTATGTATCTGTAGTTATATTGTAATATATTGTAATGTTCATATAGAATATATATTCAATTATATTACTATATATATATATATTATGTGGATGTACATGTGATGTCATTGTAGTTTTATTGGATGGCCATTGTTCTTGGTGCCGTGAGTACCGTAACATTAATTGTAACCCAATACAGATACTGCCGAGAATATACCCTCTGGTTATTTAACATAGCCATGGAAAATGGCCTATTTATAGATGGTTTACCTCTTAATAGCATGGGGATTTTCCATGGCTATGTTAAGTAACCAGAGGGTAATACATATATATATATATACCTGGTACAACTTACATTTGACATGGATATTTTTATAAAGATGAGAATCTTGATGAATGTCAAAACCGCATGGTTAAGTAAGTTCCGGAATTGGATCAAATAGAATATCCACCAATCCCCTTTCCCATTTAAACACATATTCCCAACATATTCCCAACATATCCCCTTGTTATAGGAAAAAATGAAGGTCAATAGCCATGATTCATGGCTTTTCCATGTTTTTCCCATCATAGTGAAAGGCTGATTCCATCGATGTGACGCCAAGGAGTGCAGTTGAACTCTGCAGCCACGGTCACGTTGCAAGGGGAGCACTTTGTGCACGCAGCCATTTTTCACCGCTTTGCGAGGGAGCCGGAACAGGATGCTGGATGGGCCCCTGTCCCAGGCGTAAATCGCTACAATGTGGGCCCCAGCTCGTTATGGTGGGTTATGGTGGGTTTATAAACCCCAGGAACTATAGTTATAAGTGTCATAAATCACAGTTATAAGCCAACTGGACTATCGTTTGGGGGCCCCACATAGTTAAGTAGCGATCTAGTTTCTTATGGATCCCGATACTTTCTTTTCAACGGGACAAAAGACATCTGCCGTATACTTCCGAAGCGAAGGTACCGCTTGATCTACAGGGTTTAGTGAAATATCCCGTTTTTTACATATCCCCATGAAAATATACTATTCATTCATGATATTCTGAAGTATCATTAAAACAACAAATCCCATTGATTTTCCAGTCATATCCTGTTGATTATCTCCATCGGAAGTCCTACTTTTTTGGCTGCTTCGCTCCTCATCCTTTGGCAGTCCCCGGTCGACCGGTCAGGAGTTACGCCTGGTCGCCCGTGCGCGACAACTTAGCAGCTTCGTGCTGATGGTTGGCAAGATCGCGGCTGCAGCCGCTCGGCAGAAACGACCGAACCCCCAGATAGCCAGATAGAAGAGTTGGAAAGCTGGAAATTCAGGGGAAAAATCATCTACACCATCCTGGAAACATTGTTCTATCTTTTTGGGGGCTGCTGTAAATGACGATGACTTGGGATAAACCATGATAAACCCTTAATAGAATTCACCTACTACCAGGGGATGATATTTACCATTCATTTATGGTAGTATGATGTAGTATGGGCCAGTATGGGTATATATTGGTGATGGTTTATTATTGGACTTGCCACATCAACCCTGTATGGTCCTATGATAGCCATTTTTATACTCTCACAGTTCATGCTCTGGCACGACATGTTCCTCGGAATGTTTGTGCATTCCGTTGTAGCAAACCCCAATAAGATAGCAAACCGTCAAAATCCACCTGAGATAAGGGTAATTGCTTTCCGTTTTCGGGAGTTATATACACTATATAAATCATTTGACGTGGCATAGTATACCATTTGAGAAGAATTGCTCTGCAAGTTTCAGGACTGCTGCAAGCAGAATTTGCCTGGTTTATATAGCCAGGTGTTGGCTCGAGCCTCACTTTAGCAGTGAGCATAGGAAGTATTGACAAGGGGGTGCATCAAAACCTCTACGTGTCCATGATGTTGAGGGTGATAAACATCCATTTCCAAAGCTAGTTTGATGTCAACCGAAGCGACCAAAAACCTAGGGTTTTGACCCCTATGTTTGGTCAGTTGTTTATTTGTCTGGCTAATGATCCATGACAGCTTTCAACAACATAGCCAAATCAGACTTAAAGAAGTGTGACCCAACTGGCAAGAATGCGCCTGAACCTTAGACCCCTACATAATGTGTAGGACCTGCAGTTGAGACATTCTCAGTAACAGAATTAAACATGAAACAATCCATTTCGCTGGTGGAAATGATTGCGATGTTCATAAAATTCAAAATATGTTGTGATAATTCAACATTCTTGTGATCAAGACCATCCTGCATATGATGCCAACGAGACATGGGGCTTGTCACCGTTCCAATCGCCGCTATGAGCATGTGGACCCATTTGCTGCTGCTTTGGCAGCCTAGTGCAGCCAGTGAAGGTGCGGACATCGCTGGGCACATCCTTGATGATCCGTGAGGACTATTATGATTATGACGGTGACTATTATTCTAGCTCCAAGTTACCCAAATTCAGAAAATGTACATATACTATGAATCCATCGTACTCCAGACCTGTCTCTTTGGACCCACTGTTTTCCCAACCTGTTTCCCTGTGTGTGACATGTTTCACACCTGTGAAATGACTGGTTGCGATGGGAAGACCTTTCAGCTCAATTTGGAAATTGTTTGGCACCATGTCGATGCCTTGTGTTGTTCCTGAAATGCTATGGAGCCTGGATGAGCTAAAGCGTGTCCTGATAAGTGAGTTTCCAATTTTGGAGACTGAAGAAGGAGAGGGTTTCAAAATATTGTTTGACTTGTTTGTTGAGTGGGCTGAAATCCTGTTAAATTACAACAACCAGCATCCGCTCGCTCTGTTGAATTTGGGGAATTGTGGCCCAGAATCCTTCTCTCAGTGGGGATTTCCGGCCGCGCATACTCATGTCGCATCGCACTCGAGGGGTGTCATCGCACCACAGAGGACCCCATCGCACTCCACACACCTACTCACAGATCATCGTACTCCACAAAAGGGATCGTACACCAGAAAAACTTGCGCAGACAGCCAAAAACTTTTTTTTTCGAAAAATTGACCTGAAGAGTTGTTTTTATTTTTTTTCCTCTTCGGAGGTAAAATGCTCTGGAATCTGATAATATGGAATATGGGGGAAATTGTTGTTTTTCCAGCGTTTTGAGCAGTCGCGCATACAATCGCATTCCATGAAATTTTGATACTTTTGACCTGTGGAGGCTATGGAAATTCTCGATTGTTGTCTTAGTCGTGCGCGATAGAGTGTGATGCCTTGTGGGTATGTGGAATGGAATTTGCAGCCTCGATTTGGTCAAAAATGATATTGACATATGCCTGAGAAGCCCACATGCAGGAACGGCAACGCATACGGGGGGGGCATCGTACTCCAGGGGTGGCATCCTACTCAATGTAACTGTATTAAGTGGAAATATGGTACCATTTGGGTTCGAGGAAGAACAGCGTAATCCAGACTTGGCCCCGTTTACAGATGCGGAAGCTGAGCCGCCAGCCAAACGCGTCAAAAAATAAGCTGAACAGCTTATCCAATGGTCTTAAAAGATCCTAGAGAGAAGTTGATGATTGATGAGAGAAACAAGACTTTATGATTATGTTTATTCAAGAAATCATTGCTTGAGAAGGTTCTCAGCGGGGTTAAACATGTGCGATTGGACATGACAGCACGTGACAAGGGAGCGCCTGACAAGGGTCACACAACCTTATTCTCATCATCAAAGGTCGTTCATTATTTTCCAAATTTCCGGAGCTATTTTGGCATGGAATATGAACAGCCTTGGAATATGGGTAAGGTTTTGCTAGAATTATGATCAGAACATCATCTTTCAATCAGATGGTGGCTGTTTCAGGTTCTATTGCCAAAAAGTATGCCCAAAACCCAAACATGACTAACGCCTGCAAGAAAACCTGGGATAGGAACCTTCTGTCCAGACAGCCGTGGAATTGCTGCAGGCGGCTACGATCATGGCAGGCTGAATCTGCCTTTCGTTGGACACACCACCTTTGGGAAGCCTCCTGACAGAATGGAGGTAAATCAGCCAAGACATGTTCGAACATTTTGGTGCCAGACCATGAAAAAGTTGTGATTTCTTCTGTGTCAGGTGAGTAGCGGTTTATGAGGCCCAGCTTTGGTTCATCAAACTCTATGTGGATACAGGCCCAGGGTGCCACTGTATGAACCTCTCTGAGTATCGTCAACCAGATCCCCTGGACCAAACATGAATCTTGTTCAATTTGTGGAATCTATGGTAAGTATAATATACACATGTGCATATATACTAGAGTTACTAGATACCTGCTCACCCCTACAAAATAGGTGTTCGGCTTATGCAAAGATTCAAAGACTTACACAATAGACCCTATAAATTCTGGGTTTAAAGTGTCCAAGCTATTTAACCTCTTTGAATTCGTTGTGACACTTTCATGTCGTTACTGCTGGTTGGTATCCATATCCCAATGATTGCTAGTTGATAGCCCGATTCTGCTGGTTCCCTTCATAATTTTCCAGGTTTCCAACTGTTCTATCTCTATGGGGATTGCTGCAGTGGGAAAAGGTCTAAGCAGTAGCAGGGATATTCAGCATCAAACATGGGAAAGGTATCTTATGGTGTTTTTTTATGGTGAAAAAGTAACCAGTGATACGGGTGCTGTTAATCAAACGTGGCAGTGGACAATCCCCTATTCATGAAGGTTTTAATGGGACATTCATCTATGAATGGGAAATTGTCCATTGCCATGTTTGGTTACCGGATGGTATACATGATAATCAGTTGGAATACTGTGTGGTAAAACCAATATATATATAATATATATATATATAAACACACATCACCTACCATTTTGGCCCATGATACATATATACACATATTATATACACATATTATATATATATATATACCACCCATGTATGGTACTATTGGGGATCTATTGGGATGTTGCCGTTTTTTGCCTGTGACCCACCATTTTCCCAGGTACCCTCCTTTCACCGACTGGACGCAGCTGGCGTCCGCCTCGGCGGACTTCGCTGTGCTGGGAGTGCCCAACGACATGGGGACGCAGTACCGCTCGGGGGCGCGCATGGGGCCACGGGGCATCCGCGAAGCGTCCACCTTGTATCAGTTTGGCCACAAGGACCGATGGCCGGAGCTGCGGATGAAATGAACATCAGGATAAAGTGAGAAGTTCAGACCTGGTTTTGTGGGAACTGGATGAAGCAGGAAATTGTTTTTTGTGATGTGTTCCATTTATTGGGTGTTTACGGTTTACTATTTAAATCTATTTTGCGGATATAGCGGATATTTGATGATGTTTGCAGTTAAGGCTTGGATATTTGAGGGAACAGATCTCGAGAGTTGGAACTCTACCAGAGTGGGAGGCCATTTGACGAATGTGCAACACCCCTTTTGGCTGATGGTGATTGAGGGCTGTACCAACTAGTTTTATGGGGATACACTGTTTCTTTATCAACCGATGATTTGATTTAGTATGGTTCATTTGAATCGGATGTGTTTGTTTTGAATTGAACGCTCCAAGACATGCAAAATTTGATGCAGGACCCTTTATGTGTGTGTGATTATACAATATTATACACATACATATTTTATGATTCATCCCGGTCTATGTTTCAGAATCATGACAGTGGAACCCTGTGCCTGGTATTCCACCAGGAGGTCTATGATTCAGACACAGGAGAGACGTACAGCTGCTTGTACCACTCCTATAGCGGTTTTGTTGGGGCGTGTTGGGTCAAAGATTGAGATTTTACCGGGTTGCTCCAACTCATGATAGGTAAATGATAGCCCCAGGGGCGGTGAATGGATGATTTCTCCGAGCTCTATATATATTTACCACTGCCTCCGCCAGGTTTCTGGTTTTTGCTGATTAACTTTGACCGGACTCCAAGAATTTGTGTTTCGTGCCAGACATGATTTGGTGGGGCTTGAATAACTTCTAGGAGGGAAATAAAATCCCCGCTTCGATGGACGCATGCCATCGCAGAGCTGCCTTAGTCCCGTGAAGTAATGGAAGCTTCATTGCTGCTGAGGTCACAGCTTTAGGTGACTGATCAACCTTCAGAAAGCATAGCAGGAAGCCACATGAGACTTGTAGAGGTGGGTAGAGTGAGGGTCAAGCATGGAAGGATTGTCATTTTTCAGTTCCCAACAACATGCTTCAATGGATTGGTTTAAAGGCAAATCTTAAACGGAAACCATGGTTTTCTGTATGAAATATATATAGGGGTGTCGAACAATGAAGGGCAACCGACCACACTCTTTGATGGCATCAGCTCGGCGGTTATCAGCTTGTTGGCCCCCTCTGTTCTCAAGGCTATGGTTCGGTCGTGGACGTTGGAGATGTGGAGTCTCGGCGGTGTTTCAGATGACAAAAATGACCGGCCTTTTCTGGCTCCATTAGCAAAACATATCAAACATTATCAAACATATTCAAACATTATCAAACACATTTAAAGAATAAAACCATATAAAACCCACATGTTCAAATCGTATTAAATCGTGTCATCGTGCTGTTGTTTCATTCATGTTTCGTTTTTTTTCCTGGCTGATGATCGGCTGATGGTTTCGTTTTTTTGACTGTGCCATGAAAAACCTTCGTTCACCGAAACGGATGAGAAACTGATGATCATCCCCAGAGACCAATGTTCGTTGAAACAAGCGAAACAACATGTACAACCAATCATATCCATTATCCAATCATCCAATCTAGTGGTTCATCATGTTGCTCATTTCACGTACGTTTTGCACATGCTTCACATTCGCGTTTTGTTTTTTGTCAATATAACACAAAACTCCAGGTTTGTGGCCTGTTCGATGGAAATCCCATCGAAAATTCTGTCGAACTTTCCTCCTTTCCTCCAGTTGCACCCAGGACATCGTTCACACGGATCAAGTGCTGTCGCTGAATCGCACCCAAGAAGCTGTTGAGGCCACTTCCTCAGTCGTCACCATGGGTTTCAGAAAGCTGATCCAATGACGTGGATGAAAACTGGTACCCATTTAATTAGGAAACTTCCAGGTTCCACTTTTGTGGTGACTAGTTGACTAGTTCATGTTCCGAAAAAAAAAGAAATAAAGAAATCTCAATGCTGAAGTTGGTTGTTTCATGTTGCTTCAATAGCACGGTTGATATATGTATGCCATGAGCAGAAAGATCGGACCCAAGTTGATGCGTTGATAAGATGAATATACGCACCCTGAGAACTCCGCATATGACGATACCCTACGTACTCGAACCATATTTTGACCATAACACATCGCTTCTTCAAAAATGGGTGATCCAGCAAAATTATCCAAAATTGCAATTCTGTACATTAGGAGGAACATGAACATGATGATCAATACCCAGGCAATTCACACATCTCGAAGTTTCAGTTCTAACCTGCTTTGTGACATCAATGACTTGCCAAATTATGGTGTGGAATGAGCCCCACAAGGTGTGTATATCATCCCCACACGGTGCAGGGCGGCTGCAGCCCTGCCAAGAACAGTGAAAAATCCGCGTCATTTGTAGCGACCTGACACGACCTCACCATAGATGATGGTAACAAGGAGCAACAATGGCCCAATAAATCTGCTTCTGCTTTTTGAAGTGCTCAAATTATGAAAACACATCTGAAAATGAGTGACCTGATGTTCCATTCCCAGCTTCAAACAAGATGAGTAGATGTTCCGCGTTACAAGGTGTATGACGTGTGATTCCCGCTCAGATGAGCTGAATCTCCCCAAATTCAACAGTTGAGCCATTGAAGACAACCCTGTTGATGACTTATTTCAAAGAATTTTGATGGGTTTCGCAGGCGGGATTAATACAAGAAATCACCAGATATCATAGGAATACCTATTAACATCAACCAGTATTTCATCACTTCCATCAGGAGAGGACTCTTCAGATTTGTCATTAAATTATATATTAATACTCCCTTCATATCCCATTATAATCCATTTTGTTCGATTATACTATATTCCCTTGGATCCCCGTTATGAATTTACCATTGCCATCCAGTTATTCCCAATTCTCATATCCATCAACACATCCACTTAAGGCATCTTGAAGTCATTTCTCGAAATGGAAATTATAGAAATTATACACTTCTTATTCCATTATGAATCCAGTAATGTCACCATGATGTTTCCATGGCTTTCCATGGCCCCATGGCGTTTCCAGAAAGGCCATCCTGCGTGCGCAGCTGACGCCCATGATTTTGGGCGGCGACCACGCCATCACGGCACCGGTCTGTGCTGCCCTGGCGGTGCTGCAGAAACCGCTGGCAGCTTGGTGGAATCTGGGGCCTGTGCCCGGGGCTTGGTGGTTCTTGGTGGTTTTGGGTTCCCCAAAAATGGTGATTTATGGTGAAAATGATGGGAAGCTGATTGGAAAATTTAGTTTTGTTTGAAGGGTGAACACAGCGTTCCCATAATTTTCAGACACATCCATCTGAATGATTTGCCCGGGAATATTGTATATAGAAATATCATGAAATATCTAAAACGTCTATGAAAGGTATGCAGCAATCATTTTTGTGTCCAGTCAGCTTCCATGACGATGCCACCCGTCAAACGAAAGTGATAAATGATATGTTGAAGAATGTGAATCCACCATTTTTGCACTATGTTTATCACCACCCTCTTGTTCTCTGTTGATTCCCATTTGGTCATCTTTTTGTTCCATACTGTTATGGGGCAAAACCTATTCTTACCATAGGGTAATAACATGTAATAACCATCCAGCACTTCCAGTAACCAGCTATGACTTAGGCTAGGCTACAAGGTTTTTTTGTTCGCCATCCCTATATTTCCCCTCAGGTCGTGGTGCAGATTGATGCCCATTTGGACTTCGTGGACCAACGTCATGGCGTGCGCTTTGGCCATGGCAACTCTATGCGACGATGTCTGGAGATGTGCCGTGGAGATCTCGTTGGGGATCTCGTTGGGGATCTAATGGGATTCCCTACAATGTGGGTCCCCCAAAAGATAGGGAATCCCAGGCTAAGAAGGCTAAGTATGTCCAAATAATTCCAATTTCACGATGGTTTTATGACACTTATTATGGAGGTTGTAAACCAACTCAGCTATCGAACGGGGGGCCCACACTGTAGCTAGGGTTTAATAGGATGTTAATGGGATAGAATTGGGATATCTCATGATATTGTTTATTGGGATTTAGTGGAACTACCCAGCTTATATAGGATAGGGTTATTTTTGTTTGGGATATAAATGGATAGAATTGATATGGTTAAACATGGTTGTGAATCGGGTATATCATAGGGGAATATAAGTAGATAACATAGGTATAATAGGAATTTTAAACAACAACAAAAAACAGAACCATCACGGCATCGTTCTGGATATGGTGACTCAACGTGACTGAACCATGAAAAACGGTTGTATAATGGGACGGGGGTGATATTATGGGAAGGTATACCAGGTGGTGTCCCAGAGCTCGCAAAGTTGGCAGAATTAACGGTTAACAATTGAACAATTGGATTTTTGATTTTATATATATATATATATATATTGTTACAAGCAATATAAACACGATTAGTTGTAGATGTCACTTTTGTGTCAGATCTACTATTATTAGTGTATATATATATAATTATATATATATATACATATGTATATATTTACCCTGAGACCTGAGATTCCAAAACCTATTAAATTAATAGTCGTTTGATGAACACCTATTTCCACAATAGTCGCAAGGCTCATGCTCTCAATGTCTTGATGTGCCCAGAATGTATGCATGTATATGTATATATATATATATGTATATATATATACACTAAAACTATGACCTATGACTCCTACAGTGTTATAAGCCAAGAAACACAAGTGGAGGGTCACCACCGGTGAGTTGATGACTGGAGCCACAGCGGCCACAAAGGATGGTCATCTTGGTAACGGATTTCTTTTTCCAGCCGGAGATAGATATCTATTTTCCAGAAAGAAATTTGTATTGGTCATCTGATATCCTGGTAATTGATCTATTTTCCAGATATCTATTTTCCAGATTCAAGATGTTTCAAGTCACCACTTGTTCATGAACAGTATATGTCCTGCGGAATAGTATCGCATAATTTTGGTGGCAGATATCTATGGCTAGGCATGGCCCGGCGACCGGCTAGGAAGCCGGCTGCCGGCTGGGGCGAACGATGGGTCCCACCTTCTTGGGCTACAATATTTTGCCTCCCAAGCAGCCAACAAAGAAACACACTACCAGAATCAAAATCCGATGCCAAGAGGAAACACATCAAAAACAACATCCGTACTTTGAATATACCAGCGGCTGCTATAAAAATTTAGCATTTCAACCGGAAATCAACAAATGATCATCCAATTAAGAATTTTATCCGAAAAAAACGAAAGCATCAACTCCAAAGTCATATCCCACTGATCACCCACATATATTCCTTCAACAAAAGAACAACAAATTCATATTCATCATCATCACCATCATCATCATCGTTATCATCATCATCATCATCACCATCATCATCACCATCATCATCATCGTTATCATCATCATCATCATCACCATCATCATCACCATCATCATCATCATCCTCATCCTCATCATAATCGTCATCATCATCGTCATCATCATCATCACCATCATCATCACCATCATCATCATCATCACAATCACCATCACCACCACCATCATCATCACCACCATCATCATCACCATCATCATCATCATCATCACCATCATCATCATTATCATCATGATCATCACCATCATCATCATCACCATCATCATCACCACCATCATCATCACCACCATCGTCATCATAAACATCATCATCACCATCATGATCATCACCTTCATCATCATCATCACCATCATCATCATCATCATTATCCCCATCATCATCACCATCATCATCATCATAAATCACAATCACCATCACCATCATCATCATCATTATCATAATGTCATCACCATCATCATGATCATCACCACCATCATCACCATCACCATCATCATCACCATCATCATCATCATCATAACCACCATCATCATCATCACCATCATCATCACCACCATCATCATCATCATCACAATCACCATCACCATCATCATCACCATCATCATCACCATCATCATCATCATCATCACCGTCATCATCACCATCACCATCATCATCACCATCACCATCATCACCATCATCATCGTCATCATCATCATCACCATCATCATCATCATAACCACCATCATCATCATCACCATCATCATCACCACCATCATCATCATCACAATCACTATCACCACCACCACCATCATCATCACCACCATCATCATCATCACCATCATCATCACCATCATCATCACCATCATCATCATCATCACCATCATCGTCACCGTCACCATCATCACCACCATCACCATCACCATCATCATCATCATCATCACCATCATCAACCAACCACCATCATCATCATCATAACCACCATCATCATCATCAACATCATTATCATCACCACCATCATCATCATCATCATCACCATCACCACCACCATCATCGTTATCATAACCACCATCATCATCATCATCACCATCATCATCACCACCATCATCATCATCACAATCACTATCACCACCACCACCATCATCATCACCACCATCATCATCATCACCATCATCATCATCATTATCATCATCATTACCATCATCCTCACCGTCACCATCATTGTCACCGTCACCATCATTATCATCATTATCATCATCATCATTATCATCATCACCCGCATATATTTCTTCATCACCCACATATCTTGCTGAGGCCCCGCATCTCCTCCATGTTTCAGCTGGGTATCCGTGGCGTCAGCTCCACCGCCAAAAGCGGCTTCGAGGACGCGAAGACCATGGGCTCCACGGTGCTGAGCGTGCGGAAGGCCGCTACGTTGGGGTGGCATAGCCTCTGGTTGTTGAACGATTTCCTATGCGATTTAACAGTTTGCTATGGTATAGCCCATAGGATCCATGGTGCTGCTATATGTGGTAACATGGATCCCATCAATATACACCCAATGTTAGCATATATACCATACATGGATCCTATGGGTAGATGGCTCATTTATACATGATTTATGATGATTTACCTATAAAACATGGTGATTTTCCAGTTCGCGTAAACGTTGAGGGGAAATCTGGAGAATCCGTCCCCAAGTTTGAGGTTTATCAATTGGGCCCAGTTCTGACTGGAATGATGTATATGTTTCACCCCCAGTCATGGTTGGCGAATGGGATGCTTTATTACTGGATTTATACATTTATTTTTCGGGGCAAATCATGTTATTAATGCAATAGTAAACCGTCTCCAACGTTACAATGGGTGGTATTATATAACCATCAAAAAATGGTGGTTGATGAATGCTTTGCTAACATGAATGGCCTATACAATATTGGTCAATGCCAACAAAATAACAAAGGGGCTTTGTTCATAGGAATTCTAGGGGCATGAGCAAGGTTTAGCTGAAAAAAGGAAGATTTCACCAAGAAAATTGTTGGCAACATGGTAGAACATAGTGATGCAATGTGATCTAATGGTGGATTACCATGATATATCCAGGTAAATGGTCTGATTATCGCAATTTCTTTTCGCTAGTGATATCGCAACAGACCCCTACTGTATCATCATAAGATATAGTAACCATATAAAACTATTGATAGATCACAGATATATAAATCACCCAGATCCTTTTTCTGATCACCATATATATGTTTGTTGGTGAAATCCCCATGTTCCCATCAACTCCAGGTGCGCGAGCTCGGAGTTGCCTCAGTGGTGGAGTCACGTGGAGGGAAGTGAGCAATTTGAAGGTGAGAGTTGGCTAAGTTGGTGAGTTGAGAACTCCAATAACTAGGATTTATATTTATGGTAATTATAAGGTTATAAATTATATAGATCATTATAGATCCATATAATTAATGAGAATCATTAAACAACAAACATCACTGGGGGGCACCTTGTAGGGTCAAACTCTTGTATATTTTATCGTGTCAGGGAGCTCAGTGGAACGTTTTAAAAGTAACTAATCTGCTGAGTGGTCAAAACCTGAAAATATATGAACATATCATACTGAGCAATAAGCTGGCATTGTAATTACTTGGTATTCTCACCCTCAGTACGACTGGTTCCATTGAGTCAACACTGCCGAAGGGTTGCGACGGGTTTAGGGTTGCGACAGGAGGGCAGCATGGGACGCTTATAACGGATAAACATGGGGGATACCACCATTTTTCATTGGAAACTGATGATAAACCACGGATTTGGGGTATCCAATTTTAAGATAAACCCACATGTGGTACTTGTACCATGTGTTACTGTGTTGGTGTTGGAGTCAGCCCGTGCATCTAGAATGTTGGGGTCTCAATAGCTGTTTGTGTCCCGTAAATTATGTTCATATATTTAGTGAGTTTCAGCACGTTTTAGCCTCATTGCAGCCACTAAGAACTGCGATGGTCGTGAAAGTAGCTGCGGGTGGATGCATCAAGAAAGCCACATTTGTTTTGCAGTCATACTATTTGCGGGAAGCATGCATTCCATGTCTTGAAATCAGGCTTGGGATTGATGAACAGTTATCCATAAACATGTGTTTGAGTGACCATTTAGGTGTCCATTCTTGTGGCCATGTATATATATATATATATTATTATATATAGATATGTATACCTGAAGTCTCCAATCTACCTATTTATTGGCTGTGGGGCAAATAATATCAAATTACATCATATGTCAAGAAATGACATCAAATAGCATCAATTCAGACCTCCCGTCCAACAAAAACCGCCTCAGGCGAGTCCCTTCTGGATCTTTGGTGTACATCAGCATCGACATCGACGGTCTGGATCCTTCCATCGCCCCCGGGACTGGAACTCCCAGTCACGGGGGTTTTCTCTACTATGAGGTTAAGGACATGGGGAGATGAGGCAACGGGACAAGAAGAAATCACAACTTTAAAGAAACCAATTGACACAAAAAATCTCTGGATAAGAACAAGGGAACGACACCTTGAGGCGGGCGTGGCTTTGAAAAATCTTTGTGGTCTTGGAATGTTTGGAGTTCAGCAACATAGCATATCTGGTTGGTGGTTTCAAACATTTTTTTTAATATGTTTCATAGTATATGGGATAATCCTTCCCGTTGACTAATATTTTTAGATCTGGCCCAAGAACCTCCCAGCCGGTTGATCGGGGCTTGCAAATCCTTGGGCAGTGCTTCAACACGTGTGTTTCTCTAGCCATGGTTTCTGATGCCTTTTTCGAGCTGGAACAACCATTTGATCGTTTATCAGAGGGAATGAGGACAAGTGTTCTTGCAGAAGTAGTCATCCGATGTCCTGGCCATCATGTTTGTCGAACGGCAATCCTCAAACAGACGTTCATCACAGATGCTTTTCTGGAAGAAAGTAAGAGTACCTTCACGATCCTAGATGGGTTAGTGCTTCATGGAAGTCAACATCTTTGGATTACTGTCACGGAGGGAAGTCATATTTTCCAACATGATTGTGTCCATGTGAAATCATTCCATAGAGTGATCGAAGCTTGTTCTGGGATTGGTGCTGTCTCCACCTGTCTCCCCTTTTGTGGTGCCAGCCCAGCGTGTTTCATCGATGCCAATGAGAAGTTTGCAGAATGGCTCCAACATAAAGACATTGCACCTGTCATCCATGGAGACCTTAGCCATCCTGACACAATCAAAGCAGTTGCTGATGTGATCCAAGGCCAACCCACACCCATTAATGGTGGAATAGCTTGTCAGCCATTCAGTTCCCTTGGAGATCGTCGTGAACAGCATGACCCACGCAGTGATTCCTTGCCAGGCCTTTTGAAGATGGGGTTTTACTTACGTAGCCCAGTTTTGATCCTTGAATGCACTAAGGAAGCTGCCGAGTCGTACTGGGTGCAGAATGTTTTGAAATCTTTTGCTCAGCAAACTGGGTACCATTTGCATCAGAACTTGCTGTCATTGCACCACACATGGCCATCTCACCGAACAAGATGGTGGGCTGTCCTGTCCATGCCGATGCTAGGGATTTCCAACATCCCTGCCATGCCTCAGATGGATTTCATTCCCTCTGTTCGACATTTGATACAGATCCAAGCCTATCTCACGCCAGATGAGAGCAGTCAATTGAACCTTAGCCTGCATGAACTTCGACACTTTCATGACCAGCCCAAAGGGATTTGTGCATGCATCATTGACACTGCCAAGGCCATGCCGACAGCTACTCATTCATGGGGTAGTCAGTTGGGTCCATGTCACTGCGGTTGTAGGTCCCAGGGTTTTTCATTGGAACGACTTGCCAAAAAAGGGTTGTATGGTGTACTCATTCCCCTCGGAAACATGGTGAAAACTGGTGATGATTGGTTCCATGGAATGAGACATCCTCATCCAAAGGAGGTCGCTTTGTTGAATGCACTGGACCCGAGGTACCTGGAGACAGACCAATTGTTCTCACTCAAGTTTTTGCTTGCAGGAACAGGGCAACTAGCATCTCCACTGCAAGGGGCCTGGGTTTATTCAAATCTCCTTTTTCAAATGATGAAGAATGGATTTCCGGTTGATGCTCAACCCCCCAGACATGTGATGGCGCAGATGTGTGAAGAACTTCTACATGCCAGAGATGAAACATGGCCTCACACAATTCCCACGAAATCCACAGTTCTTTTTGAAAGAGAAATTTGGAAGTTGGATCACCCGCTGACCACCTTACACCCTGATGATGTTGAAAAATTTGCAATTGAGTCGCTTGAAAGCCTGCATGCCTCCCGCAATGCAACGATGCCGCAAGGTCATCATCATGATGAGCCCATGAAACCAGGTGTGATTGGTGGGAAAGACCATGTTCCGACCCCAAGCAATGACAGTCATGGCCATACATTTCAGGATGACAAATCACCAACCCAAACCGAAGCTCTCGCCATGCAGTCTGGTTCAACAGCCGTTGACAGACATGTGAAGAGAGGTGACCTTAGCTTATCTCACAACATTGAACCAACCAATCATGATCCCCATCATCATGAAGATTCAGATGAGACACCATGTCCTTTTCATGATTTGCACCATTTGCCCAGCTGCGTGGCCCAGGAGAAGATGAGCATAGAGCCTCAAACAGAAGCCGCCCAACCTTGTTCAGGCAGTGTTGAACCGAGCGTCAAGCATTGTGCTCGACCAAGCAGCCTTGCATCCGAGTCCGTGGTATTGCCAGGTCAGTCCATGTCTCTTGTAGGTCCTGCCGTGGATGTCGAGTCCATGTCCTTGTCTGGTCGTGCCGATTGTGTTGCCCCAGAGGTCAGCGCCAAGCTAGGCCCCTTTGCCTTGCAAGCGTCCGGTCCCAACCAACTTGCCTCTGTCGAGACTGAGTTTGGAGCATCCGTGTACAGACCCAAAGACCATTTTGGATTTCTGCATCCTAATGTTGAACTGAGTGTCACGCATTGTGCTCGTCCAAGCAGCCTTGCATCCGAGTCCGTGGTTTCGCCAGGTCAGTCCATGTCTCCTGTAGGTCCTGCCGTGGATGTCGAGTCCCTGTCCTTGTCAGGTCGTGCCGTTAGTGTTGCCCCAGGGGTCAGCGCCAAGCCAGGCCCCATTGCCTTGCAAGATTCCGGTCCCAACCAACCTGCCCTTGTTGCGCCTGAGTTTGGAGAATCCGTGTACAGACCCAAAGACCATTTTGGATTTCTGCAGCCTGATGTACAGACAGCTTTCCTGCATACTCCTCCGATAGGCCAACATAGCAAAGCAGAATTTTTCAACAGCCTCTCAGAGGTTGACCCAGGCCAAGCCAGACGTGTCCATGAAGCTCTGTTCAAAGCCAATCAAACCTTGCCTGACTTCAAACACTCGATCATCAAACCTGATGAACAGATGTATGTGCATCAGCGAAAATCCTCCGGAATGCAGGCCACTCCGGATGACAAGAATGCCTGCCCAGATCTCCCAAAACCCGGAATCCAGGCAACTCCGGGAGAACATAATGCCTGGGAGAATCACCAACATGAAAGCACCTCAGTTCCCATTGCGGCCAAGCTGCCCATGCTACCACTTGAACGCCACAGTGAAATTGGCTCCTCAGCTTTGCCTTCTGATGTGAATTGCCTAGTTCAACGAGAAGCGTCAGAGCTTCCCACGCAGACCATGAACAATCTTGCGGAAGATGGAAAAGCCCAGGATCCATGGATTTCCCGTGATCCCTGGTCACAAGCTATTGCATCCGCCAATCACAAGACCAGCAGATCATCAAATTTGCCATCAGACCCTTCACAACAGCAGATGCATCCGTATCAGCAACATGGAGGTGTGAATCAATTTGCTAGTCGCAAACGGGGATCTCATGCAGGTGACACCAACATACTCAAACGAAGTAGGGCTACTGTCACATCAGAAAGTAACCAAGATCATCACCAAATCAATGATGTGCCACATCCTTTATCATCAGCAAGCACATGTGACTCAGGCAATCAACAGCTTCTGTCTGTGTGGGTAGGTCACGGTGCAGGATCCCTGTACAAAATGTTTGTCAAGCAGGGCACAACTGTTGGTCAAGTGGCCATCGCAGAGGGAAACCTTCTTGAGCTTCCTGAACCTGTCAGAACCTTGGATGCAATGGGCCTTCATTTGCCAGTCTACCGAGAAGTGTTTGACAACCAAATCATCCTTTTCGAAGATGGTACAAAACCTCATTTGATCCAATACCCTTTCATGGACAACATGTCCCGCCATGATGCGCTCTGGAGTCAGCAAGGTTGGGTTGCTTGTGATGAAATGAAGTTTTATCTGCAAATGATTGGGCAGCCTAATTTAACCAACACGACTCCACCAGTGATTGCGCCGCAAGATGAGGACGGACCAAGACTGATTGAAGAATGGCTCACCATTGGCATGGACAAAATTGGAGCAGGACATACCAGTTTTTCGTTGCACACTGCCTGCCTTTTCAACCAGCATTGGTTTCCGATCTCTGCACTGTTTAACAACGACGAGATTAAGGTGACCACCACGCTGACTGATTTGCCCACTTTGAAGAACTGGATTCAGGTCTCCCTCGGATTTGATGTCCTATTCCAGTATCGTGTGCCAATTGAAAGTTTCCCTGCCGACTGCGGATTTCAAACGATTGCAGCCATCATGGCACATGACCTAGCTGACAGCAGGGCTTATCCCATGAGCTCTGAAGACGCGATCAAGTGGAGACAACAGTTTGCCAATCACCTGGCCAACCAAGGTACAGCAGACCGTTTTGACTACCAAGTGCAGTATGGTGGAGTTGCAGAGCCCCTTGTGACTGAACTATCTGTGCTACTTCAAGCACACGGTGTCAAAGCTGACAGAGTAGGTGAACTGGCAACTCACCTCATCCAAACTTTTGGCAAACAATCCATCCAGCAGACATTGGGTTCTGCTCGACCATGGGCTGACATGAAAGCCAAAGCCTCAGCACATCGTCCTCCCATTAAGCTTGTGCTTACAGAGGAATTGCAAAGCCAGATTCATGACAGACTTCAAACTGGAAAGCAGATCGGTAACAAGAAGAACAAGCAAAACAAGCGTGCCAGCCAAACCACCTGGTCCGCACCACGAGCCTCAGAAGTGCAGATCCCCAATGGAATCTTTCAGCAGAGTGACGGAAGCCCTTTGAATCAGATCACACTGCACCAAATGCAGCTCAACCAGAAAGGTGTAGCAGTTGTGAACATCGAAGATGCTCTTCCGTTTCTCCACTTGCAAAAACCGATCAGTGCTGAAGGAATAGGCATGTTAGTCCTTGACTTCCAAGACCAAGCCCTTCCTGCTTGCCATCAGATCATCCGTTTTCCTGCGTCTTGTGCCGGAACGCAGGAACCCATGATTCTAACAGCAGCTCTTCTTCAGTTAGGCCAGCAACAAGTCACCCGACTTTTGCCTTCTGATCCAACCGGGATTGAACAGGTTGAAACAGCAGTTGTTAGAGCAGTCATTTACAAAGACCAGTGCACAGTGAACTGGACCACCATGGCTACCAAACCGGTCAAGAACATGTTGGCCTTGGAGCATTTTGACTGTCTCGGCAAGGAAGACATTTTGGATGTATGGGATAGACAACACCTAAGCAAAATGTATCAGAAGGTGAAACCTGAAGAGTCTGACCTGTTTTCGGTTGTCCTCCGTGTGAAAGCATCCAGTCTGTCCAAGTTACTTGAGTCCAACAGCAAAGACGGGATCTATTTTGAGCCCAGACAGCAGAGTGGTCGAGCACCCTGTCCTGAACACAGAGTGATTTGGTTGCCAAAGAAGTCCTTTCACGATGTCCTAATTGCTAAGCAGTCAACACACCATGAAACGCACATTGCCAGGAATGGAGATCGATTTGGATTACGGACATCCAGCCAACATGCAGCAGACGTGCACGCCTTGCACAGGCCTGATGTAGCATACCTTGATGGGACCAACACGTCCACATACAGGATTGCACCACTGCCATTTGGAAGCACAAAACAGTCGATCCAGAAGGTCTTTGACACATGGGAGTGGAATGCACGACCATCTCACTCCCAAGGACTCACTCCTGACAAGAATGGTCTGGTGTGGATTGCACACGCTTCCGAACCACCAAATTTCTTCATTTTCACCATGCAGCATGGAGATGTTTTGATTAGTGAAGTTCAGTCCAGCAAGCCATCAGCCAAGCGAGTGGAAGGAGTACCAGTTGCTTCTGCCAGGACACTCCGACATCTCAATTCCAGTGCGATGGTTGCAGCCAACGTGAGCCATGATATCTCCAAACAAGATCCACTGCAACTCAATGACCCATGGGCTGGAGCAGCCAAAGGCCAAAGTGCCCGATCCACGAGCATCACACCAAGTCAAATGGCATCAATGGAAAACAACGTGGAGAAGAGGCTCAGAGCCACGTTCCAGCAACAGCTCACTGGAACCAAAACTGACGATGCCCCAATGGATGCCCAAGTGGACACCAGAGTAACGCAACTCGAACAACAAGTGAGTTCGTTAACTGACAACCTCAACCAGCTTACAGGTTCCTTGTCCTCATTCAAGCAGTAGCAGCAGACCCATAATGCCCAAGTAGTGCACCAAGTCCAAGCCTTGAAGCAGCAAGCAGAACAACAAGACAACGCAATGCGGTCCATTCTCGACCAAAAGATGGAGGAGCAAATGGCGAGAATAGAAATCTTGCTCACCAACAAAAGAACAAAGACTGCTGAATGACAACTTCATTCAAGCCAGATGTTGCACGTGCGAGTCAATGAAGCCGCGATCAAAGCTATCATTTTGACCTTGACTCAAATTCGTATTGGGGAAGCTAAGAATCCCGGGCCTGACCATCAGCCGGGCTTAACATTGGGTGCGGTTAATCCAACAGGGTTACTTCGCAAATCCACATGCTTTTCACAACTCCCTGCTGAATCCAATGTGATCTATGGTATTTGTGAAACTCACCTTTCCCATATGGGAATCAGAAAATTCAAGAGCGAACTTAGGTTTGCCAACAAAAATTTGACCTTTTTCCATGGTGCACCTGCACCTTACCGCTCACAAGCCATATCTGCCGTAGGAGGTACACATGTAGGTACAGGTTTTGCCACCAGCATGCCCAGCCGTAAGATCCAGATGCACTGCACTGAAGACATTTGGAACCAGGCCAGAATGTGCTTGAACACCTTTCTTTGCAATGACGTTTGGATCCATGGCGCTGTCGTCTATGGCTTTGCACATCGAGCATACTCCACAGAAGTCCGCAATGCCACAGATGAGCTCCTGCAGGTTGCCACTACTCACATTGTCCAAAACATGAAAGGGCCTAGGTTCATCATGGGGGATTTCAATCAAGAAGATGGTCTCCTTCAACAACCTCAGATTTGGCAAAAACTAGGATGGCAAGAGGTTCAACATCTCCATCAAGCCCGCTTTGGGGATCCAGTGCAAAAGACTTGTAAACAAAGCACCACCAAGGATTTCATTTGGCTTTCTCCTGAGTTAGTCCAATATTTCAGGTGTGCCGAAGTAATCAATCATGTGTTTCCAGAGCATGGAGCCCTTTTAGCCCATTTCCATTTTTTCGGCCATGACACCTTTTGTCAACTATGGCGCCAGCCCAAGCCGATTCCATGGGAAGACATTAAAGGACCCATCGAGAATGGATGCTTCAGTTTGCCTGACAATATCACCCCAGACAATGGGTGCATCCTAGTAGCCAATGAGTTGGAGAATCGTGTTCATGCATCTCTCCTTAAAGAAGGCAAACCAGGCCTTTTTTACGCCCAGCGTGGAAGATGCCAGACCCTACACACACAGAAAATCAAGAGCCTTTCCAAACCCATCAAAGCCAGCAGGAATGGTGACCTTCGTCCTGAGTTTCAAGGACAGTGTGTACAGCATCAAAAGTGGTTTACCCAACTGCGTCGTCTTGAATCCCTGCAGAGGTTGTATCGCGCACGGCCATGGAACTCCAATCAATCAGTGCATGCACAAAGAGAATGGAGAGCTGTTTTGAATGCCTCAGGGTTTTCTAGCTTCCGTAGATGGTGGTATCAGCTTCCCTCAAAAGCAGACCGAGCGCCAACCTTCCTTCCAGATTCCTTGCCCAATGAACAGGAACTCAGCGCGATTTGCCTCACTGTTCATGCCGAGGTCAGATGGTTTGAGAAGATGTTGCAAACTGATTTGATCACCAAAGCCAAAAACAACAGAGTTCTTAACCCGAATAAAGTTTTTCAGGACTTTGCCAAACCTTCAGTTTCGCCGGTTTGCATTCTTTTGGATGAAGTGGCAGCTCGTATCACTGAAGTTGACCATGATGACAATTCCATCACGCTTGACAGACAGTCCAAATTTTGGGATGGTGAACTGATCACGCATGCCGGACCAGCAACACCCATCATCATTTGTGACGATAAGGTGTGGTTAGATTCCATTGATGGCCTTGTTCCCGGACAGCCAGTCCGACAAGAACGTTTTGTAGGACAGCTCAATGAAATGTTCAACCGTTTTCAACATGAATGGCAGAAGCGTTGGGACCGCCACCTCGATGTGCCAGATGAACAGTGGTCTCCCCTGACCGATTTCTTCTGCCTTGCAAGACCACCAGCGCCTGAAATGACCTACACGCCCATCACCAGAGATCTCTGGACCAAAGCTTTAAAACGGAAAAAGCCCAGAGCAAAAGGACCCGACGGTTGGACCAGACAAGATCTACTTCAACTGCCATTAGACTTGACTGATGCCATACTTGACATGCTGCACGGTATTGAAGCAGGTACCATGCAGTGGCCCAGACAGTGGCTGGTAGGCATCATACATAGTTTAGAGAAACATGAACAGCCTGCTGCAGTAACAGGGTATAGGCCAATTACCATCTTTTCCCTCATTTACAGGACTTGGGCTTCCATACGTTCCCGACAGTTGTTATCCCATTTGGTGAATGAGGTGTCTAGTTATAGTTTCGGCAATTTACCCCAGCGATGCACCACAAACATGTGGATGTACCTGCAGCAGGAGATCGAGACCAACCATGCCTGCGGCCTGACCACCTGCGGAGCCGTGTTAGATGTGGTGAAGTGCTTCAACCACCTGCCGAGACTCCCCTTGTTTGGGGTCCTTAAGCATTTAGGAGCTCCTCCACCAATCTTGAGAGCATGGGCCCAAGCTCTGACTTCCATGGAGAGACGGTTCAGTATCAGAGGTTCAGTTGGTGAAGCCATAAAATCCACGACAGGGTTCGCTGAAGGTTGTTCACTTAGTGTAGTGGCGATGGTGGGGGCAAATGAACTTGTTGCCACATGGATGGCCCACAAAGCCCCGACCACTAATCTCATTTCCTTTGTTGATAACCTTGAGTTGTTCTGCAGAGATCCCCATGAACTCATGCGCAGTACTCAAAAACTTGAAGAAATCCTTTCCTTACTTGACTTGGAGGTTGACAAATCTAAGACCTACCTTTGGTCCACCCACGGTAACTTTAGAAAAGTTTTCCTCAACAATGGTTTTAATGTGAAAACTGCAGCCCGAGACATTGGAGCCCACCTCCAATATTCCCGACAAGCCACCAATTTCACTATAACCAGCAAAATCGAGTCTTTTAAAAATAGATGGAAATCATTGGCACTTTCACCGGCTACCTATAACCAAAAACTCAGAGCAGTCAAAGCAGTTGCGTATCCCAACATGTTACATGGCATTGCCTCCGCACATGTTGGGGACCCTTGGTATGAAGATATTCGCACGGCAGCTGTGCGAGCCTTAGGTGAACACAAGCCTGGATGCTCACCACCCCTGCACCTTAGCCTGTTTGAGCACCCATCAGCTGATCCAGGGTACCATGCACTTTGGACCACAATTTGTGTGTGTCGTCAGTATTTGGATCCAGAGGTGTGCTGGCCCCAGTTTTCATACCTTGTTGCACTGAACCGCAAGAAACCAGACGTTGGCCCTTGTGCAGTCCTGTTGCACAGGTTATCCAAAATCAACTGGAGTTGGGATCATAGTGGTTTTTTCAGAGACGTTTGGGGAAACCCAGTTGATCTCTGGGATCTTCCTCTGCAAGACCTTGCCATACGAGTCACAGAAGCGTGGAGGTACAAAGTTGCATGCGATGTTGCTTCCAGACAAACGTTCGTGGGCCTTGCGAACTGTGATGCAGCCTTCACTCTAGAGAACATGACACCACATGCTCGTGACCGTGCTATCATGAGAAGTGCGATGAATGGCACCTTCTACACAGCAGATCATTTGAAGCACAGGGACACCCCAGGTGATACCAGGTGCAAATTATGCTATGCAGAGGACAGTTTGTACCATAGAAACTGGGAATGCCCTGCCTTGGAACACTGTAGACAGCACGTGTCACCAGCACAGAAAAGTGAGTTGCTCAGTATGGAGCCTGCCACATACTTGCAAGGATGGTTTCCTGTCCCAACTACTTTGAGTCAATTTCGCCAGAAACTGCAACAGTTGCCTGATTTCACAGCCTGTGGAATACAAAACAAACAGCCAATCTCAAACGCCAATGCACTTGTACACTACTTCACTGATGGTAGTTGCATGCACCCGCACGACAAATTCACCAGAGTTTGTGGGTGGGGAGTTGTGAGAGCAAGTCCGACTGACATGTGGGATTTTCAGCCAGTTGCTTCGGGATGTCTTCCCGGCCGACATCAAACCATCATCCGTGCCGAGATAGTTGCAGCAGCCTCTGCAGCTCATGAAGCTGTCAAAGAAGGCCACCCCTTTTGTATTTGGTCTGATAATAAGCGGGTTGTTTCACTTTTGACCATCATGTTGTCCAACCCAGACCGTGTTTGGGGCAATAAAACGTGTAACCATGATGTAGTCAATATGCTTGCCTCCACAATCCGTGATGCGCGTGACCTTTTCCAAGGTGTGTACAAAGTAGCCAGCCACCAGCAGGTCACAGCAATAAATGACCCAGTAGAAAGATGGTGCTTTCAGGGAAACGAATCAGCTGACAGACTAGCTGCACAAGCTTTCCAATCTCAACCTGATCTCATGCGATGTTGGGTTCAGTTATGCCATGAGATGGATGCTAGGCGTGATTTGCGCAATGCCATGCATAAACTTTTACTCAGTATAGGGTTGGAATGCTTAGTCAAGATCCAGAAACAGTCGCCTCAACACCCACCTGCGGCCAAACAACGAAGTGACCCGATTGACATGAGTCAATGGATGCTACCTGCTGTTCTGCCTCTTGAAGCGAAACCTTACATGATCAAAGAAACGCCTGCTGTGATTCAATGGATAACCAACCTTCATGATCCGCATGCTCCGGTTCAGCGTTGGTCATGGTGGCAACTCTTTTTAGATGCTTGGTTGAATATACCGGAGTTTGGGCCATGGTACCACGTTTCTCAGAAGTGTTGGAAAAGCGGAGCAACCCAGCCTCCAGAGACATTTCAGAGGAAGGCCAGATGGTTTTCCAAATACCTTGCCAAACTTTTCAAAGCATGTACAATTGACTTGCCCATGCGGCACGCAATGCCTTGTGGCTCAGCGATAGCCTTTTGGACCTCCACACTGACAGTCCGTGCACCAGTCAAACGTACAGAGATCCTTGACATTTGGTTCAGTCAGTTTTTCCTTGCGCAGTCAAAACGGCAGATCTACGTACGATCAACATGTGAGCAGTGGTTCTACACCATGGATCAGGTCTGTGCCCATTGGGGCTTTCTTGGGCGGTCACCACGTCCGCTGGCTAATACAGCCGTCGTGTTGACTCTTGCGAAAGAGCGAAAGAGTGACTAATATTTTTCAAGATGGTTGAAACCACCAGCCAGATATTGTAATTTACAGTGAATCATGCTTCCGTGCCATGAATTCTTGATATCAGCACGGACAAGTCAACATCTGAAAAAACAACTGTGCAGCGCATCAACTTTGGCTTTCAAAGCTGACATTTATTCCTCGTTTCTTCGTCTTCAGCCTCCATTCTTGGTTTTGAAGAGTTGACCCAACTTCTGTACGTACTATAATGTTGATTTGGGAATCGGAACTGCCATGATCGCAGGTACAGCATGACCATTTCAGACGACCTGAACGTCTTGAATTTTTTAGGCGGCCATGACTGATTTCGATAGCTCACCTGCTTGATCCTAAAGGATTTGTTGTTATGCCCCTGCCCAACCTTAGCGAGCATCTGCAACGTACATGTGAACATCGGCAAAATGTCAAATGCTGGGGCTGGCGTTGACCTCAAAAACAGCAAAAAGTCTTGCAATCATAGTCTTCAAAACCATCAACAATCCTCCAAATTCATATTCTGGGATATTCTGTCTGGCTTTGTTTTGACATATTTTCGAATACCCTCTGGTATCAAACATAGCAATGGAAAATCCACCATTTGTACTTCATCTTCCCAGCTAGAAATCTCCATGATCATATGTACCAGCTATAAATTATATCATTTTCCCGTATAAGTCCATCTAATATACAACCGGAAATCCATGGAAATCCCATATCTTTTCCCAGCTATAAATCACCATATGGGATCCATATGCGGTTGCCACATGTTGCCACGTGGAAAACTAGATCCCTCCAGGACCTCTTGCGGCTGCTGATCTCCCGCACGCATCTGGTGGGTTTGGATCTGGTGGAAGTCTCGCCACCTTACGACGTTGCGGGGGTCACCACCACCCTGGCAGCACGCCTGGTGCTGGATGCTATGGGTTTTGCCATGGCGAAGAGGGAGAAATCCGAGTTGTGAGGCGAAAGATGGCGCAACGTGTTGGGCGCAACGTGTGGGGCGCTGGGAATTACTGGCAGGATGTGGTCAAGATAGAAAGATGGACTGATAGATATATAGTGGAGATATCTTAGTTTGTGTCATTTGGAAGTGGGTAGAAAAAAAAACATGGTAGTTAATCATATTATATACTAATACGTAAGTGGGTGCTTGCTAGGATATGTGCAAGATCTGACGGCTTTCTGGGTATATAATGTCTTGTAAAGGGCAGAGTGTCACAGGTAAAGTTTGAGCGACATGACCCTGTGGATGCAGCCGTACCTTGTAAGGAAGTATGATTGGGGCATGGTTTTTGGGGGGTCAAGTCCCTTCTCACGAAGTATCTCGATCCATATGGTGATAGGTACAGTAAGCCAAATTAGTCATGAGAGACGGCATGAGATGTCCAGAAGCCTGTCAGATGGCTCAAACACCGACAAGTGGCTTTGTTCAAAGTTCAGGTCAAGATACCTTTTTCATGGGATGAAGAGAACCTTGGAGTCCTTTAAGAATCCGGGACTCCTGGCTCCCTGTTTTCAGACAAACCCAAAAATTTGGGTTTGTTTGAAAACAAGGTACCCTGCGTACCGCAATCGTACCGGACAATTTGATGGTTTATCAAAATTTTCGCCGGTAAAACTGTCAGCGTTGGGCATACAGCATACGCCATTTTTATCCATGTTCGGACACTCTCGTGTCTAGTCATGTTCACAAAATCTGGAAACACCAGTTGTGACGGCGGTCTCAGGATCGATTTGAGCCGAGTGCTGCATTGATCATACAGAACAAGGACGACTTGGAGACTCAGCGTCAAGACATGACATAAGTTGCTGGCAGTTAAAGTAGTTCAGGATGTTTTTGGATATTGTTCGAATTATGTAGTCCAAATGACATGAGAGTCAGTGGTAGCATAATTCTGTTCATGAACACTTGTTTATGTTGTTGCTTTCAGCTCACAGCAAGTGCATTCGATGTTCCACTTAGTCAGTGCCCGTGATTATTGTATAATATTGTATGTATGTACGGAAAGATGAAGACAATCTTTCAATACATAGATATATTCCTGTCTATAGGTGTTTAGCATTATATAATACTCTTATTATTACTATTTGTTTGAATATTGTTGTTGTTATTATAAGTTTATTGCTTGTATGATTATTATTATTATTATTATGTTATTTTGTTTGTTGGCATTATGTTATTATTACTGCTAGTTTCACAATTATTGTTATTATGTTTCTTGTGATTATCATTATTAATTTGTTTTTGTGTTTATTAGTATTGGTGTTATTATTGTTGTTTCTATTATTTTTATTGTCATTTTTATTCCCAGAAGTTCCGTTCTTCGTTAATTAATGAAACCTTGCTTATTTAAGCTAACCTTGCTTATTAACCTTCCTTAATTAACGACTTTTACGTTAATTAAGAGAAAACCTTTGTTAATTAAGGTAAAAGTCTTTAGTTAACGACTTTTATTAAGAGAGGTTGCGTTTTTTAAGCAAGGTTTGCTTATTTAAGCAACCTTGCTTAAATTTAAGCAAGGTTTTTGTTTTTTTACCTCGGTTAATTTGTTTTGTTTTTTTTTGATCAGCGGTTTTTTTGTTTTGAAGCCTGTCGTCTGTGATTGAGGTTTGGTCGGGGCAAGCCGCGACATGTCTAGAGCAATGCCTCTAGGAGTAAGAAGACTCGGAAAAGTTTTTATAGCGTCCATTTCGTCGTCGCGGGAATTCGTCATGTTTCTTCTCTTGTCTTTTTCTCGAGCGGCTACGGGCTCGTGCTCTTCGTTCCTCTTCGGCTGCTTGTTCTTTTTGTAAAACTGCTTCAGCTTCAAGATCTAGATCTTCTTCGATTTCGATCATGGGCGACGGTGCTTTATTTAAGAGCAACAAAGCTTCGGAATATTTGTTGACAAATTCGTCCATGTACTCAATGGTGCGGCATGTTGCTCTATTGATGCTTCGCATCTGATACAAGGAGGCTAAGGGTAAGAAAGACAAAATTTCGTCAAACATGGCACGGCTGATACGGATAGGGTACGCCTCTATCAAATGAAGAGGACAAGCCGCCAAACGCAAAGAAACCAAATGGCAAAAACGGCTGCAATGGCAGACGAAGTGCATGCAATCCTTCTTTGAACTGTTGCAACAAACACATTTATTTTTCTTCTTAGAGACAAAGGATTTTTTTATTTTTTTTAAATAAACTTTTTAAAAAATCATTATATATATAGTAAGATGTTTTTTTTAAGATATTTGTTTTAAACATTATAAAACCTATTTTTCATCTGTTTTTTAAACATGAAAGAAAAGGAAAAAAATCGAACTTTTAACGCAAACAGAGAAATTTGTAGGAAAAGGAAAAATAAGATACAAAAAAAAATCCAAAAATAAATCAAAATCAGAAAGTATTTTGTTTGGGAACACGATCTAAGAAAAGATTAGACCTAATAAATCTAAATGGCAATGCCCTTCCCCTACACAAAGGGCAAAACTCTTCACCTAGGCAAAGGGCAAGCCTCTTCACCGCCGCAAAGGGCAAGCCTCTTTGCGGCCGGAAAGGGTACACCTCTTTCCGTGATACGAGCCAATATACACGCATATCCAATCACTATTTTCCAATGCTTCCATCCTAGCAGAAAGTCATTAACTTTCTCATGTTCCTCGTTTCCAGAGAAACAAACTTTAATATGGTACACACTCCAAAAGATTCCATGACTCTATTTCGAAAACACTCCCCACATCCACTCCATCTTTTCCATGAAACACGCTAGCAACTCAACTACTATAAACCTCTACAAAGTAATTATGATCACCCAACATAAATCCAAATAGTCCGGGAAAAAAACATATCACCATCCAAATTTAACCTTGCTTAATTTAAGCAACCTTGCTTATCCTTAATTAAGCTAACCTTGCTTAAATAATTTAAGGCTAACCTTGCTTAATCTTAATTAACGAAAAACGGAACTTCTGGGTTGTTACTACTGTTACTAGTATGATTGTTATTATTGGTATTGTTAGTGTTATTATATGAGTTATTGTCATTATTGGTGTTATCATTATTATTATTTTTTTATTATTATTATTATATGAGTATTCTTGTTATTATTGGTACTAATAGTATTGTTATTCTTATTGTTGTGTGTGATTATTGTTATTGCTGGTGTTGTTGTTTTTGTTTTATTTGTATTGTTGTTAGTATTGTTATTGCTGTTGTTTACATATAGTAAATATTGTAAAGTTATCAATTTGGTGTTGTTTTTCTTTAATGTGCAGACTACGTCACACTGTAATCCCCCTAATAATTCCTAACTGGAATTCCTAACTGGATACAACGTCGGACCGGACGCCACGAAGGTGATTCCCCTGCTGCTGGAGACAGTGCCGACACCCAAGGAATTCATTGATTCGACGCTGGGTTGGTCGTTGCCTGTTTTTGTTGAGAGTAATGGGGAAATACTGGGGAATTTCATATCATGTGTGGCAACATTTTTGAATCTGGCTGATAGTTGTTGCATGTTTTCCCACGTATAGATTGAATACACGAGGTGTTTGAAGGTTTTCGGGACACGTGTGTGTTTTTGGGACACCATGGGATTCTACATGTGGATTTTTTCGTATGATGTAAAACAGGTCATGCATTGAATAGCATGGACTCCGGTATGAAGTGGATTTCACCGCCAAAGTGGAAACACATTTTGGATCATTTTGGCATTTTGCGCTTTGTGTTTCCTAAAGCTGCGTAGACCTATGAGAAACATTTTTTCAACCCATCCCTTTTTGTTCCTGTCGGTGCAGACCTGTTTCTTGGCCCTATTGATGTGCATACGTGTCTCAATTGTCTTTGCCCACTGAGGTTGGAGTTTCCAACACAATTCCACATAAAATAGTTGTGTATAGTCAACCTCATGGACTCATTTGCACTAAACATACACATATCATCGTCCTGGAGTAGACAGAATATAAAATTCTCAAAAGCATATCCATTTTTAGTGAGGTGTTTTTGACATGTCCATAGTTTATCTACTCCAGGATGATTATGCATCTAGAATCCCAGTTGGAGCGTGAACCAAAAACTCATTGCCCATGCCCCTGAGGATACAATCATTGTCACCAGAACAACAAAGATTTGCTCAAGCGTTTCGAAAAATGCAACTGTTTCTTGGTTTGGTTTTGGATGGTGGAAGGAACAATGATGCCTTTTTTTTATTTTAAACTGTGCTTTATTATAGTAGGATATAGTAGGTTGAATGGCTGTTTGTTACCTGTAATCCCTGCAGATAGGATCTGCCACATCGTTTTCAATCCTGGAAATCAGTGGATTCGATCGCTGGAAAAACCGACTGGACCCACAATTTGGGCTGTTGAATTTAAGGCTACCAGTGAAGTATCAGATGATCATAGTTTATTGATGTGAAGTTTGGATCTACTTGGGGAGTACACCCTTTTCTTAACCATCTTAACCATGGTTGATTTCTCCGGGGACATTATACAACACCACCCAAAAAAACATGGATAGACGTACAGCAGGGAGCATCGTTTATGGGTGTTGACGATAAACTTGGGCGATGGGATCCATGTGGAACATATTGGAACCGTTCAGAAATTAAAAATATTGGTGTTACCCTCTGGTAAACGTTTACATAACTATGGAACATCAAGAACATCACCATCTTTTTTTGGGGGGTAAATCAACGATTTCTATGGGCCATGTTCAATAGCAAACTGTTAAATTACCAGAGGGTAACTAATACTGGATCCATCATAGAAAAAAAAAATATATATATATATTACATCGAACTACATATCGGAATATCTAAAAACCCATCCGAGAGATTCCATGACTTAAACATCTCCACCCGAAAATTCCAGGGCAATGTCATTGGCAAAAACCTTGGCGAGTGATGTTCCATCAGAGCTCATCATATTATGATGGTGATATATATATATATATACATATATATATATATATGTATGTATGTAATGTAATGTAATGTAATGTAATGTAATGTAATGTAATGTAATGTAATGTAATGTAATGTATGTATGTATGTATGTATGTGTTTTTTTTTGTGGTGGGCTACTTCAAGAGATAACGCTTACACAAGACCCCGTTGAAGCATTGTGACCAGTTCCATATGCGGCTTTGCGCCGCCGAGGTCTAGTTCGTTATTTGCCGTTGCAGTGGTGCAGATCAAGCCTTTGTTGGCAACTTGGAGAAACTGTTGGGGCTGACCGGCCGCTTGAAACTGATCAACAACCATGGTGAGAAATGAGTCAATAACCATCGTCAGAAACTGGTTGGACCAATGTCAACGTTGTTGTTTGAGGATTCATTCATCATATTTAGTTATATTTACCCTCTGGTTATTTAACATAGCCATGGAAGCCATGGCCCATTTATAGATGGTTTACCTATTAAAAATGGTGGATCTTTCCATGGCTATGTTAGTCATAACCAGAGGGTAGTTATATGTATCATTACATTGTGTGTATATTCAACCAGAGTTATCCTCGATCCATATGGTGTGATGTTCACCAGTTCATTATCAACTTGCTTGCCGTTCATTTTCCACATCGAGGTGCACCACTGAATAGATGATGTCCACGTGCAAGATGATTTGATTTCTTAGGAATTGCACATTATATTTAAATCATTATAATATATCATAATATATATATATATTTATAGATGTAATAGGTCATACCTTCCATAATATTGAACGAAACACTAGTTGGCAAGTTTGATCAAATTTGGGTGTACACATGTTTTTTGACAGAACCACATGTTTTAGATACATGTATATCATTGTATCATGATACATCAAACATAAATCCTAGTTTCTGCCAACATAGACATCATATATACACATAGTTATAAGCCAACCTTCCTCTCGTTTGGTGGCCCCTTCCTGCATGTCGCCCAGGAAAAGGCGCGGCACTCTGGCTGGGGGCAGCGTTCCCAGACGTAGGTTCAAGAGAAAATTTTCAGGGAACCTCTATATTTGGGTCAAAAAAAGACGCGGTTTCCTGTAGAGCTTCCCCTAAACGGCCCTAAACCAGACCAATCCATTGACGTTTTTTTTGATGGAAAACATGTCAGACTTGCCAAATGTGATGCCGTTTTTTAGCATTATACGTTCCTGGACTCAGGGTCCGGTCAATATGGTGGGTTGCACATATAGCAAAACCGGAACGGAAAACCACTTGAGGTTGTAAAGAGCTTGTAGAATTTCCATGTTGCATCGCATGGGCTGGAGGAATTAAAGGACTTTGGAGGATCCTGTCTCCTTGGCATTGGAGGCCTCGATGTTTGTTTTTCAGTTTGTTTTTTGTTCGATTCTGTTGTTTTTCCTTTTAAACACATCCCACTGATCTGACCAAAGACCCACCGGAACCCTCTATTGGATAGAACTTGAGATATAGATGACTTTGCATTTTCAAGATCCTAAAGGTGAACCTTGAAGATCCACTGTTCATTCAGTGAATCAATGCGTCTAGGTGCTGAATCTGCCGGAGTTCTCGTTGACCAAGGCAATACGAGGGAGAACTGGGTAACTGGGGAAACTGGCTGGTTGGCCTAATAAAACCGCAGCTGGTAAAAAATCACGCCATGAGAGAATTTGTCATTTGACGATGATCCACCATTTGAACAAAGGGATTTCCACTCGCCTCCTTTGCTTGCCAAAGAGTTTGCACTCTGTTTGTGAGGAGCACTTAGCCAGTTCAATGCATTTATCCGCCTTCGAGACTTGGAAGACAGAACGTGACAGAACCACTAGAAGCACATGTCTTGGTGTTTCCTAACCTTTTGGTACCCCAAACCATTGGTTTCCCCATTAAAACATGCAAAATTTGATGAATTTTTGATGATCAATTGCGGTATTGGGGTATTTTAGGAACCCATGTGGTCAACCGCCAGGAGATTCAGCTGACCCAAGACCTCATCGAGTTGTTCGTTCGCTACCAGGTCCCCCCAGATCTGATGTCGTACGACGAAGCACACGGGAGCCGGCCGGAGAAGCTGAACCGCGTGAGCACGGCCGAGAAGCTGAAACAGGCACAGAAAATGGTGCTTCCAAGCAATGGCAGCAATGGCTAGTGGGGTCCAGGGGTGTCGCTGTATACGTTTTGTGGGTAACCACCAATCCCTCTTGAAATTTGGTGTCGCTAAAGATTTGGCCAGAGTTTGATCGGGTGAATTCAAGGTCATTATGTAAATGTTTCATTGATTCAATGAAACATTTAATGTGGACCGTTCAACATATTTCCACTGTTTACAGGTTTTATCCCATTGATTTGTTGCGAACTGTTCCTCATTCCATAGCATCTTAGTGTTTCAGATTATCAGCAATATCATCCGCTACAACATCCCCAGATGCTCCATGTATGATATACGGATACATGTAGTTATATACTTGGATAACTGGGCCACATGTTTGTGTGTGCAACTGTGTCGGCGATGCCCCCCCACCTATTTTTGTTGGTTTATAAAGCCAGATAAACACCCATTGTGTGCTTAGATATCTCCACCATATATCCTATAGTTACTAGTTAACCTATACTTAGTTCAAGTAACTTATCTATCAATCACATATCAATCGCCATTTTCAAGTTGGTTCAATATGGTTCAATTGGTTCAATCCCCATAGTTCCCTTGTTGGTAAATTCAGCTAGTTGGGCGCCATTCTTTGGCACACTTCCCGGGCACCCGGGCAGGTGAAGGATCATGTGGAAGCACTTTGGCAGACCATTGCGGCCTCCAAGAGTAAACAGCTCAAAGAGACGCAGGAGCCGCCGAAGCCTCGGAGGCCTCCGAGGCCTCGTGGAGCCCGAGCCGGGAATGGCCCATGGCCATGAACCAACTTGCTGGATGATGATCCAATAGTTGGTGGAACATATAGATATGCTTTTATGACTTCCCCAATAGGAACTGGATGATGATCCCATCTGACGAAGTCCATGATTTTTCAGAGGGGTAGGTCAACCACCAAATCGTGAACCTGTTGTTTCTGGTTGTGAAGTGTAATTAAACTGATTAAACTGTAAAAGGGATGCTGCTGACCAACTAAAAGTAAGAAGCGGAACCAAAACTAACTAAGTTTGGAATATTTACCAATGTTTAACCGAAACATAGTCTAGGTATGTAGGGAAATACGGGTTTGTCTGAAAATAGGGTAACCTGAATTTTATGGATGATGAAAATGCTGAAAATGATAATTAAGAAAAAAACAGACAAACATGTTTGCAGTATCGCACATTTTGGGACACATCGTGACAAATCCATGTATATAATAATATTATACATATATAAAGATATAGATAGATATTCGTGATCAAGCAAGCTATCCAAACCTGGGCCCAGTCTCATGAAAGAATAATGATATCTCGGACAGCAGAGCTGAACATTTATTCTAGTTTACATTTGGTACTGGGCAGGGCATTCGTATGACTTATATAAATCAGGATTGATTCTCTATAGATACCTTACTAGGACAATCATCGACCCGCACCACCAGCATCCAGCAGTCCTGACTTAGGAGGAAGCCAAGATGCGGAACATGCAGAAGTGTGGGGCAGAGGAGTGTCCCTTGATGCTGTTCATCCCTTCCTGCTGCGTTTATCTGAAACCAGGGAACCCCAGAACTTATTACTGAGCATTTGTCTCAGTGAAATTGGCGTCAGGAAAGACCATAGGGGTATCAAGATTTTTGGCCTGACTCCAAGTATTTGCAATGATTGTCTCAAGCGGCTTCCACCAGCAATTTTTGTCTCATTTGTCCCTCCTCACCGTGATATGCTAAAATCCCACCTGATGTATCGTATATCTTACATGAGAGTTGTTTTTAGGATATAAGTTGCTACATATTCAAGACATGGAATGCACATACAATATTAATCACTATTATGAATTACGTACATATTACTATGTGTACATCACTGTATATCTATAGTATACTTGTTGGAATATGTTTCAGTTGGGTCGGCCCCCATGTGAAAATCCACTCCATTCTCCAGGTCCCAACATTGTTCCGATGAGTCGTGGAGCTCGTGGAGCGGGAGTCGAGACGGCACTGAGTGGCCTTTGGGATGGCCGGGATGGGAGCCATCCGTCAACAACTGAGAATCATTGGTTTGGTTCAAGAAAACAAATGACACCCTCATATTTTGTGGGAATATCCAAGGAATCCAAAGTTTCCGTCGTAGATTTTCCCAAAAAACGCAATCCATTGAGAGGATCCCAGTGATGGATGGCCGATCGCCAGGGTTATTTTTCGCACTTACCAAGTGGGATCATCCTCCAAGTACTACTGTTTGGTGGTTTGCCCTTAAAAAAATGTATTTCTCATACCTGAGAGCCTGAGATAATGATTTCCATTCTTTGTTTTTTCAGGGTTGAAACATGTTGGAAGCCACCAAGCAATGCAGGGAGCGACTCCACAGGCCGTCGCCATACACAAGATGGTTTAGTAAGATCCAGTGAGGTGAAAGGGAATCATCTTCAACAAATTCAGGGTCTATAAATCCAACATTATCCATAAGGAAATCCCTTGGAAATCTGGTTTTGGAGTTATTTTTATAGATATTGTATGATATTACAACATATCAGGAATGGTCACGTGTTTCAACCTGAGATGCTAAAACTACTGTTCTTTGGCTCAGATTTGGGAGGCAGTTCCAAAGATATCCACCGTTTCTCTGCCTGGATTCTTCTCTAGTGGTTTGAATGCATTTCACAATATAGAGGTGTCCTAAATCATGGGGGTGCCCCCATATCATCCAAACTTAAGCCATTGTTGTATTAACACCATTTGAAACCTATAAGTTTTTGGGGATCCCCCGTTTTAAGAAACCACCATGTGTCCTCTTTTGATTTCTGATTGTATTTGTCATCCCCACTGTAAAAGATCATGAATTCCAAAAGAACATCTGTGCCATGGTCACAAGTTGGAGACTCATAAAAGGTGGAATGGTCATCCATGCATTAGAGCAGTGTGCAAAGCCCCCAGTTGGTTGATTTTTTAAGGAGGATTATGTTAACAGATGTTCACAATCAGGTAATTCATCGATGACACAGGGGTTTTGAACATGCTCAGTAGGGATTTATATACCCATGCATTTTTGGATTCCCATGAAATGGGCCATGGATCATGGCGATGGTGAAGCGATGTACATCGTCCTCCATCGCTTCCACCTCAGGAGACGCTGAGCATGCTGAGATGAGACCGAGAAAGCTCGCCACGGACCTCGCCACGAACTACCAGGAGTCGCGCCAAAAAAAACGGAGCAATTTCCAGAAGAGCTACTGTCTCAGAAGGTACTTGGAACTGTTTATCTGTTTTAAGATGTTTAGCAGCAAAGTATAGATGTGCAGTCTATGTCTATTTGAGTACCGCGACCTCAACAGCGTCACCATACAAGATGTTTAGGAATCAATGCACACGTGTTTCTTCCACTTGAAATACAGGTTCTTTCAAAAATTTAATGCTCCAGATATGATTGTAAGATATTGTAAGCATTGATACCGCATGATATATATATATATATATATATATGTCACCGGCGATGATTACTGACCATTGTATACAATCCGAAAATGACAATTCTGATTCCAGACTCCGGATGGAGGTCATTGGGGGATGCAGAACGGTAACGACATTTAAACATGTGGGCCAGACCGCGAGGCCCCGGAGGTAGGATGAAATACCAGTTCGTATATTTAAATCTAGTTACGTATGTTTAAATGATTTGGATTCCGTATGTTTGAATGGCCGGGCGGGCCAAGGAAAACTTGCCCGGTTTGTATGTTTAAAAGTCCGTGTATTGAAATGTACTTACCGAAGCATTGAATCAGAGAGCCTTGTTGTTGTTTTTGATTTTTATACATCCGAAGGAAAATCTTAAGGTGTTTCGAAAGAAAGAAAGCTTAAGCTTGGCAGGAAAGGGTCGGGAAAAGATAGACATTGTGGCCACAAATGACTTGGCCACCAGCAACGAGGCTGGTTTCAAGCCTTTGTAAAGTTGACACCAACCGGCATCTAGAAAGGATGTGGTTTCGATAATTACTGTAAGCTGATAATCATTGTTACGAAGATTGAAGTTTATATGAATCTGTATGGCTCCGAATTACTCCCAGTCTTTCATCTAAGATCGGGTCGCACCTTTTCAGGGCGCATCAGGGCGCCATACCCAACAATAAATATCCCCCTGTGGTTGCTCGTGATGTCTCCGTTCTTGCAAGTTGTATCCACTTATTCCGATCATTTGTTTTAGTCCCAAAAGAAAACAATCATCGGGTAAACAGGGAATGCAGTCTCAGTCTCTCCCTGGCTGCAAGCGGTTTTATTTTCCGATGGTTTAATCTCCAATTTGTTAGTTATGAGTGTCCCCACAAATAAAAAGTGGTGCCCCAGTTCGTTAGCTAAGTTAGATGATAGAATCTTTATGAATTTATGGTAGACAAGAGTGTCTAAACCAACAAACACAACTGACTGTGGCATGGGCACCACCATACGGGAACAACCGACAGCTGGTGAGGAGGTGTCGTATTCCGGGAACCTTCGCGCAGAGGTGCCGATCATTGCCGATCCATGTTTTTGTCTTTCAGAAGCTGTGGCAAATGATGTGGGTTATGGATGTTGTTGTGAAATACGCTAATTAACATATGGACACATCATGAAACACACACACACATATATATATAATATTATATATATATTATGCGATAGCTGTTATATTTAGGTAAACCGTGTCAAGGCCAAGACGGGTTTTTGACTTGATAAATCAGATACTGCGGGGTTTGTTGGGAATCAAGCCACGCGCAAGGTTTCTGATAGAATAGAGATCTGAACACTATATATATATATATGTACACACTATATAATTATACAGTATACACACAGATAACGTGTATCAGTACTCACCAGGTCATACTTTTGAACTACTCGACTGCATGCGTGGAGGAGTGGGGTTTGCTTCTCTATGTGTGAGGGCCTTCAGTGACACAAAAAGGGGACTTATGCTTGACTGAGGCTTGCATGGACCCATTTTCAGACACATTCACATTCTGAATACCCCCCCAAAACATCCAAAATAAAGTGCCATGACTCCAACCACGTAGGTCAAAAGCCTGGTACCCATTTTCCCGAATGCGTAGCAAGGGTTCCCGTTTCACTCTGGGGGTTGAGGGTGTGTTCGCTCGACGTTGCCGAACCGTTCGCAACCGTCCGCAACCGTCCGCACCCGTCCGCAACCGTTCGCATCCGTCCGCAACCGTTCCCGCGATTGCTACATGGCCGTGCCTATGGTAAGTTCTGCAGAAGGGGTCGTTTGTGGAGGTTTCAAACGTCGCGTTGCTTCGTTTCGCGTGGCAGGCGTGGCACTTCGTGACATTCAGACGCGTTTTGTAACGCGTCGAAAGTCGTTTTGTGTGGCAGGCGCAATACCTTTGCGACGTTTTCAGAAGATGCGTTGCAGTTTTCGTGGCAGGCGCAGCACTTTGGACGTGTCCATCGTCATTTTGCGTGGCAGGCGCAGCGCTTTAGATGTGTCGTGTTGCGTGTTTTGCAAATCGCATTGGCAGGGCTGCGTCAAGCGGCGACAAGGTGCAGATTCCGTGGCAGGTGTGGCATTTTGTGAGATGTGATGAAAATTGACGGAAGCCTGGCAGGAAACATCGATTTTCGAGGTTTCTTCAATTTTGGTGCTACAAAGTGTCAAAATTGGAGAAAGTCTCGCACGAAATGCTAGTTTTGCATGTTTTGCTGCGCCCACGTGTCTCGTCTCGAGTCTCTGGTTTTCCTGTGGCGTCGCAGTGTCTATGGGGGAAGCTGCAAAACCTCTCCTTTTCGAAGGTTTCCACACAGGTTGTCATGTCGTTTTGCGTGGCCGGCGTGGCACTTTGTGACATTCCAACCTGTTTGATATAACGTGTCAAACTTTTGTGTGGCTGGCGCAACAAATGCAACAATGCACTCCACACTCCACACTTTACACTCCACACTCTACATTCCACAATCTACACTCCACACTCCACACTCTACACTCCACACTCCACCACACTCTACACTTTACACACTCCACGCTTTCCACTTTACACTCCTCACACCACACCTTACACTCCACACTCCACACTCTACACTTTACACTCCATACTCTACACTCGACACTTTACACTCCACACTCCACACTTTACAGTTTACACTCCTCACTCCACACTCTACACTTTACACTCCACACTTTACACTTTGCACTTTACACTCCTGCTCCACACTTTACACTCCACACTCCACACTTTACACTTCACACTCTACACTTTACACTCTACACGTTACATTCTACTCTCTACACTCCACACTTTACACTTTACACTCCATGCTTCCCACTTTACACTCCTCACACCACACTTTACACTCCACACTCCACACTCTACACTTTACGCTCCACACTCCACACTCTACACTCCACACTCCACACTCCACACTTTACGCACTGCACACTCCACACTTTACACTCCACACTCCTCACTCCACACTCCACACACTACACTCCACACTCCACCACACTCTACACTCTACACGTACCACACTCCTCACTCCACACTTTACACTTTACACTCCACACTCCACACTTTACACTCCACACTCCTTACTCTACACTCCACACTCCACACTCTACACTTTCCACTCCACACTCCAAACTCTACACTTTACACTCCACAATTTACACTTTAGACTCCTGACTCCACACTCTACACTTTACACCCCACGCTTTACACTCCACACTTTACACTTGGCACTTTACACTCCTCACTCCTCACTCCGCACTTTACACTCCACACTCTACACTTTACACTCTACACTTTACACTTTACACTTTACACTCTACACTCTACACTGCACACTTTAAACTTTACACTTTACACTCCTCACTCCACACTTTACACTCCTCACTCCACACTCTACACTCCACACTCCTCACTCTAGACTCCACACTCCACACTCCACACTCTACACTTTACACTCCACACTCCACACTTTACACTCTACACTTTACACTCTACACTCCACACTCCACACTCTACACTTTACGCACTCTACACTCCCCACTCCACACTTTACACTCCACATTCCTTACTTTACACTCCACACTCCACACTCTACACTTTCCACTTCACACTCCACACTCTACACTTTCCACTCCACACTCCACACTCCACCACACTCTACACTCTACACGCACCACACTCCTCACTCCACACTCCACACTCCACACTTTACACTCCACACTTTACACTCCACACTCCTTACTTTACACTCCACACTCCACACTTCACACCCTACACTTTCCACTCCACACCGCAGACTGGTAACAGGGGAAATATGTACAAGACTGTTCAAATACACTATTGCAGAAAAGTGTTCTGCGTGATTGCATATCCATCTGTTTGGACATCTGTACCATTAATATACGTGTGAGCATTCGGGTTCGTGGGCTGCATCTTGTTTTGTTCACTTGAACATTTGTTTGGGATTTACGGATGTCCGTCTCCCACACATATGTTATTTCAATATATTTGAAGGCAACTTGAACCCACATGAGAAAGATGAGAATCATCATCCATACGAGTAGCGCAGCAGCTCAAAATGGTTGGGAGACATTTACTGGGCATAGTTATTTGGATCAGTAGGGAATGGCTGGTTGATCCCAGGGCCCTAAATGCCCTAAAAGGTTTGACTCTTTAACTTCAGGTGTACCTTGAGGGTCCTCAATGACCTGGGTATTCAAGACGCTTTGCAACCTACAGATTGCTGGCCGAAGGAAGTTTAGAAGTCAAACTTCCATAAACTTCCGACAGTATGGACAGATGGAAAAGCAGATTCGAGAAAAGTCAGAGAAGAGAAAGGAAGAAGAAAGAAGATCAGAGAAGAGAAAGAGGCAGAAGACAGAAGATCCAGGTGCGCGAAAAGGTAAAACAGTCGCGAGACACTGTGTTTTCTCCAATGTTTTGTGGCTCTGGAGGGTCGAAAAGTAGGCTCGCTAAAGTAAAGCGGCGGGTGCGGAGCCATCTGGCCAGATGAGAGATGAAAAATTGCACGCCATCTTGGCGCGAAGCAGATTTGGAAGTCAAAAAACTAAAAACACCTCATGCTTGGAACATTTTTGGGCAGTTGAGATGTGGAAAAAGTGCACAGCGCTGTGGTGCGAAGTGCGAAGCGCTTTTCGTAGTCAAAATGCCAAAAAAAAACACGTTCAGACCACTTTTGGAAGTTGAGATGTCGAAAAAGTGCACGCTGTTGTGGCGCGAAGCACATTTTGAAGTCAACATGTTGAAAAACACGGCAGTGTCGGAGTACTTTTGGAAGAGTGGCGCAAAAAGTGCACGCTGTTGTGGCACGAAGCATATTTGGAAGTCAAATGCTTAATAGTTCAGACCGCTTTTGGAAGTTGAGATGTCGAAAAAGCGCACGCTGTTGTGGCCGGAAGCACATTTTGAAGTCAAACATGTTGAAAACACGACAGTGTTGGAGCACTTTTGGAAGAAGAGTGTTGCAACAAGTGCACGCCGTTGGCACGAAGCAGGTTTTGAAGTTAAAATATTAAAAACATGTTTGGACATGTTTGGGCCACTTTTGGACGTTCAAGCGTCGTTTTTCGTGGCATTATAACAACAACTACAACTACACTACACTGCATTACGCTACACAACACTACGCTACACAGCACGACAACTGCGACTGCAACTACAACTACAACTACACTTGAAATAAATAGATAGATGATGATGGATGGACAGAGGGAGACATAGAGAGACACAGCAAGAAGGTGACAGGGAGAGTTAGTTAGAGAAAGGGAGAGCAAGAGAGGGAGAGAGAGAGAGAGAGTGAGAGACCGAGAACGAGAGAGAGAGAGAGAGAGGGACAGAGAGGCTCAGAGCTTCATTAACAACCTTTCGATCCATCATTGGGTTCGCCCTGCCATCCATTTATCACAACAAGTTACCTCTCCTATAGTTTCCTA